GTATAATGCATATGGTTTAAGCTCCGAACTAATTGGCAGTGTCAATTCACCTAATGTCCTTAAGGAGCACAAGGTTATCTTGAGCTAGGTTCAGGGACATGTAGGTGTAAAAGGAAAAGAACAGACTGACCAACTAGCCAAAGAACCCTCCCACCCATGGGACCACATCTAGGCGAACTGCGGATTGTGCTAATGTTGGAGCGGGAAACTGGACAAGAGCACTAGGTAGACAAGCTAAGAGACTTATAAATCCCTCGAAAAGGAAAGCGAAGGAACTCCTCATCTGATTCCGCAGTTTGAATTACAAGGTTGAGTCATCGAGATCAGGCGATCGCGAGATCGTGGTCAGAATAAGGAAAATTTCATTGAACCGAGGTCTTATTCTCAACACATTGTCTGACGTATCTATGTTTCTGGCTTGATATGCCGCAAAAGTGTTCAGGGTCGATAGGTGCCCTTGATGTACTTTCCTTGGGTATGCCCTACAAGGCAAACAAGTGTGATTTTTTGCTCTCCCAAATGACCTCGATGCAATCCCATATAGCTTTGGACTTTATTACCGATGAGGTTGCACTTATTGCTTCCTGGCTGTCCGAGTAGATGGATATTCTTTGCCACAGTGGGTCTCCACCTGAAAGACGGTGGCGTATCGCCCAAGACATATGAATTCTTTGGTTTATTTCCATAGATACGAACACTTGACCTTATTACAACTTTTACAACTATTCCGTCTTAGAGCCATCTGTACCAGATATAGTCGGCATTAACTGCGGTCCCTTTGTTCGAGTAGGTCTATCAAGTTTATAAAAGCGGAATTTTGGATCCTCTGCGTTAAGTTCCTCCCGACGTTTTAATTGATTCTTTTTATGCAAGTAGTCTATGAGACCTTGTCCCTGTATTAGCTTAGGAGTTATTGGCTCTAGTGTTTCCATCGTGGTAGATTCAAGAGGACTTTCAGGGCAGCTGTGGGAATCGTTCTCATTGTTCTAACGCTCAGAAAGAAAACGCTGCGATTAATGTGACTCCATTTAAATTGGGAAGGGAACGGAAAAAGTTGTTTGCTCATGAGCAATTGTGCACCTACATGCTCTCCACATGGAGCCAAGGCATAATTGGTTGCATACGAAAAAAATACGCAGGTTTGGGCTTAAAATTAGGTGTGTGTTAGAATCTTCTGGGGAGGGGATTCTCCTGGCTTCCAGCTTCAGTGTCCTATTATTCCAGTAAGTCATGCCCAGACAGACCTTTGGGCAGTAGTGCTGTCCTTCGAACCACGCGCTTTTCCACTAAAATTCTCAACCTCCGTGATTCCTAAAACTAAAGAAACCGGCCTATTTTCTTCCTATCTAATTGGGCTGTCATTTTCACCCCATAATTCATTAGAGACGACTAGGACACCATCACCCTGGATCCCAAGCCTTTGACGATGTCACCAGGGGTTGTTGGTAAAGATTAAGGGAACCCAACCATATTTCCACATTTTTTAAATCCTTCCCACCAATTTTTTTAAATTTCATAAATAGCAAAGAAATAAATATAACTAGTTGAGGTAGCATTGAGGTTAGCCAATCGAGCATGGTATTGAAGATCATTGGAGGGAGGGGGGCTTTTTGTATTAAAAAAACCATCCCGGAAAATTGATGAATGTATGGAGTATCGTTAATCCGGATAAGGCAGGCGGAAAATAACTCTACTGGATAATCCATTTGCCATGATAAAATGTTCAAAAAATTTCATATATGTCGATATTCCAGTATGGAAGGTCTCAGGACGGAATTATAAATAATCGCTTCATAAGGAAGCTATGAGATTTTTTAAGACGAATTTTCAATTTAAGAAAACCTATTTTGAAAAAAGATGAGATTAATTAATAATTATCTAATTTTGAACAAAACACTTGACCCGTTTATCAGGGGTGTATGGCACGCGATATCCTTTTCGGTTTTTATTAACCCTTAGAGATAAGGGTTGAAAATTAGGGATTAGGGCGTTCCAGCTGGCGTGAGACCACGGTCGACCAGCTGGTAAAATTTAAGTATCTAGGACTTGATTGTAAGAGGCGCACCCCCTCGCTCTAATGGGAACCGTGGCCAATCGAAATCAAATGTTTCCTCTCGAACACGCGATTCGGGAAATATAGTTTCCTCAGGGGCTGTGGAAATTTCTTTTCCCCCCGGTAAACTGGAAATAACTTTCTTTGGCTGGTATAAAAGGGCGAAAGTGTTTTGAAACGTATTTATTAAGTTAATGGGTTTTCAAGCAATAAATGATTCCTTACTCTTTTTTACGATATATTCAATATATTTTATTTATCGTTGTTCATGTTGGGACTTGTGGAACTTATGGAAAGTTAGATCCGCCCGTAGAGTTTGAGGAAAATTTAGGCCCTTGTCCCACTCCCTCCCAGGAATCGATTTCGACCCTATAACACGCACTATAAGACATCGATTTTCCCCAGGAGTTTCTGAATTTTCAGAAGACGTCCGTAATTAGAGAACGGATACCCCTATCGGGCCCTTAGGGCTATCAGTCACGCCAGTCTTAATTTTATCGATTTCTGACCGACGGAAACAAACAGCCGGTTAAAACTTCCATTCGGTCCGCGCTCACGAGCCAGGTTTAACCTAAGTAAAAGAAACTAATAAGACAAAACGTACGTAAACATTACAGAAGAAACACAAACTCAGCAAAGCCTTAATTAGCAATAGTATTTTTATTCAAATAATGATATTTTAAGAGCATCAACTTTTCAGATATTAACAGCGAGGAGAAATTCTCCATAAATGATATGAAAATCGATAGTTGGCCATCGATTGCAAGTATATCGATATATTTATTTTAAAAACATCAATTTTTCATTAACCCTTTATGGAAAAAAAACCACTAAACTTTCAAAGATTGATAGCTGAAGAGAAAAACATTCACTATCGATGATAAAAAGTGTCGATATTTGACGTTAAATGGCAACAATACCGAACGATTTTTCATGAACTGAAATATTGATAGCCGTAGAGAAAAAATCTTTACAAAAATTAAAATCTTTAAAAAATGTTACAAGAATCGATAAATAACCATTGATGGCAAAAATATCGATATTTCTCTAGAAACAGCTATCTTTCATTTTGTGAACCCGTCTAACCTTTTCAAAGATTGATAGGTCAGGAAAAATCTAACATTTATTATCGATGTTACAACAATCGACAATTAATCACCAATGGTAAAAATACTAATTTTTTTTAACTCATCAATCTTTTATAAACCCGTTTGAGCAACAACACTTAACTTTTCAAATATTAATAGGGGGAAAACATCGAACATTCACTATCGATTATGTAAAAATTCGTAATTGAATATCGATATTTTATGTTTAAAAAATTATGTTTTTTGAACACTTTTTGTGAAACGGGACTAAACTTTTTATAGATTGCTAGCCCAGGAAAAAACATATAACATTCACTATCGATGTTATAAGAATCGATTAGTGAATATTGATATTTTATGTTTAAAAAAATCTATCTTTTATGAATACTTTTTGTGAAACGCGACTAAACTTTTCAAAGATTGATAGCTGAAGAAAAAAACATCTAATATTCACTATCGATGTTATAACAATCGATAATTAACCATCAATGAAAAATATTGATTTTTTTAAACATCAATCTTTCATGAACCCGTTAAGAGAAATTACACTTAACTTTTCAAATATTAATAGCGAAAACATCGAACATTCACTATCGATTATGTAAAAATTCATAATTGAATATCGATATTTTATGTTTAAAAAACCTATGTGTTATGAACACTTTTTGTGAAACGCGACTAAACTTTTCAAAGATTGATAGCCCAGGAAAAAACATCGAATATTCACTATCGATGTTATAACAATCGATAATTAACCACCGATGGTAAAAATATCGATTTTTTTAAGATCAATCTTTCATGAACCCGTTTGAGAAACAACACTTAACTTTTCAAATATTGATAGCGAGGAGGAAAACATCAAACATTTACTATCGATTATATAAAAATCCATAATTGAATATCGATATTTTATATTTAAAAAATCTATCTTTTATGAACACTTTATGTGAAACGCGACTAAACCGATAGATTGATAGTCTAGGAGAAAAGAAATATAATTTTTATTATTGTACAATAATAAAAAAATCTGTAATAGTTGACCATCGACTAACAAAACTTCGATATTTTTATATATACAAAACTCCGTTCTTTCATGAAGCCCGTAAATGAAACACCACTAAACTTTTAAAAGTTTAATAGCCGAAGGGAAAAACTTCGAACATTCAGTACGATCATATTAGAATCGATAGTTGACCATATATGAAAAATAATTCGAAATTCACAATCGATGGTAAACAGTTCACTGTAAGAATATGGCGGCTCACTTTTTCTAGCGAATAAGCCTTAACACAAAAGGAAAATAACACGATCAAATATTAACAAGTAGTTTTTTCATAGCTTTAAATTAGAATGGCAATGAGTAGTTAAGGAATGAAGTTGGAAAATATTCTAAATGATGTGAAAATACACAAGTGCTTTCTCAGCAGATTGTTTTCCCTGCGGGGTGAGAAGCAGTCTAGGTATACATGGGGAAGAAAGGGAGATTATCCCGTGTTATCAGATAATCCGGACACTCTATCCAGGCGAAAAGATATCAGATCTCTTTCTATTAACACACCTCCGAATCTGTTTACGACCTTGTCGGCCAGCCTCTGCCCTAAAGATATCCCGCAAGTACCCTTCTTCCTTCCCGTTATTTACTCGCCATGGGATTTTTACAAGGAGTATAAAGATGAAGGGTTTTATCTTCCGATATGGCATCACGTCATGCGCCGTTGATAGAATTTTTTTTTTACTGGGAAAACAAAGGTCTGCAATAGTTATCAATTTGGAAAGACAAGCTGTTCAAATAATTATTATAAAATAGAAGGTTGATTCTTTTATAGCAATTAAATAATGAAAGTTTTTCCTTTTTTCAGACGGGGGCGGAGGGGAGTATGGGCGAGGTTGGGGGGGTGCGATGCCGCTCCATGAGCTCTCTCCCTCCCGAGCCCTTCATGATTATGCGCTCGAAGGCGCTGAACCGGCGTGTCATCATCAACGTCGGCGGAGTGAAGCACGAAGTGCTCTGGAGGACTTTGGAACGGCTGCCTCACACCCGGTTGGGACGCCTCCGGGAGTGCAACACCCACGAGGCCATCACGGAGTTGTGTGACGACTACTCCCTCATAGACAACGAGTACTTCTTCGACAGACACCCGAAATCTTTCAGCTCCATCCTCAACTTCTATAGGCGAGTAGAATAAATGGATATTATTTGTCAATTGTGCTTGTCTCTTATCCATTACGAACCAGTTACCAAATTCTGTCAGAGTCAAACTACATAATAATTGTAAGATTTCCCCTTGCTGTCTGCGGAGTGATGAACTTGAAATTTGATCATTTTGGTGATTTGTATGTTTAACTAATCCCTACCCATATTCTGAGCATCTTCAACGATCCTTCATTATGTCAGCCGAACTTTTAACCATACATCACTAGCTCTGAGACCTGAAAACTATACCATCATTATCTGTAACCACGTTAGCCATTTCTCATTATCTCTAACCAACTTTAACCAACCATCAATATCTCTAACTAACTTTAGCCATTTATCATTATCTCTAACCAATTTTAACCAACCATCAATATCTCTAATCAACTTTAACCATCCCTCATTATCCCAAACCATATTTAAGGAACCATCATTATCTCTAATCAACTTTAGACACTTCTCATGATCTCCAACCATCTTTAACCAGTCATCAGTATCTCTAACCAACTTTGGCCATTTCTCATTATCACTAACCACCTTCAACTAACCTTCATTATCTGTAACCAACTTTAACCATATCTCATTAACTTCAACCAACCATAATATCTCTAACCAACTTTAGCCATTTCTCATTATCACTAACCATCTTGAACCAACCATCAATATCCTAAGCAACTTTAGCCATCCATCAGTATTACTAACCATCTTCAAGCAACCAACCAATTATCTAACCAATTTTCGCTACTTCTCACTATCTCGAACAACCTTCAACCAATCTTCATTTTCTGTAACCAAGTTTAACTATTTCTTATTATCCCAAACCAACTTTCATTACCAATCACCATTCCTATCGATATTAACCACATTTTCTGTAATTATTTCTAACCGAATTTACCTACTTTGACCTATTAATACGATCTCTTAGTTGTATTTAATTAATATGCAATATTATAAAAGCCATCGTTTCTTTTCTCAATAATAATGTAAGAAATTTAGGGGCCGACAAAGAGCTAGGTCAACGCCGGCCCTCAGCTTTTTTTCCTTTTACTTCACGTGTATTTTTCTGCCTGCAGCCATTTTTCTCAGTATGTTTTATGTGTATATTTTATCGTGATGCTGTTTTTTTATCGCCTGAAATTGTCTCTAATTTTGTGTGGTGAATTTTTTGTCGGTATTCTTTAAGAGACAGACATGCGGTAAAATAAAATAGGCGTTCAGTTTGTTTTTACGTTTCCTCTCTGGGCCACTTCCGAACCTATTTTCTCACGAGCGAGCATAAATTGTAACACATCTGCCTGCATGTTGTACATTTCCCTCCGCCGAGACCCATTCGGTGTCGCCCAGAACTAGACCGCCAAGGAAATAAAATTTCATTTCAAAAATGTACGTGAGAAAGGACAGAGGTTAAAGGTTTATAAACAATTGTAAATCAATTTAAATTATCACTTTGGTTAATTAGGACTAACTAAAGGCATAAAGGTTTATTAAAATAATAAGCTCTTTGTGAGTTGTATTAAAAAACTTTTCTTTTTGTTTCGATGAATTTGGATTTTCTTACAAACCAAACCACCATTCTTTAGAATAGTGCCAATAAAGCAGAAATAGACAGTTAAATGATAACCTATGACCTGGGATACATAATTTATATAATTTGTTGAACTCGTGAGGAGCGGTCAAGAATGAGGTAGTTTAGAAAAACACCTTTTGCCGACGTTTCGACATTTATTTGGGTCATCTTCAGGGCCTTGTTTGTCTTGAGGCCAGTTCTTTTTTCCAGAAAGATTGGGCTTTTTCTTTTCTAGATCCATCATTATTTTCGCCTTCTTTGCTACTTGTTTGAAGCTGTTTCTAAAGGAATCGATCGATACCGATACAATAAGAATGACGACTTTTAGAAATCGGTAGAATAAGGTCGTCAAAAAAAATCCTGGGCTGCGGTAAAATTAGACTATATGGCTACACAAAGGAATCTAAGAAACGTTTTGTAAAAAACCTGACAGGCCCTCCTAAACTATCATCATTCACCAACCACTTTCAACAATCCTAACCGCCTTTATCCAAACCCTTGCTATTTCAAATTATCTCTAACTGATGTAAACCAACCCTGATGTTCTCCAACCCTTCAAATCATATTTAACGATCTTTACTTCGTTACTTCTAACAAACCGGGTGTTTATGTGCATTCTCAATAATAATTATCTACAACATTATCTCTAACCATCCTTAAAGACCATCGTTATCTCTAAACCAACTTTAACCATATCACATCATCTCTAACCAATTGTACCCATTTCTCATCAACTCCAAACAACTTTAACCATATCTCATTATCTCTAACCAACTTTAGCTATTTCTCATTATCTTTAACCACCCTCAATATCTCTAACCAACTCTAGCCATTTCTCATTATCTCTAACCATCTTCAACCAACCATCATTATCTCTAACCAATTTTAACCATCCCTCAGTATTACTAACCATCTTTAACGAACCATCGTTATCTCTAACCAACTATAACTATTTTTCAACATCTCTAACCAACTATAGCCATTTCTCATCAACTACAAACAACTTTAACTATATACCATTATCTCTAACCAACAATAACCACTTCTCATTAACTACAAACAACTGTAATCATATCTCATTATCTCTAACCAACTATAACCTTTTTTTCATCAACTACAAACAACTGTTACCATTTCTCATCAGCTCTAACCAACTTTTACCATTCCTTATTATCTCAAACCATCTTTAACGAACCCAAACCATCGTTCTCTAGCCAAATTTAACCGTCACTCATCAACTTTAACCATTCCTCAATATCTCAAACCATCTTTAGCCAACCATCATTATCTCTAACCAACTTTAACCACCACTCATCATCTCTAACCTGTTGTACTTTTATATTTGTGTGTATGCCGTTGTTTCGGCGAAAACCTCTTACACCAACTTCAAAAGCAAAAATTAACTTAAAAATGCGTATTAACTTATAACAAAATTAACTTTACTTAGACTTTGTTATCTGATATTACCTTGGAAGGAGATACTATCAGTTCCGCTCATTTTTAATTTTAATATAATAATTATGATTATTACTAAGTTGTATTGTTCAAAATTAAAAATCATCTGTAACCAACCTTAACCATCTCTCATTACCTCCGATCAACGATAACCATTTCTCGTTATCTCTGACAACACTATCTCTAACCATTTTTATCCATCCTACGCCTGAAGAATTAACCAGTATATTTTAACATGCAAGATTTTTAACTTTAAGATGAACCATAATATACCAACTTTGATTATCTTAATCAACTTTAACTATTTTTCCTAACCATTGTACCAACCGTCGTTATTTCTAGCTAACTTTCACCAAATACATTATCAGTAACCACCTTCATCCATCCTTCATTACCTCTAACCATCTTTAACCATCACTCATGAGCTCTGAGGATTGAAGAGCTTTAGCCAGAATATCTTAAAGCCTTAATAATTTTAGCTCCTTTAACCACCCATTTTCAATTGTAGATATAGCAAACTATCTCCGATGAAGTTAAATTATTTTTCATAACCACCTCTAATTAATCCTGATTATCTACAATTCTCTCTAAAAACCGTAAACCGATTAGGGTCTTTTTCAATCAATTCTCATCTCTCTTAACTATCTTTAACCATCATTTTTCCTCACAATCGCCTGTGTAGGTCCGAATTAATATTTGATTTATTAATCAGCGAGATTTGATGCTACCTGTCCATCTACTAGCAGGCCAAACAGACAAGCGAGGTCAAACAAATTATTCCATGCACAAAGATTGACGATCAAGTTTGGCTAAAGGTTTTACGTCTCATTTTGTTTATTTAAGACAATCGCAAGCATAGAGTTTTATTTGTATCGTGTTATGAATTGTTTCTTCGTTGAGATTCTCCGTTTGATTTTAATCCGAGTCCTATTTTGGTTTATGCATAGCTCGCATATGCGCCGTTTCGATTTAAATTAGACCATTTGAATTCATAGCCAGGCGAATATTCCTTTTCCCCCCAGTAATCATCTAGTTTACAATTATATGAATTATTCACCCGTTATTAACTGCACCGGCGATATGAAGTATGACGAAGGGCGAGAGTGGTCTGCGGGGCGTGCTTATTTGGGTGAAAGCCGTGCTGAAAAATTCAAAAAGCTCTTGAAGGGCGTCCAAGGGGATTCGATGATTCAATGCCGTGTCCTGCCCAATTCAGCCATCGAGTTTTTATCTAAGTCTTGAACTTGTAGAATTTACGATGTCTTAAACGGAAAAACAATCAACCGTTGTTCACATATAACTGATCGTTACAAAAATGGAAAACTATATTTCGGAATTTTCAGTAGGAAAATATATAAATAATTAATTAATCTCTTTATGTAGGGTTTTGGTTGAAATGAAAAAGAGTGTCACGAGCGGGGTTCGAATCCGGGGGGTTACGACCACGAAAGGCACGGCGCTCAGGGTCTACAGTATCAGGCAAACTCGGGCGTCTTGCGGGTTTAGCGTAACCAGCCGTGATTTGAAAGCGGATTATTCAAAAAATATATTTAAATATTAAAAAATAATAAAAATAAAATAAAATAAAAAAATAAACCGACACTTGTATTTATTTATTTTCCGTAATAACTAGGTATAAAGATTAATAGTTGACTTTAAACGTAAACACAATATTAATTTGTTTCAATTAATTAAGGTTTTTAGTTGAGATAAAAAAGTCAGTGTCACGAGGGGGATTCGAACCCACGACCTTCGGCTAGATACGCCGCTACTCTACCACTTGAGCTAACGTGACTTCGATCCTCTCGGAAATTAGCCTATCTCAACCCCAACTTTTGAATTTTCCCTCCTTTTTGCTTTTTATCTCAAGTGAAAACCTTAATTAATTGTAATATATTAATTGGTCAAGCGGACCACGAAAACTAGTGAAATGAATAATTTGTTGTTTATCTTTATAGAATGTCTATACTATCTTTTTATACTCTTTGGATTATTTTTTTTTTTAATCTATTCAATTTCTTCCTTTCCAAGGTCAACTTGTCGAGTGGGTTAGTTAATTTATTAATTTGTTTTGTTTGATGAAAAAACAAGTTTGAGAGAAAAAGTTTAGTGATTAATGATCGTTAGGCGATGATTGTTCGGAAATCGTGAGATGCGGTCTGATGTGACGTAGATTTAGAAAAACATTTTCTTTATCGTGCCAACGTTTCGATCTTTATTGAGATCATCTTCAGGGCCTGGGATTTACAAACATTGTTTAAATTTAACAAATACTTGTAGGATGTGGAAAAAAGTGAATTTATACAATGCAAAAAAATATTTTTTATATTCAATCAAAGTATTTCTACTCACTCAAAGTGTTGGTTTTCAGCGTAATTGTGCCATTCTTTCGTGTCGTGTTGAGAGTGGCAGTGAGATATTGATGTTTTATATTGGATATACGTTGGGTTTTGAAGGGGTGGGGAAGGAAGTCGGTAAAGAAGAGACATTTTTGTATAAGGAGTCGGCTTCTTTGAGGTGAAAAGAGCCGACGAAGGGAGAAAACGTTGGTAATGGTTCGACCAGATTATTCTTTCAAGATTATATAGACGGGGATAATTAGGAAAAGGAAAGCTACATTGTTGAAAAATTAGACTATGTAAAAATGTTTGATGTGTGGAATGTGATGAATGTTTTATATGTTATATGTTGTGTGATGTGATGTTATATCAATCGATACTGAATTTGATTAATGATATTGGCATAGCTGCGACTGATATTTACATGGGTCTGTTCTGTAATTGATGCTGTGTTTTTCTGTTGATGTAAACCATTTCTAAAAAGTTACGTTTCGTCGTCGAAATTGTGTTTGTGTTCAACAGAGTTGGGAAAAATCAAACTAATTCAATCATGATTAAGAATTTTGATTGAAGTTTAATCATTATTGAATTAGTCATGAGTAAATTAATCATTATATGATTTAACCATAATTAATTCAATCATGAGGTATGACTAAATCATATAATGATTAATTTACTCATGACTAATTCAATCATGATTAAACTTCAATCAAAATTCTTAATCATGATTGAATTAGTTTGATTTTTCCCAACTCTGGCTACAATGTCTAACTTACCAAAAACCAACCGACTCCGGATAAAAATTTTGAGATGAGAATAGTGCTCAAGGCCAGCCAACCTTCAAAAAGTGTTATCATAAACGAAAACCAAAGTTACATAATTATTCTACATGTCTATTTTATTACAATCAAGACCCCTTTTAAGTGGAATAAATTTTAATTCAAAGAAATATTTTTTCCATTGATCGGTTATGTAAACATATTTACTTTTCAAAGCGTAGCTTGTTCTACGATTTTTTTATTTTATTATTATTATCATTATCATTATTTTTTGGCTTTTTACAACGACGGAGTTTTATTTATAATTGGAAGATTGATTTTTGTTAAATAAGGTGTTGAAGGATTTTCGTTTTGATGAAATAAATTTCTGTTAGAAAATTTTTTTAAAAGTGATGAAGTGTATTTTTCATTTTTTGAACACCCATTTGAACATGATTTATCGAAATTTAGTCATGACTAACTATATTGTGACTAAATTAGTCATGCCTCGTATTTAATTACTAGTCATGACTAATTGAGCCATCAATCACATATGGCGACTAATGACTAAATTAGTCACTTAGTCAATCATGACTAATGGTCTGAGTGATCAATCATTAATCATTAGACATGACTAATTTTTGCCCAATACTGGTTTTCAACATGGTGGGTAGCGAGTACTAGGATTTTGCGTTTATTAATTTTTTTTTATGTATGGTTTTAACTGGAGAAAATCTCGCCGGAAATGATGATTTGCCCAACAATGGACTAGCGTCCGTTGCGTAGCCTAAGTCCCGGGTGTGTAGCGCTTTACCATTCACGATAGTCTACAGCGGTTTAGACCACCGGAAGTCTCCATCGACTAGACCATGGTGGTCGACCGCGATGTACGACGGCTTAAGTCGATCGTTTTATTGCTCTTGCCGGACTACGGAAACGGCATTTAACGGCTTTATTGATAGGTAGTCAACTTCAAACTGTTATGTAAGGATGATCTCTAAAACTACCTAGTCTCTAGACGTCCCGCATCAGGTTCTCTACTACTGGACAGGCATCGAAAAAAAAAGCCACTATTCGCTAATCAGCATTCGCTTGGATACTTGATCAATTAACGTTGCTGTTTTCTGTGAAGACTCACCTCTGAATATGGCTGGAAATCTGACAGACAAACTCAAAGTGAATAAGCAGACCCCCTGGAGATCAACGCGCAAATTCACAAAGGCAAGGGTGGAATCGACCATCCCCCTGCCGAAATTATTGTCATATAGAATGGATCTTTCACTGGACTAAGATACGTTGAAGAAGTTCTGCTGTTCCTAAGAAAAGTCTTTTATTTCAACACATTTCTGAGAAAAAGTAACTTGTGTTTTGATCTACCTCGAATTTTCTAAATACATTTCTTTTAATTATACCTCAGCAACCTCTCCCTTACCCTAATCCTAACCCAACATTGTATACAGATTACAAAATTTTTTGGCGTAATTGAAATGTAAGACGCTAACTCAAAAATTAAACTTTTTTTATGTAAGGTTTTAATTGAAATGAAAAAGTTTGTGTCACGAGCGGGATTCGAACCCACGACCTTCGGCTGAGATTAATTAATTAAAAGAAGTAATTTAGTCGATAGACCACTAAATATAACATATATAAACAATGATCTGGAATGCTATTGAAAATGCTGGAAAAGGTTCACAATTGATTTCCCCCGGAAATTAGTCTGACCTCTGGTCAACTACTTGTTGCTCTAATGTTTAGTCATTCCAACTAGATCACCCAGTTTCATATGTCACATAAATGTTCTTTTTTTTAAAACGTCGACTCGTCTTTTTTTGACAATTTTAATAAAAATTTTAATTTTTCTTTTGAAAAGCTTCTTTTTTTTAAGTTCAATACTAAATCATGGTAGTTGGAATGTTTCTTTCTCAATTTGGTTTCCGTTCCTATTCAGGATAACAGAGTTTTAAAATGGATTAGTACGACTTGATTTATTTAAAAAACTTAATCTAACGATTTCCAGGACTGGCAAGCTACATCTGGTCGATGAGATGTGCGTCCTCGCGTTCAGCGATGACCTCGAGTACTGGGGCGTCGACGAGCTCTACCTCGAGTCGTGCTGCCAGCACAAATACCACCAGAGGAAGGAGCACGTCCACGAGGAGATGAGGAAAGAGGCTGAATCCCTCAGGCAGAGGGACGAGGAAGAGTTCGGCGAAGGGAAGTGCGCCTACTACCAGCAGTTTCTCTGGGACCTACTCGAAAAGCCTACGACCTCCATCGCCGCAAGGGTGGGTACATAAGCGGACGTAAGCTCCGACAAGCCAGAAACGTTCACATGGCCGTCCGAAATGCATTAAATCGTTATAATTTATTTGAAAAAAAAAAACTTTTGGTCATTAATGACCAATCAATGGATTGTGGCTATTAAAAGCCCCATGGCATTAAATTCATCGTTGTCACTGAAAAATTTTAAAATCACAGACATCCTGCTTGTCTTTTTCTTTTTTGACATGTGACTTGCAGGTATCAAAATAATATATCAACCATAGCCTCTATTCACCATTTATAGAGCTCTTTTTCGTAAGTTGCTCTATCTAGCCCTGATCTGAAAAGCAGGACCATCTCATGTACTGGTTAAAGCAAAAAGTGATCAACCCTTTGACCAGGATGGCTAGATAATAGCCCACAATCTTAAATACTATCCACAAACCAGAATTAAAGATACCCAGATAGGCTGCCAGAATTATTTGGAGTATGTAAAACTCCCTGATTGGTTATCTTTATGAGAAAAGTGACTATGTGCAGACATTTATATACTGATATAATATGACAGAAATGATTTAAAGTTTTATATATATATATTTTTTTAATGTTAAAAAATGTCATATAATTTAGGATTAACATTAACGTTATATACATTGTTATCGACAGCAGGTAAAATAAATATAAGTTGTGTAGATCTTGTTTTATTTCTATTTTTATTTTTTTTTTTTTGTCTTTTTTTTGTCTGGGAGGATTTTATTCAAGCATACATGAGATTCCAAAAGGTTCCTGATGTGGAAAATAGCCATCGATATTTATTTTCAAGAAATTAATGGCAATGTGTTTGTTTTTAATACATAATACATTTTTTTTAACAGAAACCCTTAATATTGATAAATGATTAAGGCCTAAGCTATTAGATTTTTTTTTTTAATTTTCCTCGTTGTATTTCGGACGGCCATGAAGGAACGCACTGAGAACAGTGTACATTTTGACACTTTTAGGTTGTCGTTCCATTTTTTTTTTTCCAAAAATCAAATTAATAAAATACCCTAATGTTAAAAAAAAAATTCGACAACAAAATTAATTGCATTGATTGCATTGAAAAAGAAAATTTAACCAGCAAATCAAAGTTGTCACTTTTTTATTTATTTATTTTAATTTTTATTTTATTTTTTTTACAAAAAATAATTTGAGTTACATTTAACCTAAGGAAAACCAATACACAAAATTAATTATTCTACTCTTGATTATTTTCAATTGAACTCAGGTCAACCCTGAACAATAAAAACTGTCACATTTATCTGATTATAATTGGATTTTGGACAAATTTTATAGAGATGTTTAAGGTTCAAAAAATACCTTTTTTGTGTTTTTGTGTAATGACTTTTTTTTTTTTTTTTTAACTGTACAACCTTAAGCCGGACTTAGCATTCCCAACATTTTGCATGGACTGCCAAAACATAGAGGTTTCAACATATTCAACGACATATTATTTATACTTTAGACAAATAGTTTAGAATGCAGGGATGAATTTAAAAAAAAAATAATAGGTTTTTAATTAAATAAATGAAACGTGCGACAATCTATGAAAGAAAAACATCAAAATCTTTCCAATTGTAGTCCTTTGTTTTCCATTTTAAAATATATTGTAACGAAAAAGATCATTTTTTACAACAAATGGGTGTGGCATGAAGTGCATGTGTTTGAAACTGCACAAACCGTAATTTCAATTGTTTGACGTAACGACTTTGAAATAATAAGTGTAGACTTCCAGTAGAGGTTGACTTGTCGCCAGGCGTTTTTATAATAAAAACCGATTTTATTTTATTTTTATTACGAGGGAACTTTCAAAGGGTAAACATCTTCAACAAATTTCGATCATTATTGAATATCACCATGTAAAATGATTTGATTTGATTTCTCCTCTGGTCATAAAATATTAGACACGTTTCACAATTTAGTGGATGTATTTATTAGCGTGAGTGTTTTAGTGTGGGTGAAGTTGTGACGGAATATAAAGAATATATCCAATGTTGCCACCTGGCTCAAGTAGCATAGAATCAAAATAACATTTTTAAACATGGTTTTATGCTTATGTTGTGCATGTATTTCAATGTTATTTTAAATCAGTCGATTTGCATTGTACATAGAATAAGTAAATAATATTCAGAACTGTATTAAATGAAATAAGATATATAAAAAAAGTTACAAAACCAAAATAGGCTTTTAGTAAAGTAGGTAAATAAATTAAGTTTTTGAAAAAAATCTAATTCAGATTCCTGTTAAGCACCCCTAAATAACAAAAATGGATTTTGTGCTGATCAAGAAAGGGAATTTTTTTTTCTCAAATGTCCAGTATTCAACTTAAAAAATTCATAAGTCCCAGGGACATTGTCCAAATTCAACTTTATTATATTGTTGGAAAGCTTAATCTCTCTTCTTTTAAACTAGACAATGAGGTTTTGGTTTTTATGCCATTATGAAATATGAATATGAAAAATAAGATTGAAATCAATCAAATTGCCCCCCAGATGTTTTATTTTATATATCGGGTTTTGATTTATTTAAGGAGGCCAATTTTATGCCATTACATGAAGATAATAGTGCTTTAAATTCTTGGAAAGTTTTATCTAGAGTGATAAAGGTGATTCAAAGTTATCTATATTTTCGTGATTTTTTAAAAAATCCGCACGGATAGGGTGAAAATTTCAAGGCAAAAAAAATTCTTTTTGTTTCTCACAAAAATTTGCATCCAAGGGTTTATCAGGGTGCAGAAACCGAATATCAACTTTGATATAAAAAAAATCCACCTACTTTGCTACATTGTACCGTCATAAAATAATTGTATTTCAATGCATTCTAAGCAAAGAGGGTTGGAATATTTTATTTAATAATTAAAAAATTATGAATTATATTATTAAAATACATTTTAAAAAAATTCCCACCAAATTATCACCTTAATACCCCCTAAAATTGTTTTCTCAAAAATCACAAAAATAGTGGTCACTTTGACATAACAACACCAATCAACAAGAAAATTTACGAGGGTTTAGGACCTTATAAACTACAAGTAATGGCATAAACCTCACATATGCAATAAAAATATAACCGTAGATATAAAATAAAACATTTGACAGGTTTTGTTGATTTCATCCTTATTTTTGCCATTTATAATTAAAGAAAATCTAAACGCTGGTACGCACTCAAAGAAGATGAATTAAGCTTTCCCACGACTGTAATAATGTTGAATTTGGGCAAAGTCCATAGGGGTTAGAAATTTTTTAAGTGGAACACTGGACATCAGAGAGAACAAATATCCCTGGGGCTGATCCAGCTCAAAAATGTCTATTTTTTCATTCTCTTGAAAATCCGTATTTGAGGGCTTTAAATGATGCTTAAAACAAATCTGAATTGATTTTTTAAAAATGTAATTTTTGCACCTACTTTACTGAGAGCATATTTTGGTTTTTGTAATTTTCTATATATAAAATCTCATTTAATACTATCATGAATATTATGTATTATTCGAGGTAAAAAAAAACTTAATCGACTGATATATAATAATCTTGAAATGTTTGTCTGACAAACAATATTTTAAAAAAGTTATTTAACTTCTCAGCTCCTAGGGTGAATTGGCAAGAACATTCGGACACTTCTCGCACCTAAAAATTGTTCATTAAATTTGGTGATGCCACGTCCGTGGCTTTTCTTTGTTAGCATTAAAATCCTAAGATTAGTGATAAGCAAATAACTAAAAAATTTACGGTTTGTAGAGCAAAAATCATGAAAATTGTATTTCTCAAAAATTTAATGTTATTGGGTTGCCAGGAAAATAATGCAGACCCTCGCTGGCCACCTTGAGCCAATTGGAAAGGTGAAAAAGCTCGAAAGTTGGATTCCTCATACTGTCAAAAAATAATTTTTATGAAGTTTGCGCAACACTTCTTTGCCAAAACAGGAATGAACCTTTTCTGGATAAAATTGTTACTTGAGATGAAAAGCGGATTCTGGGCAGTAGCTTGGCATAGGAGAAGCAACACCACATTTTCCAAAGCCCAACTCATCAAAAAAAAAGCTGTCACTTTTTGGTGGGCTTCATTTGAGCTGATTTACTACAGCTTTTTGAATCCTGGCGAAACAATCAATGCCGAATTGTATTGCTCTCAAATTGAAGCAAAGAACCAGAAATAAGCATTATTGAAGTCGTTTTTGATCAATCGGAAAAGACCGATTCTGTTACACGACAACGCTCGACCCCCCTGTCTCACATGTGACAACATCAAAACTGTTGGATGTTGGTTACAAGGTTTTGTCTCACCCTCCCTATTCTCCAGACATCTCGCCGACCAACTGCCATTTTTTCAGACACGAGGCACTTTTGCGAGATGGTTAGGGATGGTTCACAACATCCACAGCGTTTTCAGGGCCACTTGACAATTACATGAAACAATGCTTCGTTCACTGCTGTCACAAATGATCGCACAGCTCTTGAGACACTTGCTTTGGACACACCATGCATGTCTCATACAGCATGATACTGACACCGTACCTAATCAATAAAGAGCAATGCATACCTTTAATTTTGGTGAAAGTGCATGGTTTCTCATTGCATTCACCCTTCCTCCAATTAATTCTAATAGACGTTGAAGGATCAGCAGATTAAATTCCTATGTACTATTAAAGTAGCAATTTTTTCTTATTATAAAATGTCTTCGAAGAAGTCTGCCTTCGAACCATTATTTCATTTCTAACATAAATTTTATCTTCTTCTGAAGATGACCCCCACAGGGTTTATGATACACAGCCAAAACAATAATAATATTTGGACTATTTACAATGGCAAACTGCAAATTACAGGCCTCCAGACACCTGTGAATATTCAGCTGTGATTTACAGTCATACATTTGTAACTTGTCAAAATTTGCAATTTTTTAAAATTTTAAGAATTCTCTGGTACAAGTCTACAGTTGTAGCTTTATTAAACAGTTGTATGTACTAATTTTACAACTTGTAAAACAAATTCACCTGTCAACTTGAACTTGTTCCTTTATGAAACAGCCCCCTGGATGATGATTTATTGGATTAAAAAATTATTGATCAAAAGTCATTAGAAAATGCATTTACAAAATTTGTTTATATAATGATTCAAAATTCTATTTAGAGGATATAGAAAAGTTGCCATCACATTGAAAGAAGTGTATTGAGATTGATAGAGGGTATTTTAATTAATAAAAAAATGTTTAAAATCTTATTTATCTTTTATTTGTTTATTTTTATTTTAAAAGCCATAAACCTGCATTATTTTCCGGTCACCCCAATAAATCACTCAGCATTTCAATGATATTTTTATTTCCTTTAAATAAAACAACCTGAGAGAGTATTTCCCGATCAAAACCAAAAAAATAAAATCATAAAAACGACTGGCGACTTTTTAGTAAAATTATTTAGCGACAGAATTAAAAATTATTATTTTTATTTAGAATAATAAAAATTTAAACAGATTAGAAAGAGAATAATTAAACATTAGACCTTAACATGTACTCATTTTTCTTTTTTTTCTTCTTTTTTTTTAATTTAAAAAGAAAATGTTTTTTGTAGTGGATCCTCGACCTGTAGAATTTTGTTTTTGTTGAGTGACAGGTGATGATGGGAATGGTAGGAATGCCGCACGGGCAACTTAGGTCGAGGAACCGGCGCCTCCTGGGGCGTCGATTCCCCGACTGACAACGGCCCTTTTGTTAAGACATCGAAATCGTATTTTTTTAAATCACCGTACTCGGAGATTATTGTGATCCGGCGGGTCTCAGGCACTAACGCCCGGACATCAGGTCGCAGCGGGTATCACTCATCTTCGTACTGCTTGGCTTCGCTTCTTTTACCAGTTTATTTTGTCTTTGATTTGCTCTTATAAGGAAAGATATGTTGTTTTATTGTAAGCCTATATAATAAAAAATATTAATAGACTCAATAATAACCATTCTTCAAAGACTAGTAAAGAAAGAATATAAAACTTTTACTTTATCTTTTTTCCTTCAAGATAATTTTGTAGCAAGTTAAAATACAGACATTTTACACTTTGTTTTTTCCCTCTAGATAATTTTGTCATTCAAACAAATTCAAAAGGTATAGATAAAGATTTGTACTAACATCTAAAAACTTCAAACCACCCCCTTAATCTTCTTGCATATCTTTCCTCGAAGATGAAATTTTTTCAATCTTTCCTATCTCTCCTCTTTCTTCTTTCGCTTAATCCAATTAAGAACAATGTTAAAAATAAAATAAAAGTGGGATTTCTGTGCTGTGAGTGAACCGCCTGGGCTGCCAGGGAGTGGCAGTTGATCCCAGCAGGGGCCGCAGTCTTGGAGCGACACATGGAGATCCATTGGAAACCTGGACGGGCGTTTCTCAGCAAGAAGATACACTGATCGGAAACAACACAGTGCACTGCACAAATTATTTATAGATAGATAGATATATATATGCACAGAAATTAAAAACACTCAGAACAGAAAAGAATAACAAAAGAAAGGGGGTCTTTTTGTCAAAACTGCACCATTTTTTGTTTTTTATTTGGGAATGCATGATTTTTTTTTTCTAATAAAAGAAAATAGCAGGAATTGATCTTTACTTTCTCCAAAATTTAATATATATTAGAATTATGATCATTTTAATTTAATTTTCTGTAAACTGGAGTTGGTAAATGTTTATTTTGTGCTATTTTGTAAAGGAATGACCCATATGCACACCTAAACTCTTTTAATCAAAGCTTCTTAAATGTTTCTTTTTGTTTTATTTATTTTCAATCCTTGCACATATTTGTTTATACACATGCTGTTAAGCGCTGGTCCAGGCGTCACACCTCGGCTGCGGTCGTTCATTGGGACCGGTGTCACATCCGCTTGACCGAAGGGTGCGAGAAGTGTCAAAGATCTGTTTTGACGCATTAACTCTGGATTTCGGCATGTGAAATTTACAGGTCATAGCGGTTATCTCGATCCTGTTCATCGTTCTTTCGACGATTGCGCTCACGCTCAACACAATACCACAATTGCAAGTCAACGACGAGAAAGGCGCCGTGCAGGACAACCCGCAGCTTGCGATGGTGGAAGCGGTGTGCATTACCTGGTTCACGCTGGAATACGTGCTGCGATTCAGCGCGTCTCCGAACAAGTGGAAGTTCTTCAAAGGAGGCCTCAACGTAATAGACTTATTAGCGATACTGCCGTATTTTGTGTCCCTGTTTCTCGTCGAGACGAACAAAAATGCCAACGACCAATTCCAAGATGTGAGGAGGGTTGTGCAGATCTTCAGGATAATGAGAATCCTAAGGATATTGAAGCTCGCACGGCATTCCACCGGGCTGCAGAGTCTTGGTTTCACCTTGAAGAACTCTTACAAAGAGCTTGGCCTTCTCATGCTCTTCCTGGCCATGGGTGTCCTTATATTTTCCAGTTTGGCCTATTTCGCGGAGAAAGAAGAACCGGGAACCAAGTTCATCAGCATACCGGAAACCTTTTGGTGGGCGGGTATTACAATGACAACGGTCGGATATGGAGACATCTACCCCACCACCCCCTTGGGGAAAGTGATCGGTAGTGTCTGTTGTATCTGTGGTGTGCTCGTGGTGGCACTCCCCATTCCCATCATCGTTAACAACTTCGCCGAGTTCTACAAGAACCAAATGCGACGGGAAAAGGCGCTGAAGAGGCGTGAAGCACTCGAAAGGGCTAAGCGCGAAGGTAGCATCGTTTCATTCCACCATATCAACCTGAGGGACGCTTTTGCAAAGAGCATGGACCTAATCGATGTCATCGTTGACACAGGTGAGCCTCTAAAGAGTAAGTAAATATGCATGCAAAAAAACTGCACAAAGCATGATATTATCATATTAAGTAAAAGTAGTGTCAACAAAAACATATTTTTTAAAAATAAATATATATATAAGAGCGCTTTTATGTCTTAGGTTGGGAAGAAGCCGGATGGTTGAATGGTCAAACTATTTATGTGGTTTGGTGTCATTTGACATTATAGTAGTAGTCTTCTACACTAATTTGCAACTTTCATTTTCAAAAAATTAGCTACTTCGAAACTCCTTCATTTTAACACAAGTCGAGATAATTAACTACAAAATGATACTGCCTAATATCTCCTTCCTGTTAGGTTAAATAGACATCGCCTTACTTTCAACCTTTAAATTAATCCATTCAAACTTTAAATTAATGAATTATAAATAGATTTGATTAGTTTGTTTGTCATCACATTCTAAAAAAAAATATTTTATCAAATGTTATTAGATATTATCTTGATGTTAATTGATATTAACCTTTAAAATTATACTTTTAATTTTTTTTAAACACAAGGATAAGGCCAATTTGAAAGAAAAGAAAACACTGTTCCTTTGTCGAGCTTTCGAGGAATATATCCTCTTCATCAGACATGATGAAAAACTGATGATGAAGATATATATTCCTCAAAAACATGACGACCAAGAAACTGAGCCTTTTCTTTTCTTTCAACTTGGTCTTAACCCTGAATTTTTAATAAAATATCGTTATAAGGTATGCATAATTTTTTTTTTACAACAAAAACACCAATACTTCTGGAATTCGCCTAAAAAATAACACAGTAAAAATTATCCATAATGGAAAATAAGAAGGAAAAGAAAAGGGCCATCATAATTTTCAAATTTATTCAAACCTGGATTAATTTCACAAAAGCATACTTCTAAACAAAATAAAACAAAAAAATTACAGTACAGTAATGTTAAGAATTTATCAAGCCCATCATTTGTTGATGAATTTGAAATATTGAGATTTTGAAGATAAATGTTGCAAAAACCAGTGTACATAGATATTTTTAAAAGTAAAAAAGTTTTATATACAAGTAGACATCTTAGAGAGTGCTTTAGAAAGCACATAGCTGATTTTTAAACCCAAATTTAAATTTTAAAAAAGATTTTTGTAATAAAAAGAAAAAAGACAATAACAGGTATTAAAAGAGCATCCAGAACCAAGCAGCTTCGATTTCAACTGCAGCAAAAAAATTTGCTTTCTGAAATTAACTTATGACCAAAATACCTGGAATAACTCAGTTTGTTTTTGACAAAACTGTGGGGGCTCCAGGGCACAATCTAGGCGGAGAGCCAGGAGGTGTGGCTGAATGCGAGCTGGTCCCTGGCCCGAAACTGAAACCAAGGCAGCCGCAAGCAGGAGTTCCCAGCATCACGGGTCCGCCCCAGACGCTCCTTGACCTGGAATCGCCACCTCAGCCGCCTCCACTTCCAGTCCCGACAAGTCCAGTAAGTACATCCTTCTCAAATGCGACCTGACCCCATTCAGAAACCCCCCTCCCGAGACAAAACGCAAATTGCAAGACGCTGGCCTGGCAATTTACATGCTAACTTTTCCTCTCTTCAATGATTCCATCTTATGTGTCAAGTGTGTACTCACGTTGGTTTTTTAGATTTATTAATGCAAGTAGAATCTGAGAAATGGCAGAGAACAGACTGTACAGTCTTGCAAACAACCCTTTCTGCACATCTTTTTTGGAATCCCTCGTTTAATTATTTTTCTTTCATTTATTTTATTTTACTGTTTTTAAATGCACAGCATGGTTTGTTTTTTTAATGTCTTCATAAAACAGAATAATCTACATGTTGCTTGAGCATACATGTGCATACAAGCTGTGCTTCAATCTAAGAGCCACATGAAATCTTACAAGACCTTTTTATTTTACATACATACAGTGGAGTCTCGCTAATTTGAATGTCTCTAATCTGAACATGTTTCCAAAGATGGAGTAGAGAAGGAAGAGGATTTTTTAAAATATTTTATGTACTATTAGTGGCCAGTTTCCTTTGCCCACTCCAAACCTTACTGCTGATTTTCGGCACTCTTTCATCCAAAAATTCCCTAAGTCTGCGTGGAAGTTTGGTCCTTTCCGAATTGGGTCACCTATCATCATTATGGTCAGACAGATGCATTTCAACTTGTTGCCATCTTCAATGGTGGTTTTAACCAAAATTTATTAAAAAGTAAAGATGGTGAGAGGACAAAATTGAGAGGATAGACCAAAATTATTCAAAACGCAAACTTCACTAACCTTCTTGTCTACCAGCCTATTTTTCAACCTGCAATCCAATTTTTTGTTAATTCACAAAAGAGCTCAGTCCTAATCAATTCAGTCTAGTTGGTCTGTTAAGATTTTAGTTCTGTCTGCCTGAAAAAAAAAAACATTGAGGTATGGATATGTAAACTAACCAGTGACTAACCCTAATCCTAACTCTAACTTTACTTAACCTAATCCGTCCCTAACTCTATATAACCTAACAATATGCCCCTAATACTAACAATAACTTTACCTAACCTTACCTGCCCCTAACTCTATGTAGCTCAACCAAAGCCTAACTTTACCTAACCCAGCCCGTCATTAACTCTACATAACCTAACTTTACCTAACATGCTCACTCCTCAGTAACACAAAATCAGTAGCATAAAAAAAATTATCCTTCCTAAGTCTGCTTACCTTCACTCGGTTGGTCTGTATGGTTCATTTCAGCATTTCACCATCTTCATTTTTAATAACAATTTTGGTTAAATCCCAACTCTGAAGATAGCAACGAGCCTGACAGACCAAAACAATGATAGGCAAACCAAAACTATAGGTCAATCAGACTAGTGAAACTCTATTGTATGTCAAATAATTGTCTCAAAACTGTCATTATATTTTAATCCTCCTATATAATTATTTTATTTATATATTTTACTTTATTCTGTATTTTATTATTATTATTATTATTATCATCATCATTATTATTATTATTATTACTACTACTATGTTCTCACCACCTTCTGGCAGACAGAGTACCCATTGTTTATTTTTTATTGAGTACATTAATATTATTATTCCTCCTATAAAAAATGTTTATACCGTATATTTTTTTCCTCTTCATGTTGCTATTGCTGGGTTGGTCTGTCAGGCACGTTTTGGCATTTGAGACACAAGGAATGACAGATGACAAAATGATCCAGCAATGACCAAATTACAAACATTTATACACCAAGAAAAAATAATTAAATTTAAATGCCTTATTTGTTTAATAATATAAATTGAATCACCCAATGTAAGACCTAACAATTTGAATTAAACTACAATCTGAGAGTACAAGAATCACAATGATCAGTTATTGATATCATTTAGCCAATTATTGCCCACAAATTTGGTTGGACAGGACCAAACTGATACTTTTTCAAATCTCCTGGTTTCATTTTTCCCCCTTTGTGTGGTAGAAACTTTTATTTTATACAATTTATTACTTTTCAGTTTATAGACTCGACCAGCTGCATGTTTCAGAGCTTGGAGAAATAAAAATAATTTTTAAATAACTCACACAACAGACATCCAAGCACTCTGCCATTTCTTATCCACTTGGTAGCAGTTTGAGACTTGCGCAAACTGTCATTCTTTTTTTCTTTTTGTTTTATAACTATCGTTAGAAACGCTGATGAATAAAACACAAAAAAAAAACACTTTGTTCTGCTTATACAATATTGCTTAGAACAAAAAAGAAATGACCAGAAATTTCTGTCTCTCTTCTCTCTTTTTTGTTTTCTCTCCGCTAGGGCCATGAGAGCAAAAACGACTCAAACATCCTATCAAAACTCGACGAGTTACCGAGTGAATTCGAATGTTGCTTTTGCAACACTAAGGTAGTACAATGAAACAGTATTTTAGCCACTTTATTTAAACAAAAAGAAAGAGAAAAAATAATAAGATAATTTATAAGAATGGTGCACCCGTATTGCACATTTTAAATCACCATTTCTGCTTTGCATGCTGCAAAAATTTTAATATTATAAGCCTGGCTTTTGCGACGTTCAATTTTTCTGTATAGTTTTTAAAATTTTTTTTATTATTATATATTTTTTTTATTTTTTTTTACTGCACCCTTTTAGCCCAACGTTCATAAACGGGCAGTTTATGCTTTTTTTTTTATTTTTTTTTTCCATAGGCATAGTTTAAATGTACATTTTTCAAACGTGGATTAAGAGATATTTAAAACAAACAAAATGAGGAGATATATTTCACAATATAATAACAAAATAATATCTTTAAAGACCTCTTAATCCAAATCAAAACGATTTTCTTGTAGAATTTACATACAAAAAACATTTAACTGTTTATGATCGAACATGTTTAATTTTCTGGTATGTTTTAAACAGAATAAAACCTCTTTACCATATACCTCAAAGAAAGCATGTCATAAACATTAAGTGTAGAATTTATTCGACTATTAACTTAATGTCGGTCTGCATGCCAACCGAGTAGATGCTGTACGAGTGGCACTTTGCAGGTAGAACAGAGCACAAGGTTAAAAACCTCAGAAGTTACCCTGAACGAACCTGCCTGTAGCATGATTCTCCCTTAGGTGAGTAGCACACAGAATTATTAAATCGCTTTATAATAAATTTTATTTAAAAATTTTAAATATGTTTGCCTGAATGATTAAATCTACATAATTAGGGTAATTTATATTGATTTTCTGTTTAATTGGGAATAAGCATGAGTGCATGAAACACTCAAAACATCCTCAGCACAGTTTATTTAAAGCTTTTTTTTCTTATAAAGTTACATTTAGAGATGGGTTAGCGTAGAAGTTAGATTTGTAAATAACACTCACCTTATATTGCACCATTGTATCCACCTGTTGAAAAAAACAAAATTTGTTAATTTTTTTAGAACAAATTTTTTATAAAAAATAATGCATGGTTTCTATATGTTTTTCTTTTTAACGATTCAGGAAATACAACAGAGGGTTCGGAAGTCGGATTGCAAACAGAACCTCCTTGAAATAGCCTAGTGCTTTGGAAAGACTTAAACCGCTGGTATAAAGTCAAGCATTATATCAAAAACCACACGAAATTCTAAATGTCAAAAAGTCAAAAAAGAAATGCCCAATCTTCAGCACTAAAACACCGACACATAACTACAGCATGTTATACTTTTATATCTTAAACGAAATGAATTGTCTAAAAATAAAGAAAATCTCATTTGTTTATTAAACAAAAAACTAAATAAATAAAAATTATAGAAATATCAACTCCAAAGAAAAATTGGACAAGTCAAATTTGAAGTTATGTCATAATCCAAGTTCAAATATTTTGTTTACACCGACTGCTTTTATTTTTTTGATGCTACACCTGCTTATAATTGTAAATTTTAATACAGAATGCCAAAGCTGACGCAAAGAAATCATCTTAGAAAGTGCAAAACCTTGAAAAACGTTCAGTACTAAAACTATAAAATTTAATTTTTTTAACAGCTCGTTGTTACATTTATTTTGTTATTGTCATTATGTCAGGTCTTTTAAATTCATTTATTTCATAGATACTAAGACAATTTATAAAAGCTGACATATTTTTCTTTTGTTGTTCTAATTTCTGTTTTTCAAAGCATTTCCCACTTCTGAAAGTTTGCTGGACATTCTCTATTTAAAAAAGAAAATACAATTTACAATTTGATAAAATTCCAATGGCCCATCTCTAAAGTAATTTGATGTATTTTGATTTATTTTACTCAATAAGTAAATATTAAAGTGCTGTTAATCTTGAGATCAAGTGGAATATAATTTTTTAAAAATCAAAAAAAGATTTTTTTTTTAAGTTTTATACACTTGAGTCAAGGTTTGCCTCTTTATTAACAAATTAACTAAATAAACAATTTAGAAACTGCATTTTTTCTTATCACAGAGCATCTAATAACTATGCAAAAAAATCGCTTATAAATCTTTGGTTTTTGGAAAAAAATAAACAAACAAAGCAGTTTGACAAAAGAAAGGCTCAATTCTAACACAGGACTATAAAGAGTTCACGGATGCAGAAAACCTCATGCTGTTCTCGACATCTGACTTCCGGAACCCAATCTGCCTTGAGATGAAACTGCTTAGAAGTGGTGAAGGGGCTCCGGGCTCAGCCGTCTGCGCTATACCCGGAGCCATGGAAATAGGCTCGGTAGATTCGTCGGACACGTATGCATCTTGCAATACACAGCCCTTCGCATCTCAGGGCGATCTCACCGAGGAAGACTCGAACCTGTACATCAACCCTATGCTACACGATACCGAGACGAGGAATGTGAAAAAGTCAGCGTCCGGTGACACAGCTCTGCGCGCCTTCGACGAGGAGGAGGACCCGTTCCACAGCCAGGAGCGAGGCAGCAGGGGATCCCTCAATGAGACTCCTCTTCCGAAACACAGAAAAACAAGATTCTCACAAGTAAGACTCTTAATGTTTTATGATACTGCCACATTTCTGTATCACAAATCTTAATGTACACCCTTTCCACACAAATTTTAAAAATAAAACATTTTATTTCATTTTTTAAATAACTGTTTTGTAATAAAACTTTTTTTTAAATAGAATAGTTATTTACTATGTTTGTACAGAATAGCAATATTAATTTTTTTCTTGACTTTTATAAAAATATGGCTTTATCTGCATAGAAGATTTTGAGCACAGAAACAATTTCCATATTAAATTAAACACAAGCCATTATTAAACTTTTAAAAACATAAAAACCTTAACATTTTCATAACTATTAGTGGATTATTATGAAATTTAAGACCATGCCTTCTGGCGCACCAAAAATATAAGACTGTTGATGAATTTCTAACTTTAGATTTTCATACAATATTATTTTAGAACAAGTTTAATGTTTAAAGGGTAAAGTGTGACAAGGCTAATATTTCAACTAAAAATAAAAAAACTCAGATCAGGATTTGTTTGAATAAGGATTAAGTGCCAACACTATACTAAAAAATAATAATAATTTAAAAATTTGTATGATTAAACAAACATGTACAGCAATAATATAAAAACATATAATTGCCAATTAACCGACTAATTGCAAATTCGTGTTTGACAGCGAGCGTTGATAATAAAACAACGACAGGTACATTGCGCCTATCCTTTAAGAGTGGCAGTGTTTCTTTATTATTATTATTATTATTATTTAGCGACTTTTTACCTATTTTGGACAGCATGGCTCTCTCTCTCTTTCTCTCTGCACACATTTAGCTTTAGAATCTTAGCGATATCATCCCAGAGGATATTTTGCTTGCAGAGTATAAATTTATACATAACTTTTATTTTGTTTTTTATTAAGATAATTTTATAAAAAATTTAGTGATCTTGTAGAATAATATATTTTATAGATAAAGCGAATGTTAAAGAACTGCCTGCTATTTGAGTAGATCATTTCTTTTTAAGGCTGTTATTGAATCGATGATGGAAAAATGAAATAAACTGATAATTAGCCTAACCTGTTACTAACACTAAGCCTAACCTAACCTAATCCATCCCTTACACTAATCCTAACCTAATCTGGCACTAACCTTAACCCTAACCCTAAACTTCAGCCTATTTTCCCTTCTTTATGATGGTATGCAATTTAGCTATAGGAAGCTTGATTTGTCATGATTGCCAGTTGCTCAATAATTGCAGAAGTGGATCAGGGATGTGATTGTCCATGATATATTCCCTGATCCACTTCTGCAATTAACAACTGTTGGTTGATCACTTTATCCCTGGTTGTTCTATAGTCTATCATATCATCTATCGATACATGGCCAGAGCAACTGAACCTTGCGAAGCAACTTGATTAGAAACCAAGATTATATTGTAGGAAGTTTTACAGTCAGGGGAGGTGTTTAGAAAGACCAAGGAAAGGAGGTTGTTGGGTTTTGACTGTTTGGCAGCCCTTTTTACACGTGTCCAGGGGAGAATTGAGACTCTTTCACTCCTTCTTGGTCTTCCTTCTTTACTTTCCTATGCAGTTTCAAAGCTAGGGTCTGTGGTCCTGATATCACCCACTTAACCCAACCCAACCTAACCTAACCCTAATCAAAACCCTACCTAACCTAACTCATCCTTAACCCTACCTAATCTAACCTAAGCCAACCGCAAAAAAATTGTTTATCCAGCCCAAAAGTAATAAGACAAAATCATACTAGGCTATCCTAAGTTGTTATAAAGATTAGATAAAAATATTCATAAAGATCACCGGGAAAAATTATTGTTAATTCATTATTTATGTTATACTTTTTGAACTTCTTAATGCAAATACACTTTTTAAAGTTTTGATCATTTAACTTATTTATCATTTTAAGAATTGTTAATTTAATTCCAAAATTTCTTCAATGCCAATTTATGTGTAAATTAAAACAATTGGTTAATAAAATACAAAGCACTCTCCTCACTTTTCAATTTATGAAATTAAATTTGCCAAAATTGTTAACAGAATCTATTAAAATTAAAGTTAGATTTAAAAGGGTAGTTTTTATTAAATATTATTTAAAATATGGTGTGAAATTAATTCAACTTCTTGAATATCACTATTCTTTAATTTTGTATTATATATATATATATATATATTTATGTATCATGATATATTATTTATATTTTATTAATTTTAAGCATGCTCTAAAGCTTTTAGGAAAGCTAAAAGTATGAAGTAGGTAGAAAGCACATATTTTACTACTTTAAAGGAAAGAAAAACTTTTAAAAAACAATACTGCTTAAGATGGAATTAAATTCGATATTGCTGAAATGGCTGAATGCTGACAGGTCCCTCGTATTTATAAGTTGCTAAAAGTGATAGTTTTAAGCAGAGGCCAGCAGAAAGATGAGTGCGCTGATACACGCAAGAACCATCTAGTCAAAATTATATTTTTATTTACAGTCTGCAAAACTAGGGGAAGGAATTGGGAGGGAATCGGAAGAAAGTTTGGAGACGATAAAGAAAAGGCGACCTTCATTCATGCCCAGCCGGCCACTAGCGACTGCTACAAGGCTGATAAATCAACATTTATTTGGGCTCCAATCGCTTGGTAAATCTGGAAGAGGTATGACGAATATGACTTTTTTTATTAATAAAACTAAATTTAAATTGTGTCTAGGACGTAATGGCGAAAGCAGATCTTCCCTCTCGGTCGATTCGATAGACAGCAGGATATGTCCAACACCCGAAACACACCGTCGTTCCAAGTCCATCCTGAAGAAGCACGAGTCGACAACCTGCGGGCTCAACCATCGACCAGCACGTGATGACCCCGAGGCGGAAAAGCTCATATCTTCGGACAATGTCTCTGGTGCATCGGGTGGAGGTGCCGACTTCAGTCCGGGTCGGACGAGAGGAGCCGTACTCAAGTTCTCAATGGACCCGCCCCCGCTGTACATCTGTCCCCCTCCACCTCCTATGGACCAGTCGCCTACTGAAGAGACGAAACTCTTAGGTAGGAGGCACCAACACCTGAACACGTCTTAGCAATCAATTGTAATGAAAGAGAAAGCCCTGTGATCTTGGAAAAATCTTCGCCTCTACACTTTTCAAAAACAATCATGTCTAAGCTATACATATGTAAGATTTACTCGGTGGAAATTGATCGCAAATAAATTTAATTTCAAAAGAGGCTCTACACATCAAGTATTCCTAAGTTGTGTCATGAAATAAACCCACACGAGGCTGCGAAAGGCAATAAAACTTTTGAACGTATTATTAAAACAGTATAACCTTTGAAAAGTGCTTTATAGAGATCATGAAAGAACAAATTAAAAATTAAAAGTCTAAAAATTAATATTTTAATACAGTAATAAACTTTGCTCAAGCACTTCATTGGAATTTAAATGTAAGACATACATTAAAAATTCATAGTATGTATTATGTAAAGATGAAGTATAAATGAGATTTATGTTGTGCTATGTGGTCAAAATATACCATAGAAAGCTAAATAAAATTCCCGGATGTGTATGTGGGGGGGGGATAATAAGACTACAGGATGCAAAGTTGAACTTTACTTTTACATCCACAGTTTACCGAAAATATAATAAAATTAAACTTTTGTTAAAGGTCAAAACATAAATACAATAGTTTGTAAATGTTCAGAGTGACATATCAAACTAAAAAAAAATATATATGTAAAAAAATAAAACCAAAATGCAAAATTTAAAAACAAAATAATAAACATGTAAGTATTGTATATACAAATTATTAAAAAGTAATATTACGTGTTAATGTATTTTTAATTAAAATAACTATAAAAATTGTATATTTTGTTGCAAAAGAAACATATGAGTGTTTTTTTTTCTTGATCAAAAGTTAATAAATTATGCCAAAAAGAATTATATATAACTGAAAGCTCACTAGTTAGTATCCTTCCTTAAAAAATAATAAAGCCCATGAAACTAAGGACTATAATCAACGAAGAAAATTTTTAAGAATACAATCATTAGCAAAAAGACAAATCATTGGAGAAAAGAAGAAAAAAAACTCTAAATCGTGGACTGTGCAGAAATACTTAACCCCATCCTATAAAAAAAAAAGTTATGTGTATTAATGGAAAATCACGCTTAGCATTTTTTATATAAAGCACAAGAAACTAATGTAAAGGAAAAATGTATTTTTAAAAAATACATGCTATGGACAAACAAAAAAGAATACATTGTTGGAAAATTGCTTATTCTTATAGCCAGGAAATAACAAAAAAAAATCCGTGTTTATTTTGTTATGAATAAGCAGGGGAAAACTCAATGAGAGATAATGAATTATATCTGATTTTTTATTAGATTGTAAGTTGAAAAAACGAAAATTGTTGAAAAATTATGAAATAATACAATAAATTGATTTTAAAGTTTATGCTTGTTAAATTTATATACCTTTCTCCCTAACTTTTTTTTAATAGAATTCAAATATCAATTATAATTCTAGCAGGTTTAGTTCAGTTTAAAGGTATAGAAAGAATCAAGAATGACACATGTAGTTTGAGAGAGATTTTTAATTTAAAAAAATCGTTTAATCCCAAATTACTCTGGGAATGCTTGCCCTAGAACAAAGCAACAAGTTACCTTGAGGTTCTGCATCATCAAGGTATAGAAAGAAACAAACAGGCTGACTGACTAGCCAAAGAATGGACTGTCTTCTCGCCCACGGAACCACAACTAGTCACACCGAAGTTGGGGAAAAAATAGTTTAAGAAAGAAAACATGCAAGCACATTACAAAAGCACCGGGTATGAGGCAACGAGATTTAGAAATCTCTGAAAAGCTATGGAAAAGAACTTCTGTCAGCAGGTAATTTATGAGGAAAATTGTAAGTTTCTATACAGGCCACAATCCTCTGTACTACAACCTAAAGAAGGACCTAAGCAGAGACAGCAACATGCTGACTCTGTCAAGAGAAACCAAAGACATCAGCACATATCCTGTGAATATGAAGCACCAGCCCTAAATTACTTTTTAATTTGGTTGTAGACTAAAAAGTAAGTTTTAATAAGGTTTAGTCTAAAAAGATTCATAGTCATGAGAGCAAGAGAGTCCAAAGTCCAGAGCGGTGAGTCCAAAGGTTACTTCAAAGTAGAGGAGATTCCAAAGACAGAGAGTTGACAGACTATAAAGCCATAGGAGCAGAAGATCTCAAAGACCAGGAGAATTCTGAGAACAGAAGAACACAGCAGATCAGTAAAGTCACAAAACAAGTAAAATCCCAAACCAGGAGAGTTCTAAGACATGAAAGATCTACAGATCAGTAAAGTCACAAGATTAAGAGGAGTGAACAGACCATTAAAGTCATTCACCAGTCAGTCCCATCAAATTGGGAGATTCCCGACACTAGGAAAAGACAACAGAGCAGTAAAGTTACAAGGCAAGTAAAGTCCCAGGAAAGACCCAAGAAAAGGATGTGTCGTCAGTCCAGTAAAACTATAAGAGCAGGAGACTCCAAATATCAGTAGGGTCCAGACTAGGAGAGTAAAGAGACCAGGTTAGCCCAAAGACCAGGATTATGAGGCCAGGAAGAGTCGACATACAAGTAAAGTCCCTAGAGCAGTAGAGTCCAGAAATCAGTAAAGTCAAGAGAGCAGGATATTTCAAAGACTAGGAATGACCAGACACTGGAAGAGTCCAGAGACCAGGTTAGTCCAAAGACCAGGAAAATTCTGAGGCAAGGAGGAGTTGACAGACCAGTAAAGTCAGAAGAGCAGAAGACTTCTGAAACTAGGAGAGTCCCAAAATTAGAAGTCAATATCAAGTAAAGTCATGAATGCATGAGACTCAAAAGTCTATGAGTGTCCAGAGAACAGATTAGTCCAAAAACCAGGAGATCAACAGACCAGTAAAATGCCAAGACCAGGAGAGTCTAAATATGAGGAGAAACTGACCAACCAACAAAGTTTCAAGACCAGGAGAGTCCAGAGATGAGGAGGAATCGACCGATCAGGGAGTCCTGAGACAAGGAGTTAACAGACAAGAATAATGCCTGGCTAGGAGAAATTGTCACATGAATAAAGTGCCAAGACCAGGAGAATCTAAGGTGAGGAGGATCAACCGACCAGTAAAGTGCCAAGAGCAGGAGAGTCCAGAGATGAGGAGGAATCGACCGACCAGGGAGTCCTGAGACAAGGGAACCTCAACTCCAAACTCAAAGTGAAGACCGTCTCAGAAGGAGCAGTATATCAGGAGAAAGTTAAAAAAGACACAAAAAGGCAGTAAGTGGCTAAAGAATCTGTATCCCCGTGTTGGTAAGTGCATATTGTTAATAAATCCACTCATGGAGTTACTGACAATTTGATCAGTGTAAATATGGAGACCTAGCTTGGATTTTAGCTTAATCCATTTGGTTTCTTTTTTAATGAGGTTTTAGCCTAATACAAACTAAATCTGCCACAAAACCAGTGAGGAAAGGCGGATATAAAAATTTTAAATACTGAAACAGCTTAATCATTTTTTATGATGAGACATAAAATGCAATTGTTCTGTTCGTTGTTCCTTCTTTGATAATCATCCTATGGCAAAGTACTTCAAATAATTACAAATAAATCTGATTTAAATTTTTTTTAATTTACAAAGATTTTAAAAATGTTAACTATGATTGAACTCCAGCCTACTTACCCAACTCATCTTAGAAATTAGAACAACTTCTTTTGTAAAGAGAAATTTTCAATTTCAGTTCAAAAGAGGTTTTACTTTTGTTTTATTGTTTTTTAAGTTTGCACTTTGCAGTTAGAATAAATTTACAAGAGTTTAAAAATAAATATCCCCGTTGTCATGATAGGACTTATCTGCTGTATAGAAACTGTACTATACAGAAATTAAACACCAAGGAAATAATAATTAAATTTTTAATATAAATTTATTCAAGATTTATTTATATATTTGTAGCAATTTTCTTCGTGCTTTTTCTTTTAATGAAAAAAAATTAACTTTGCCATGTGGCTATTACGAAAAATGACCGTTAGGCTATGACCTTCGATTAATTCGCCATTTTATTCTTCTCTGTTCGGTTTGGTTATTTCTGACGGTTAATTGTTATTGTACAATTTAAAAACAAACGAATATACTTCGTCTCAGCAATATTTCATGCCAAGGTAAAAATTACGAACGGATTTGTTTTTTATTTGCTAGGTCTAAACTCACAGATTGCCGGAATTCTCAGGACGCTAAAAACCACGAGGAAGTTTGTTAAGAAAACAGAATGATCATTAAAAAAACGTCAGTTTATTGTAAAAAAATTAATTAATGACAATTAAACACACTTTGTGCTATTTTCATCTCTTTTTTGACAAAATTTCATTCGTCGAGTCTTCTAGAAAAATGGCGATTCCTTTTGCTCAAGAGTTCCTTTTTGTGATGTTTTATTAAAATTGAGGGTTTTTTGTAATATTCAACGTATCTTTACCATACTGGGTCATAAAACAATCAAAATTTATGAACATAAAGATAACAAGATGAACTATTCCTTCTTTTATTCTGATTTTTAACAGAATTTTGTATCAACTTTTAACATTAATTTAACTTTTTTCTGTAATTAAACATATACTGTTTTATATAGAATTTAGTCTAATTTTTTTATTAAACTATTAAGCTGTTATAATCACCAGATGTATAAGTATTTGAGGGGCTTCTTTGAGAAGATTGGCATCGTGAAGGAGCTGGATACGATCGACGAAGACGAAATCGTACAGGCTCTCTACAACGACGACGGCGATGAGTACAACCTGACCAAGATCCAAAATTACATGTGCCAGAGCTATAAAGGCAAGGTGACCCATCTGAACGACCGCGTAGCTGTCATCGACTACCAGTACTACTTCCATCTCAAGAACACCCAATTGTCGCACCTGAAGATCGGCGATGTCGTTACTTGCAAGCTGTACACCAAGGACCTCGACACGCTTGTCCGTTCTGTCCAAAAGGTCGATGGCGAATCGGAAGATGAATACGAAGTCATCGACGAAAAGAAACAAAGGTTGTTTTTTATTAACATTGTTTTTGTTAATTTTATAATTTTGTTTTCTTAATAGAAACCTCGAAGGATTAACAGAATTAAAAATAACAGGGAAAATTGTTAAAAAGGTCGTGAGGAAAATCACTATTGAAACGAGGGATGAAGAATATCCTATTGTCGAGTTTAATATGGATAATGTACGAGCTGAATTCATCCCTATGGCAGGTAGTGTAGAAAAATAAATGCTGATTAGGAAAAGTTTGTTATATTAAAGAAACACATATTAGGAGATATTGTTGAGCTTGAATGTCTAATTCCTGATGGCTCAAATCCTGATTTGCAACACCCAGCGATGACGGTCGAAATGGTACTCCCTAAGAAAACAATGCTGAAGCATGGAGTCGTCACCGAATGGGACAGTGTTCGTGGCGTGATAACAGGTTTTGCCGAATTCACCGTGCACACTTGCGAGCCCGGCTACCAGCCTACAGTCGGCGACAAAGTACTGACACAATTTTTCCCCCCTTTGAACTTTTGAATGAATACATTGAATGTGTAAAGGTTCTGGCTAGTGTGATCCGTAGTGATCAGAACGGATACTCCTGGCGGGCGGTTCAGGTGGTCCCTCAGAGCAGGCAATTTGACACGAAACTATCGAAACAGCACGAGGAAGCTAGGCGAGATCTACTCAGAGATAAAGAGGGTGTTTACATTTCAAAATGCGCAAAATTTGAAATAAAATTAAACGACGTTAAAAAATTCACAGCAAGTTTTTACCCAATTGTCTAAATTAATTTCTTAAAACTTAACTTTTTTTAAATTTTAGGTCGAGTTGAGTAACAAAAGCTTAACGACGAAATATCTCCTTCAGTGTTCTTCTCTCGCAAAAGCCGATCTGTCGCAGCTCGTTCTCATCAAGCCTGAGAATGTCAATATGGAAATCAAAGCTGATTCAATCATTGGTTTTACTTTCGAGCTCAGGGGACGGTTTTTGGGCAGGTCATCTGAGCAGTTTGTCTGGGTCTTTAACGGATTCAAGATTGGAAGGATTTTCGATATCGAAGTCTACGATACTGCGATTATCCCAACTTCTCCAAATGGTAACTTATAAATCGAATGTTATACCTATGCATGGCTTTCACCTAATATCAATTCATTATTCAAGTATTGCTACTTTTTTGCGACAGTTTGAAATATAACAAAATGGTTCCTGGTACTAAGGTTGTTGGTTTTCGGTTATTTTCATATTGTGGGCAGAATGGACGAATGAACACCGAGTAATTCATATAGCTAAATAAAATTTAATATGGATCAATGTTATGTACAAATGTAGGCTACAGACTTATTTTGGTTATACTAGGTCGAAAAATATTAGCATATCCGAGTTTTCTTCTTCTTTCCAATTGGCTTAAGAACAGTGAAACTTATAGCATTTTTAAATATTTTTTAACTTTGTTGTGTATGTATTTCAAAGTTATTATATATATAATTTGAATCATTTTTGTACCTAGCATAAGAAAATAATATGCAGGATTGTATTAAATGTGATTAGTTATAAATATGGCAATAAATAGTTATAAAAAATGCTCTTAGTAAAGACCAAAAAATATTTTTTATTGGAAAAGAACAAACAATTCGGATTCGTTTTAAGCATAATTTAACGTCCTCAAATAAGGATTTTCAAGAGAAACAAAAAATAGACATTTTTGTACTCAATCAGCACGGTGCTTATTCTTTCTGATGTCCGGTGTTCCTCTTAAAAGATTCCCAACTCCTATGGGCTTTTTGTTCAAATTCAATGTTATTACAATTAAACCCATTATGTTTAGTGGTCTAATTGGCCAAATTACTTCTTTAATTAATTATTCTTTTTACTTAAGGTCCTGGTTGAGATGAAAAAGTGTCACGAGCGGGTTTCAACCCACGATATTCGGCTAAAAGCCACTGCTCTAACCACTTGAGCTATCGTGACTTCGATCCGCTCGGTCAGCCGAAGGTCGTGGGTTCAAACCCTGCTCGTGACACTGACTTTTTCATCTCAACCAGGACCTTACATAAAAAGAATAATTAATCGAAAGTTATTACAATTGTTGGAAAGTTTAATTCATATTTGAATTTTCCAACAATGTTTTGATTTTATGTCATAAATGAGAAAAATAAGAATTAAATCAACAAAAAAAACAAAAACAAGTCAGACGTTTTATTTTATATCTCAGGTTATATTTTTCTTATGCCATTACTTGTAGTTAATAAGGTCATGAACCCCTGTAAAATTTCTTGTTGATCAGTGAAGTTATGTTAAAGTTACCACAATTTTTGTGAGGTTCAAGGCAAAAAATCTCGGAGAATTAAGGCGATAATTTAAGGAATTTTTTTTTTTTTTTTGGGGGGGGGGTTAAGAAGATGAATATCAATTTGTTTCGTGCTAAAAATAAAAAAATTTAACTCACGATGCGGTTTAGCAGATTTGAGTTATGTGTTGAAATACAGTATTATTTTGTGACCAAGGGAGGGAAGAAAGTTGATTAAATATTTTTTTAGTAAAGTGGATATTAGTTTTGTACCCCCAAAAAGCACCTGAATATAATTTTTTAAAGAAATAAAAAATTTAAAAAAATGTTTTTCTCGAGTTTTTCGCATGCTAAATGTCTCAAATCTTTTTCCCTCAAATTATTATTTCCATTTCAAATCTTGATAAGTTTGAAACCACTCCACCAATCCACATGAAACTTTAATTATTTGTAAAACATACTAGATGTTTTACTGATTATTACTGATTACAACTAACTTGATATCTGCAAATAAATTTAGAATTGGAGATATAAAATAAAACATTTGGACTGTTTTTATTGATTCTATCCTTATTTTTGTCACTTGTAATGACATGAAGTCTAAATCTTGTTGACATACACTGAAAAAAATGATAAAAATCTGGAGGAGTTACGAATTTTTAAGAACCCAGGCTTTGGAGAGAAAAAAAAATCGCACCTGACTGATCGAGACTAAAAATAGATATTTCTTTTTTGTCTAATTGCTTTGCAATTTCACATTTAAGAGCTTTAATAATATAAAAGAGCTTAAAGGGTGCTTAAAACGAATCCAAATTAAATTTTTTTAGCCTATTTTCTAAAATCATCTTTGTTATTGTAAGTTTTTATATATCTATGTATCTATCATTTATGAAAAAAACAAATCAACTGATTTATAATAACCTTGAATTACATGTAAAACAAAGGCAGAAATTCAAACCTATTATCACTAAAAAAGTTTCATTAAAATCATTAGACTTCCCTTGTATGTTGAATTTTTTATATGGTTATACCAATATATTGGAAAAAAATTCTTGTACAGCACAATTATCTTGACATTACAGAAAAACTTTTAGAAAAATTATATATTCCATTATATCTAAGTTCAAATATAACCTAACTGATCATAAATTCAAATAGGTTAAGTGTAATGAATGTGTTCTTTGTTTCTTTTTAAAATATGATGTTTTTAGTTGGCACCCAGATACCTAGAAAGGATGTAACAGCTACACAGCTTATCGACAGGTCGTCAGGTGTCATCATGCCAGGCCGGAGGTCATTTTCACCAGCCGCGTTCGTACCCGTTAAACTCGGGCAGTTTTCACTTTCTGACAAAATCCTCATGGCTGCCCTTCCGGACGAGAAGATGAACCTGGACGATCTTATGTTGCGAGTTGAGAAGGTCCTGCCTTGCCTCAAGGAAGACCTACGACCCGAGACGTATCTCTCGAGAATGCACGGGCTCCTGTTTTTAGAAGAAGTCGCGATGTTGAAGCAGGTCGGGGAGTTGCAACTTGAAAAGGCCACTTTTAAAAAAAATGGCGATTGTCTTATTCTCGTCGTACCGGCACTTAGCCCATACACGACAAAATTAGTCGCAGGTAATACATGTTTTTTTTGTGTTTTTTTTGATAGTTTATGATGATTTTCAGGTGATATGCTAATTGCTTCCTTACCGTACTCGTCAAACATTGATGAAAGGAAATTTGAAGGCGTTATACACAAAGTGACGCGTACTGAACTCTGGCTTCAATTTGCAAAAGATTTCCATGATTCTTATGTAGAAGGGACTTATTATTCCGTTTCTTTTGTGACCAGCCGAGCATCATTAAGGAGAATGCACCAGGCGATTAATCTCGCAGCAAAACACCTCGGCTTCGGTTGGCTTTTCCCAACATTTATTAATCCTAGGCCACCTCAAGTATTTTATATTAACCTTATTGTTTTTTGTTTTTGTTTTTTATTTACATTTGTATTAATTATATTATTATTTAAGGTGATTGTTGAGCAAGCAGAAGAGAGCATTACAAGTGTCCCTATTAAGAATAAATCCAATTCTGTCAAGGAAATACCAGAGGAACTCTTTCGCCAACTAATTAAGAAATCTGGTGGGATGAAGGGTGTCAATCAAATAAATTATCTGGTCGAGGAAGCTTCTAAGCTAAAAGTAATATTAACTACAGTATTCCGAGTCGTTTTTCAGTTGTTGAAATTTTTTAGTCGCAACCTGCACAAGGTCAAAAGAAAAAAGATTTCCACCAGCTGTACAGCCCTGATCCAAGGAAGATATCTTTAAAAACAACCAACACAAAACTTAGCATTGAACAGAAGCTGATGCAAGCGGGCACTCCGGCTAGAGGCAGTTTTAACAGAGGGCGAGGGTTGAAATATGGTCGAGGAGGACGGGAGATCAACTGGAACCGACACGGCTCCGGCTACGGCATGCACTGCACAATCGACAATGAGTCCAAAGTCAAAATATCTGTCGAACAGAAAAAAACAATCAGGTGAATCTCCAAAACAAGAAACAGCAATTTCAAATTATCGGTCTTTCAATATTTCAGGTGGTTCAACAGAGGATTGAACGCTCAGCAGAAAGAAGCAGTCATAAATGTACTCCTGGGGGAGGCAAGGCCACTCCCTTACGTTATATTTGGACCACCGGGTACTGGAAAGACTGTTACAGTCGTTGAAACAATTCTTCAACTGCATGCTCTCATACCGGAAAGTAGGTATGTAAATAATACAATTTTTTCTTATTTTATGCAATTTTTTTTCCTCTATCGGAAAAATCATCAAACCAGTTTATTAACTTAATTTAACAGGCTGTTAGTCGCTACGCCATCGAACAGTGCTGCTGATCTCATTGCAGAAAGACTGCTTGAATCTGGTGACTTAGAACAGGGCGATTTGTTGCGCATGGTCGGTTATCACTACCTCGAGCAGGGGCGTATATCAGCCAGCATCATCCCTTACAGCGCCGTGCCCGATGTTAAAGCAATTAACATATCTGGAGCAAGTGGAAGTTCCCGTAAGTAGGGTACATTTTTTGTAAATTTATGTAAGAAATCAGAAGAAGACATAAACAATAGTGAAGTTTATTTATTTTTTAAATACAATGTTTAGCTGTTAAATTTATTTAAGAGTCAATATTACTTTTTCATCAGGAGTATCTGGTGTCAGTCCAGTTCCGCCTTCCATGAGTGAATTGAAATTAAACTTGATCTGCGGTACTGGAAATTCCAAAGGCGGGCAGAATGGAAAAGTCTGTTCTCCAGTGTTACAGTTATGAGACGCTAGCATGGCACTAAATCTGTCTTTTTGTTCCGTCAGCGATCTTATTTCAGATAGGAATTCGTTTTTCTCCCTTTGCAACTCGTCCTCCTGTCTCTGTAGCTCTTCAATCCACTCGTCCTTCCTCTGGCGACACCTTGCCGCGGCCATTCTGTTCCTCTCCCTCCTTATCGAGAGTTTCAACCTCTCTTCTGAAGTTAGATTTTCGCTCTTTCTCCTCCTCTTGACCTGGACCGGCTTGACATCGGGCTGAAACAATGATTCCAACCAGGCTTGTAAGTCTTCCTCCATTATCGATACCTTGATCTGCAGCAGCGTACAACTAAAAAATACTCTTTAAAAAAGACTAACAATTTTGTTATCGACAAGATTTGATACGCATCTATTCATCAGCCGTTTCCCAACTTTTGATTAGATTTTCTTTTATAATGTCAGGCAGAACATTTGATAAAAATTAAACTGATACACAAATACAGGAATTTTCATTAACAATTTCTATTTATCGGTTATTAAGAAGACATGGATCTTACTTAGGGTCAAATTACTTGTTTAAAATCATTTTTATAATATTACATTTAACCCTTTAAGACACTACCAATGCGTTTTAACCTAAAACAGGTAACTTCACATAAATAATATATTTTATTAAAATAAATCCTCTTTTTTTAATTAAATTGTTGTGTAAGTCCAGTAACTAATTATGACATACAATGTAATCTTTTTTCTTAATTTGAAGCTACTCTAATGACTTAAATTGGACTGTTTTCTAACCTTTAACTCTTTTATGGTTAGTTTTGTACTTTTTTTCAAATTAACATTGTTTGTAAAATAAGTCCATGACATTTTTTGTTGGTAAATTCAATGAAAATACCAGGTACTTGTGAACAAATTTAATCAAAAATATATACACCATTTTGTTCAATTAACTGTATCCATCTTTTATGTCATTTTATAATACCGTATTCTCAGGTTTTTAAATGTTGAATGTCTTAATATCTTTTACACAGTCCTAAAATGAGTCAATAATAGAGATACTCGGGGCGAATACAGTCGTGGGGTAGTACGTCTCAATCGAGATTGAAACATTTCTGGCGCATCTGCAAAGACGCGTTGGGACGAGCGTTAGTCCTGGTGGAAAAATCCCTTTGCAATTAGGGATTTTTTCCAATTATAGGTTTTAATCTGTAGTCTGGTACCAGAATTAACAATTTGGTCAGGCGGAAGAAGTTCGTAATAAAGCACCGCCTTCCAACCACACCAAAGAATATTTTTGAGCTGTTAACGGTGAGTCGCTGCATTTCCTTCGGGATTTTCCCTTCTAGACATGTACTAAAGGACCAACTTTTCATCCCCAGTTAATCTTTTTAAAAACAGGTCTGCATTGCATTTTAAACGGGAATCGCAGTCTAATTCTCATAAAAACTTGTAAGAGATTATCTGCAATGTCTCGTGTCATTGACTGTGAACTATTTGTGATAAAAGTTTGAATCTGTTCATCAACTAGAACGGTTTGCGTCTTACAAATCAAAATTTCCACTTATAAACCGAGAAAACCACTTACAGTCGGTGATTTTTCCTTAAGCGTCATCACCCACACATCACATATTTTCCAAGCAGTGCTTTACACTAATAAAAAGCTATTAAATGGCAAAAGTACGCTATTTTGTCCTCTATTTTAAATTATAAAAACGCTTTACCTTAACTAATCCCATTTCATAGTGTGTAAACAATGACTACATAAACATTCAAAACACAAGTTAAAATCGGATTATTGAAAACCACTACAGAATTATGTTGAAATACAATATTTTTATTGTATTGCTTACATTCTCAGCCTTATTTATATTTGTTAAATCAGCATTATAAATATTATAAATGGAAAAACTTATGTAAATATTCGTATTTCATCTTCTAAATAATTTTATTATTATATTAATATTATATATAATATAATATATAATTAATATTATATTAATTATTAGTTTCTTTTTTAAATAAAAGGCTTAAATATGTTTTTACTTGCCTGATTTGATAGATGTTCCATCATGGCAATCTCATGGGAGTAGAGTCAGGATCTCTTAACTTCTTGAGTTTATTACTAGGCAAATACCCTTTTTTTTAGATATTCATAAGCATTTTTGTGTTAAATTGTTCTAAAGTTAACTTACTGAAGTTAAGTTTGTTTTTGTTTTTTTAATTTAACTGTCTGTATGTGATCTGCATGCAAGGCTACTTTTTTATTTACCGATTTTGATTTTATTCGTGTTCATTAACAGGACCGAACTTAACAAATATAAGTTGATACTGCTTAACATTTTTCGCCGCATTATTTTTTTTTCTTCTCTTTTTTTTAAAACCTTTTATCATACGGCGAAATCTAATCTTGAAGATTGAAAAATAAAAATTTCTACTTCTGCTTGATAAGCGGGAATTTGATTCTAAACTATTTTTAACGCCGATATGATTCAATATCATAAACAGTGGAACTTTGTGATTTAAAGAGATAAATCGCCGTTTCTGCTTGATAAAAAAATAATAATAAAATGTAGATAAAGGATTTTTTTTCTAAAAACAATTGTATATTAATACCAAATGAAAAAGTATTTATTTTTATAACTTAGTTTACACAAATCTTAATGTTAATCTGAAATTTTTGTGTACTTATTTGAACATTTCATCAGTTACATTTAGTTTTTTAATACCTAACTCAGTTGCAAACTACATTAATTAGTTAATAAATCTGACAGACATTTTTTGAAATTTATTTTTATGATCAAGTCTCCATTATTTTGTTTTATTACATTTTTTAAAATATTTTCCTGATTTTTTAACAATTAGTACAACAATAATACATTTTTAGTGTTGGTCTTTAGCTTGAAAGTTTGATTTTTATGATTAAGTACAAAGTCTTGATACTTCATCCCGTGAACATGATATTCAATTTTAAATAAGCAAACAGTTAAGTCCTTGTGATTTCCTTTATCCTGCATTTTCAATTCTTAAGAGAAACAACTCGATTCGAATTATTTTCTCCCTTTTTCTTGGCAGTACCAGGTTTTACGGCGGAATTGTACTTCGACCTTTTCGGCGCTCTTTCTCCCCGGCCAGCCATTCGCCATGCCACGCTTTTGCTCAGCTAACTTTTTATTCTCGAAAGAACAGCCGGGATTGCAGGCGGGCGGTTTGAAATTCGACACGCCGTCTGAAATATACGCAGATCTCGTCCTCCTGTCTCTCGAAGTGTGCCGTTTATGTATGGCTTTGCTCTTGAACACTCGTTCATGGTGCGCCGGACTCTTGTCAGGGATAGTTTTTGATTTGTCGAGTTTGAATCCTACGCTGTCAGAACTTTCACCACAGGATTTAAACCCTGAATCATATTCCCTTTGAATCGTGGCCACTTCTTTTCTGGATCTTTTCTGGTGTCTTTTTTCTTCATGGCTTTGAGCCGTTTGTTTTTCAGATTTTTCAGCCTGCTGGGGTTTTTTAAATTTAGCATTTTGCTCGCCGGCTTGTGTTTTAATTTTCTCACTGGAGCTTTCTGTTGTATATTCAGTTTCTTGTTCTTCAGCTTGCATCTTCTGCAAATATTTTAAAGAGTCAAACTCAAATTTGACTTTGACAGGTATGAGGATGCCATTCGGGTCGACGTGTCCTATGAAATCTTCTAAACCCAGGATTTGATCGAATTCTTTTTTTATCTTTATAAGTTTAGCTATATTGTTCATTAATGAAGACGCGTTTGGTTTGTCTTTATGTCTTTTTATTGTGTTAACAAGATGGTCTTTGAAGATTGATAAAACATTTAACTGCGAATAGCTTGTTGATTTGTTTGTTCGCTTTCCTCGACTTTTTCTACGGCCTTTGTTCTCTTCAGACATGCTCTGCGGACTCACGGGTTTCTCCTGGTCCGGCGAATACTCGAAAACAGATTCTAAATCAACAAAATTCTCCAACTTGTTGAACAGGGGTGCAAATCTTGCAATATCGCTGGGCGCAATTTGTTCTAAATGTTTGAGTGTCGTTTCTGGGTTGATTTCAGGATCACTGAGCTCTTTATTCTCTTCTGAGTCTGATTGAGAATCGTTTTCATCGCTTGAATCGAAACAGGTCGGATCGTCGGTGTTGGCAAACTGCTCGATCTGCCGCTTGCCCACCAGTCCCAGACAGTTGCTGATTATATGCTGGAAATACGTCACTTTCAATTCTTCCGGTATTTCCTCCGGTTGGAATCCATTTTCAATAAAAACGCAGCCTTTTCTTTTTTGAAAAGTCCTCCCGTCTTTTACTGGCTCTTCGCTTTCTTCTGTTTTATTCTCCTGGATTATCCTTTGGAATACCGCCTTGGCGTGGAAGAAGTGTCTCAAATTGGTGCTGTTGCAGACATAACTGCCCATTTTGATTATAGAAAATCTTACCTTGCAACTTTTATCTTGTCCACTTGATGGTTCAGATAAAACTGAGGCTAGTATGACCCATGTCCCCACTCCATTCTAAAAATGCTAACTCCATTTCCTTTTAACATTTTCTACAAGAATCATTAAAATATTTTATGTGAAAATTGAACATATTTAATATTAATTAACAAAGTTGGTAAATAAATTGTATAAAAATTAAATTTCCTAAATAAATATTTGTGGTTTGATATATATATATTTTTTTTTTAATGTTATTTGAAGAAAATCCTCACCTTTAAGACCTGTAAAACACCATCAAATAAAAAAAAATCAAACTATACATAATAAATACATAAAAAAGCACAACAAAAATGAAGAAAAGAAAGATAAATATTTACATTACATTTTGAATTTTTCCATGATTGAAAAGTTGCTGTTTTAAATTAAAGGATTGTGGTGGAATTTATTATATTTGAGCCGGCAAAAGGTTTATTGTTTATATAGTAACTATACATATTCATTTTCATCAATTATTAGTTGTCAAAAAAATATCAGAAATTTTGAATGATTTTGGTCTGAGTTAATTAATTTTCTTAGACGAGGGAGTACAGATGTGTGGAAGAGAGCTTCTCGGACAGCATAGGGTCACGGTCGGCACGTTGGGCTGTCTCGGACTTCTGTACAACATGGGTTTCCCGAGGGGACATTTTACCCACGTCATCGTCGACGAAGCAGGACAAGCGACCGAGCCCGAAGTGTTAATACCAATGGGTAACGACGCAACCGTTGATCGTTTTAATTTTTAAAAACTTTCTTTTTTTCCCTTTTAGTTTTTCTCCATATGCAGTTTGGGCAAGTAGTTCTCGCGGGTGATCCTCTGCAGCTCGGCCCAGTAGTGACGTCGAGACTTGCGTCTAAATGCGGTTTACAAGATTCATTACTCGCTCGTTTGCTCAACAGGTATTTTACTCTTTTTTTGGTGTAATCAACAGCTTTTAATTATTATTTTTTATTTATTTTATTTTATTTTATTTATTTTTTTTTTTTTTAAGATATCCTTATACACGAGATATAGAAGGATTTTCCAGGACTTCTGGTTATGATCCAAGGCTTGTAACAAAGCTCGTTAATAATTACCGTTCCCTGCCGAGAATATTGAAACTTCCAAGCATGCTTTTTTATGACAACGATTTAATTCCAAATGTAAAACATATTTAAATTTTTAATTTAGTACGTTATTTCACTGTGCGGTTGAGTTTCAGGTGTCGGAAGTGGATAGCGAAGAGGCCAAGATATTAAGGGCCATCGGTGGAGCCCTGCCTTGCGGTTTTAACGGTCATGCACCACCGTTACTCTTCCATGGAGTTCGTGGCAATAACCAACAAGAGATTGAAAGTCATTCTTGGTACAATCCCGAAGAAGTGATGCAGACTTTTATGTACCTGAATATACTATACAAAGCAGGCTTGTTGCCAGAACAGATCGGAGTGATCACGCCATATCAACTTCAAGTTAGTTTTGAATTTTTTTTTTTTTTTTAAGGTTTTATTTTTAAAAATTTGGATTGTTTTTGACAGTCGAACAAGATTAGGTTTATGCTTGAAAAGATGGGTGTCGAGGCGCCAAAAGTCGGCTCAGTCGAGGAGTTCCAAGGACAGGAGAAACTTGCCATCATCGTGTCCGTCGTTCGTAGCAGTCCGGAGCTGATCAGCGTGGATATGCAGAAGGCTCTCGGCTTCGTAGCAAATGCCCGAAGACTGAACGTGGCCCTGAGTCGTGCCAGGTACTCAATCCTAACAGAAGACACATTCAAAACTTAATTGTTTTATTTTCAGAGCTTTGCTCATCATCCTGGGTAATCCGCATCTTTTATCGCTGGATATGCACTGGAGCAGTGTTTTAAGACACTGTGTGAAGCAGAACGTTTACATCGGCTGCGATCTTCCAGCAGATTTTAAAGTTTAATTTTAATATAGTGTAAATAAAGTTTTTATTCAAGCCTTTTACATACATTTTTAATCAACTAAATTTCATTTTGAGCATTTGAACACTCCGAAATTGTTTAACAGAACAATACAGAGGAAAAGCAGACAAAAATGATTGTTAAGGACCAAACAACACAAATTTTCTACTTTATATCATTTCAAACATAGCAAAGGTACAAAAGATAATGATGTGTCTAAACATGGCTGACAGATCAAGACAACAAAATGATCGGAAATGAACAAACTACAACAGCAAATCCCTACTTTAAATAATTTCTAGCATAGCAAGAGCTCTGAACATTGCTAAAAGCAAAAATAGCGAAAATAGGCTAACCTAAATGATCAGAAACTACCAAACTCAAAAATATATATCTTTCTTTTTTTTTTATAAAAGATAAATAGATGTCAAAATGTGGCAGACATACCAAAATAGTAAGGATTGACAAACCAAAATTATCAGTAATGACCAAAATACAAAAGCAAATCCCTACTTTAAATAATTTCTAGCATAGCAAGTGCACTGAAAATTACTAAAAGTGAGAATAGGTTAACCAAAATGAACACAAACACCAAAAAAAATGCCCATTTTAAATCATTTCTAGCTTAACAAAGGTACAGAAAATAATGAGAAGCTGAAGCAAGAGCTCTGAACATTGCTAAAAGCAAAAATAGCGAAAATAGGCTAACCTAAATGATCAGAAACTACTGACAGACTAAAACAGTAATGATACACAGGCCGAAATTGTCAGAAATGACCAAACTGTAAAAGCAAATGCATTTTTTAAAATAAATTCTAGCAGAGCAAAAGCTCTGAAGATTGGTAAATGCCAAAACAACATGGTTAGTGAAGTCAGAGTGATTGGAATCAAACTAAACTGCTCAAAACTGTGTAGGAATATTTGTAATTTTTTCTTATTCTGTTAAGTTTAATTAAATTAACCGATATATTCCTGTTAGTTGGATAAAATAAAATAGAAAATACAAACCAAAAATAAACAAATGTTAATAACGGATTTACTTAAGAATAGTAAACATGAAGATTAGTCATTTTGTAAATGAACACCTTTTCACGTCTTTTCTCCAGTTTTGTTCTCTTTAACCTGGAAAGACATCTTGAACCAGAATTTCACAATATTATTGTGAGAATTTGTCAATAAATGCCTCGAGGTCACAGGCAAGTGAATATCGCAGAGGCAGTTAGTGTTTCTCAGAGTTGGTCTCCCGAGAGACGAGTCCCAATAGGAGGCCTGGTAGTGGATCTCAGCGCATTATGACGCTAAGGAAAAAAATGTTCTGAAATGAAGTACAATTTGTATTTTTGTTTTAGCAAGTGTGATAAAGATCAACATAAATGATTCGTAATCATTTGTGGGAAATTGGACTCACATCGTATGCCCCTTTGAGAGGGCCTGCAGCAACAGCCCACCACTAGAAACTCAAGAGAATATGGTACAGCGAGCACCTAGAACACACCAATTGGAATGCTGTTGTTTACTGACGAGCCTCGTTTCTGTCGGTATAATATTCACCAAAGAGTCTATCGAGAACAGGGGATGCATACAATGCCCTACTTCCTGCTCCCTTCAGTGCAGTTTTGAGGAGGCAGTGTCCATATTGTCGAAGGCAACCTCACTGCAGTGCGTTATGTCCAAGAAATAATCAAGGATAACATCCCTCAAACCAGGGATCTCATTGGCAGGGATTTTTGATTTCTGGGTGACAACGCCAGACCAAGAAAACAAACGTTATTCAATATCTATAAACTTACAATAAATAACTTTAAAAAAAGTCAGAGCGGTTCATCAGTGTTTAGAAAACCTGAGAATTTCCCATCTGCCCCTTCCCCCATTGTCTCCAGATGTCAGTCACACAGCACATTTGGGATGCATTGCAGAAAAGGCTTTTCGATCACTATCTGCAGCCAGTCGACCTGCAACAACTGACTGCAGTGTTGCAACATCTTTGGAGTGAAATTCCTTATGAAATCGTATTAACACCCTAAAAGGTGCACAGAGTTTTAGCTAACAAAGGACATTTTACGCGGTATTAATTGTTTAAAAAAATTATGCCCTATAAAGAAATTGATGTGCAGCATTGCAACATCTATGGAGTGAAATTCTTTATGAAATTAGTGACAACCTTATTAACAGTATGCCTAAGGCTACGGTTACTTTGGATGCGAATTCTGGCGAAATTTTGTTCTGACGAATACGTCCTAAATCCTCATCGGAACGAGGTGGTTACAGTGTATGTGTTTTCTGATAGTCAGTACGTTTCTACCTCCCAGCAAATGGGTTTTATTTTCTTGAAAATCCATTGATTAAGGTATTGAGCTGGAGGAAAAACAGTATTAACCATCTCATCATTGCTAGTCCCTTAAAAAATGCATATTAATCCATGTACGTTTAGAAGTCATAATTGACCTTATTAATTTAAATTTGAAAAATGGCAAAAAGAGGAAAAATTGGAACGGTTATAGGTTAAGATGAGTTGGTATCCGAGGGGATCGAAGTCAAGATAGCCTCAATTGGTTAGAGGAGCAGCGTATTGAGCCTAAGTGGGTTCGAATCCAGCTCGTTGCATTAATTTTTCATCTCAACCAAAAACCTTAGAAAAAAGAATTATTCATTAGAATAATTAATATGGTTAATTACGATCACTAATCAATTGTGGCTTATTGGTAGTGTTGATTTCTTGAGAAACTTTCTCCCCATCTCTGTTGTAATATTTTTTGTTGTTCATGTGTCCCACAAACACCGATTCTCAAAAACAAGACTAATCAGTTAATCTATATAAATTAATCGAATATGAAGAGATAGAAAAAGTTCACCGTTTTTTTGTTCGTAAGTTGTTTGCCCTGCCATTATCAACTCCTAATTAAATGTTGTATATTGAGACTGGCATAGAACTGTTGTTTATTTATTCTTTAAGGTCACATTTTAAGTTTATTTTGAAATCGCTTCAAGCTCCTGATTCTCGCCTGGCAAAAATTTCATCACGAAGTTATTAAGGGTAACATATCCTGGTTCAGATCCTGGAATTCTCTTGCGGAGAGGTATAATGTGACTCGGTTTTCTTTGGATGATTTTGCAGCGTGGTCTGAAATGTTTTCCAATCTTCTTCATATTATGGGGGCTCGTAATTGAGAGAGTTGTATTTCTCATGCCGTGGACTCAAATAGATTCCAACTCTACAAGGAGTTGAATCATTCCCTAACTACTGGCAATGTTTTTTCTGCTCCAGCAAGTGATGTTTTGACGACATCCTGCGTGTTCTGACATGCAATTCGCTGCCAAAGTAAACACTCATTGGAAAGCATGTGTTTGAATGTTCGGACGAAATCGTCAGAACTCATCAGAACAAAATTTCGTCAGAATTTGCATCCATAGTAACCGTACCCTAACAGAGGACATTATACACGGTATTTTAAAAAAATTATTGTGTCCAATAAACAAAATTGTGGAATTAAAACCTTTTCTTTTGTAACTTTCTAAATTCCCTTAATTAAATTTTCCTTCAGTAAAAAACAATTTCTAATCAATTTTAATGCAATTTATAATAAAAATGAAAGTAAATACTACAAAATTGGTAATATCCCTATTCATTTTTGAGCGGTTTATATATAAAGAATTATTGGACTTCTTAAAAAGAAACATCATGCCCAAAGAAGAAAAGGATTTTAAAATTTTGTACGAGTTTAATCTTGAGAAAGTTAGGGTCAGAAACCACTGATGGTCATATTAGCCCAAAACCATTTTATTTTATGAGAGAGGAAGCACAGGGCCAAAACCAACGGGGCTGAATTAAAGACTAAACATACAAATAAAAAAATAACAAGAAAACAAACATTTATTTATCAATATCTACAAACTTACAATAAATAACTTTACAAACTTAAAAAAAAATTTACAAAGTGGAATGTGATATGACAAATTTCTGTTACCCACATTACAAGTTTTAAGCATTATGGTGAGATTTAAGTGACTCGAGAGGACTGGTTGGTATCGATTCATGGTTTAAAATTTGGATCTCCTATGGCATGTTTTTTGTCACAGGTAAACGAAATTGTGACGGCGTACCTTGTCCCCGATGTGACCCTTTCGACACGGTGCGCGTTCTCCTCGCCCGATGTGAAAGCCGACACCCTCCCTTAAACATTTATTACTTTATGATGCGAAACGTGTTTTAAATTTTTAGTTTCTTTTTTTTTTTACCTCGTTTGGGTTCAACGATCGTTAAGGCATTCTCCGGGTCCTCGAACACGAACCGGCCGCCTTCGAAATCGCTGTTGTAGTCGTTGAGGTATACAAGAGAAGTGTAGTGGAAGGATTGGTAGACATTTTTGTCGACGTGCAAATGCCAGTATTCGTCGTGGATTGTCGCTGGTTCTATGGAAGTAAGCCGAGAAAAGAACGTCGGCTTTGTCAGATACAATTTATCCGAATCAATTTTAAAACTGTACGCAACTGCTTCTTGAATTTTTCTTCTCACACGTCTGAAACATATCAAACCAGTCAATACTTATCTAAAAAGTTAACGTTTATATTTTATTAGCTTTCCTAGGTACTTTTAAATGAAATATGAGTTAGGAGTTGGAACAGTAGTTGCTTACATGTACAGTGCGAAGTCGTTGATCCTGAATATGTCAGTTATGTTAGGGAAGCTGAATATGTTAATGAAGTTTTTCCCTTTTGAGAGAGCACCGCTGTGCAGGTCGAGAATTGACGCTCCTCCATCGCTCCCACCCAAGGCAAGCCCACGTTTAGCGATATCAATCAGCGTTTCTGTTTCTTCCTTCGTAAGAAGTTTGTCCATAACAACACGCCCACATTTCACCGGTACGCAGCCTGTTAAATAAATCCTCATCGGTTACAGTAAATAGCAAGGAAACTACAAATACTACCTCCGTATTCTATGATTTCTTTGAAATAGTCTTCGGAACACTTCACGTCGAGACGACGGTTGTCGACGGAATCCTTGACCCGGGCCAGGTATATAGTTTTATCCTGTTTCGGTGTGAAGTATACGATTACGAGTGTTGCGAGTAAGAGAACAAGGCGAGCCCAGATCCTCTGCTTGATGTAGCTGCCCGGGAAAGGCATAAATTTCGATCTGAAACAGCACATTGTCAGGTATGATCGACCTTTTAAAAAAGGCAAAGCTTACGGTTTGGCATCTCCTTCTTTTTCGTTCGTCTCCGCCTTCCCCGGTTTCTCTTTGGGGGCTTCTTTCCCTTTCACTTTCCTCAGCTTCACCCCCGAAGTGCTTCCATTCTTCATTTTATGTTAGTTTGTTGGGCACCTTTAAAAGCGAGCGGCTCTCTTGATAAGAAGCATAAACACAAACAGCTCTTATCAATACTCTGACAGCCTACGACATGCTTGATACACACAAATCACAATCGGTCTGACCTTCTGAAATAAAACAACTGGGCACATATATTTCCAAAATTAAAGTTAATTTAATTATGGTTCTTCTTAAATTTCTTCTAGAACTGTTTTAAATGCATATTGACTCGAAACGAATGTGGCGCTGTTTTTTGAACAGCCTGACCTGACTGACTGTGAATCAGCTAAATTTGGCCTTTGTCGGCTTTATTTCGAATCTACCAAAACTATTTGGTCAATGTAGCATCAAACAATCCTCGAAAAACAGTAGGTTGAGTAAAAATTAAGAAAAAATCCTTAGGATACTTGATTTCTTTGAAGAAGAAATTCCAATAGTATAGGACTATAGATCAGTATGTTAACTGCAACCAGGCAGCTTTTAGAGATTCTCCAAGCTTACAAGATTAATTCGAAACTAGTCTAGGAAGCCTAAATATCTTTAAAAAACTGTGGTCGACAAAAGCCTAAAATTCTAAGGTCATGAGGGGATCTATTTATTTATATGTGTACATATACCCAGTTACAAGTTCTATAAGTGTTTAAGCTATACATAATGAATAATTGAAACATAAATAATAATAAAACATATAACAATTATGAAAAATGTGGACATAATAAACACAAAATATTGTAATCATCATAATAGATACGCGTATAAAAATGTAAAGAAAATTAGAAGGAATGATAAAAATGTAATTAAATAATTAAACAACAAAAATATATAAACAAATATAAGGGGGATGAGAAAGAATCATAAAAATTTAATTAAACAACAGAAATATATAGACAAATATAAAGGGAATGAGAAGGATTGATAAAAATTTAATTAAACAATTAAATAACAGAAATATATAGACAAATATAAAGAAAATGAGAAGGGATGAGAAAAATGTAATTAAACAACAGAAATATATAGACAAATATAAAGGGAATGAGAAAGAATATAAAAATTTAATTAAACAATTAAACATCAGAAATATATAAACAAATATAAAGGGCATGAGAAAGAATGATAAAAAAATTAATTTAACAATTAAACAACAGAAATATATAAACAAATCAAATGCAATTATGCTTATTAAATTATTTCGATTTTGTGGTCCAATTGACCAAGTAACCTCTTTCAATTAATTAATCTTTATGTAAGGTTTTGGTTGAGATAAAAAAAAGCAGTGTCAGGGGCGGGATTCGAATGCACGACCTTCAGCTAAATACGCCGCTGCTCTACCACATGAGCTTTCGTGACTTCAATCCACTTAGACTTTTTTTTATTGCAACCCGTATCTTACATAAAGATTAATTAATTGAAAAAGTTTTTAAAAATGTTTAAAGCGACTTAAGAAAAGGTAAAAAGTGTCACAATGTAAAGGAAGTTTATTACTCGTTTCCACGAGTCAAGAAATCGGACTAAATTTTAAATAATTTGAATTACAATTATATTTTGAAAATAATATTTTTTGTCTGGTTTTACACTGTGAAACATGGAAATTTAGAAAATTGATTAATTGCGGACAGTCGATCATAATATTTAAATATTCGTAAGAAAATATCAGGTCATAATTTTGTCGTCTTATGTTTAATGGTTGCAGTTCTGTGGATTCTACAAGTTTGTACAGTGTATCCAAGTATGTAACCAGAGTGTGCAAATAAATTGTTGCTGTACTTTTTCTATTTATTACTTATGTAAATATTACTTAATATTTTCTGATCAAACAACTGAATAATATTATAAAATGGGACGGACGTAATCTTAAACAGTGTAATCATTGTCTCTACATCCTTAAAATTTTGGTAGTTCTATGTAAGAAACCTCAAATTTGATTTCCCTTATTAATTATCGAAGTGTATTAAAAGTATTGAGGTATTTCAGGCAATAAAGCAGCAGATATCCTAGCCAGAGCCTCAGAACGACAAATTGGTCATCACATTTTTCTGCCATAAATTGTTATATTAAAAAAGAACTAGAATCTTCGGCTATGGTTAAAATTAAAAGGAGTCAGCCTTTACCTTAAGTGACAAATATTGGTCTATTGTGCAATCTTTATTATTATCTAGAGCTTTTCATTATGTTTAAAAAATTTTATCAGACCCCAAAGCTTTGTTAAAGGCTCACATGTATATCCTTCACTCCTTGGCTTTTACTCAGGAGTTGAACAGCCTCTTCATAAAGGTGACAATTAATACCTAGGAAAATAAGCAAAGTGGAGCCTCAGAAAGTGTTTCCTGGAGTTTGGATATAATGATGATGGCAAACAAAAATGTTCAATAACAAGATTAAGTTGTGTAAGGTGTAAAAAGAAATCAGATGGTTGCAATAATTTAATAATTTTATTTATAATTAATTAAATTAATATATTCATAATAAACACAATGTACAAATAACACCTATATTACAAATATTATATTACATAATAAACAAATATTGACAAATTTCTTAAATTTTTAATTATATGAAAATGTACAATGAATAGCTGGTTTTAAAATTCTTTTTTTGCTTACTTTTGTTGTATAGCTGAGATACGATTAAATTTGACAAATGTCTAACAAATAAAGGCACCTCCAAAATTTGTCCCCAAATATTATCATTATTCTAGTTATAAATTAAGCATGAGAAAATATCATAGTCTTTAATTTTTTTTTTTTCTTAAACATGAGACTTGATCAAACATTTATTTTAATTTGAGCATGCATTTTATAAATATTTTTTTCCCTCCCCTGAGGCTGATAATATCGTAAATTTCACAAGGCCGTTCACATCATTCCGCATCATGATGGCACATTTGGCTTAGGCTCTTCGCGCTTAAGAAGCTCGTCAATCTACAAAACACTTTTTTTAACACCATTTTTTTATTTAAAAAAAAAAAAAAAAATTACCTGAGCTTTATACATTTCTTTCATGTCTTGAAGGTCCATCTTGAGTTCTTGTGTCTCTTCAACCTTCTCCCCGTACATTTGGAGAAGGGCGTCGTACTGCGTCTTCAGAGTCTCGAGGGATTTGACCTCGCTTGACTGCACCTCGAGCTGTGAGGACAACCTCATGATTTCGTCTCGAAGCGACGTCCTCTCGCTTTCCATACGTGCGACCTCCCACTGAAGCTGGTGAACCTCGCCTTCTTTCAATTTTAATTGAGACTGAAGATTCTCAATAAATGACGTGTTGTTTGAAGGCTTCAACACCTCGTAAAACCTCGGCGTTGGCATTTCGTTCTGCTCTTCACCGAACTAATTTTTTTGGTTTATTTAAATAAATTCTGATAAATTACAACATTAGCTTACCCAGTTGAGTGCGCTTTCAGACTCGATGGAATCCTTCAAACTACACGGAGAAGATCTTGGCGTATGCATTGGTGCAGATTCGATTGCGGCTTTATTTACTCTTAACTGCTCCTATATTATTTGACTAGTTTTAATTAAAAAAGTAAAGAAAAAAATCTTCAAAAAACACGTTTATTTAGATATAAACAAGTTGTTTGGGAATAAGGAGTTTGTGGAAGCGTTTTAAATATTCTACCTGTAGTGCGATATTTTTTCTCTTCTCTGCGTCCAACGCTGCCTTTTCCACGCTCAAAATATCCTTGAGCGAGATGATTTCCCGCTTCTTCTCTTCAAGCTCGGAGACAAGCCTTTCCTTTTCCAACTGGAATTTCTTCGTCTCGCTGAAAACATTTCAAAATGTACAAGACAATTTTTAAAATATAAATATAAAAGTTTTACCTGTTTTTAAGAACTTTGACTTTTTCTAGATTTTCTTGGCTTAGGTTTAGCTCGGATAGAAGGGCGTTATTCTGTTCGCGTAGGGTTATCACTTCGTTCATCAATTCCGACAAACGAGCGCTGCTCGCCTCGTGCTGGTGCCTAACGTTTCTTTCGCTGGACGTCAACTTGACCACTTTGGCTTCCAAGTCCGCTGGAAGAAACAAAATCAAATAAAATTTTAATGAATCAATACCCAAGGGATTTAGTACCGATTGAAGAGTTTAAAAGCGCTTCCTGGCGTTCCCATCTCTGTTGAGCAGCACTGTGTGCTTCGGTCAAGCTCTGAAGTTGCCGGGCGAGTGGTTGACTTGCAGACTTCAGCGCCTGCGACTCGTCCTCAAGTCTCCTTTCAGCACATTCAGCACGCTTTAACAGTTCAGACATCTCTTGTCTTAGCGTCATTTCAATCCTTTTAAAAAAATAAAAAGTAAAATTACTATACATGTATAATAAAAACGGCTTACTTTCATACTTCGAATGCTTTTCTTGTTCCTGGATCATCTGTTTTCTCATGTCTTCAAGTGCACTTTGAAAAGTAGTGATCCTGACTTGCGCTGATTCAATCTCTAAGGATATGTTGCTCTTTATCGAATTTTCCATCTGCTGTTTTTCAGCCTTGAAATTAGACTCCGCCTTTGAAAGGGCTTCACTTTTCATTTTCAACTCTCTGTAACACAATTTTTTAAAGTTTTTATTTATTTGTAACAGCTAGCACTATCTTTAATAACTGTTTTAAACCTACTTTTGGCTAGCTATGAGAGATGCAGTTAATGACGAGACACTCCCTTTTTCTGTGATGAGCTCCTTTTCAAGCTGGAGGACCTGCTTCTTGAGGTTGTGGACTGCCTCAATGTGCGATCTCTCCATCTCTTCTTTCGCACTCATCGTTTTCTTACTCCTTTCTAACTCCTGTCTCGTTGAACCCAACTGGTCGCTATAAATTAGTAAAATAATAAAAGCTGTGAGGATTTATGATTTCTACAGGGTGATGAACCAATAGACGGACCAGAATGATCAGAAACGACCAAACTACAACCATAAAATATGAAAAATCTGTTATTTATAAAGTTATTATACTATTTTAAATTAATAAAAAAAAAGACAATTCTCAAGCAAGATGTATTGTTTCAAAAAATACAAAAAATAAAAGTAATTACTTTAAAGTAGATATGACTTTTGAGTTTTCTTTCTCTGTAGCTCTGAGTTTCTTGATTGTGTTGTTTAACACGAGATGCTGCTTGCTTAGTTTTTCCCCTTCTTGCCTCAATTCCTCAATAACTTGGTCCTTTTCCGCGTCCTCTTCTTTGAGAACGATTTCAGCTTTGGCTTGCTGTCAATAACGCAGGTTAAACGGTGAAACGGTCAGTCTCATGGTGTATACTTACGTCGAGCTGTTTCCGAAATGCCTCCTTCTCGCGTATGGCCTGTTGGAACTTGCGCTCGAGGGCCGCCAGACGCTGGGTGAACTCCTCGCTGATGTTCTTCAAATCCTGTTGCTCCGATTTGACTTCTAGCTGGCTGAGAGGCGCAGAGAGAAGAAATGAAATTTTCGTGAAATTTGGTCAGAATTGAATAACGTCAAGGAAAGGATCTTCAGTTAACAATGTAAATAAACAATAATTGTGACTTGAAAGACCAAAAATTTTGGATCAAAGTAATATAAGTAATACTAAACGCATCAATATATATAATATATATNAACCTGACAGGATTATTATATATATATATTATTTTTTTTTTAAACATATTCAAGCCTTTTAATTGTAAATCCAATTTTAAGAATAACAGTTTACTGTTGCAATATTTCCCCTTAGCTTCTAAATAAAAAAATAATACAATGTGCTGGACCAATTTAAATTTTATTATATTAACATGGAAATTTTTATTGCTGAATACACACTTGTTTGTGTATCAGTTTTGTGTTACACTGGATTAAGTAAGGTTAGGTTAGATTAGGTAGGGTTAGGTTCAGATTAGTTAGGTTAGGTTGAGTTAGGAACATTATAGGGGTTACATTAGGGGCAGATTAGGCTAGGTAAAGTAGAGTTAGGGACATTTTACGGTTAGGGAAATGTTAGGTTAAATAGGGTTAGAAACAGGAGTTAGGTAGAGTTAGGGACAGATTAGGTTAGGTTAAGTTTGGTGAAAAAATACTTTAATTTGTGACTACAGTCCCCTAAGAATAACAATAAGGTCACAAAGTTTTAAAAATATGGCAGTTGAATTAATGAAGGTTTGAAGTTAACATAAAGTGAAATAAGTTTAACTAAATCACATAATACAAAATATAAAAAAATATAATTAATAGTAGCAATGCATAATATTTAGTGACCGTTATGTAATGATCTTTTTAGAGATCATGAGATGCATTCTAGTGTGATGTAGGTTTAGAAAAACATTTTCTTTATCATACCGTTTTGATCTTTATTGAAATCATCTTCAGGGCCTGGGATTTATAAACATTGTTTAAATTATACAAATACATATAAAATATGAAAATGAATTTATACAGTGATGTACGCAATATAAAATTTTTACGTTTAATCAAAGTATTTGTACTCGCTCAAAGTGTGTGTTTTCTGTGTAGATGTGTCATTGTTGTGAGTCGTGTTGAGAGTGTTAATAAGATATTAATGTATTTTTGTTTATATATGTTTGATTTTGAAGGAGTGGGAAAGGAAGTAGGGATATAAATTCATTTTTCTATGAGGAGTCAGCTTCTTTGAAGTGAAAGGGACCGACAATGGGAAAAAAAGAGGGCAATGGATTGTCATTTGGGCCTGGTTAGCCTTTCAGGATTATTAGAGAAAGGAAAGATAAATTGTTGAAGATTTAGACTATAGACTGTAGTGATACATGTATGTTATTGATATAGAATTTGATTTATGATATTAGTGTTTACAAGTGTCCATTCTGTAATCTATGCTGTGTTTATCTCTGTTGATGTAAACCATTTCTAAAAAGTTACATTTATGTTTGTTTTGTTCTGTGTAACATTTTTGGATTGTTGAAGTCGAAATTGTGTTGGTGTTCAAAATGGTGGGTAGCCAGCACTGTAGTTTTTGTTTGGGTTTTTTGCAATCGTAAACATGTTGTTTTACTCTCTTATTCAGATATTGGGATGTAATTCCGATGTAAGTTGCAGGATAATTTATACAATTGATTTTGTAAATTACCTTATTTGTGTGTGGCATCTTTAATTTTGGAAAAAAAAAGGATGTGAATAGTTTTATAGTTTTTGTAGGCTATTTTAAAATTATCAGAAGAGAGAAATGTGTTTAATTTGTGTGATAGGATGTGGACAAATGGAATGGAATGTATGTTGGTTTGTCTATGGTTGATGGAACTGATGCAGTGTTATGTTACGGTGTTAGTTATCAGTCGTAGTTGTTGATTTTTCTATTGATTATGTGTTTAGGATAACGATTGTTATGAAGGATATGTTTGCATATCTTTATGTTCTTGCAGTAGGGTAATAATTATGTGAAGTAGTCCTTCGGCCAGGTTTGTTATATCACGAGTGTATCTAAAAATAATTTTTTTGTTTTGTTGTTTTTGATTTCATGTGTAAATTGTAGGCTTGGGTGAAAGTAGCAGTTATAAGAATAAGAATAGTAGCAATAGTAAGAATGTAAGGAAAAGTAGTAATAAAGAAAGAGGGCTAAGGACATATTATGTTAGGTTAGGTAGACTTAGGTTCAAATTAGGCTAGGTAAGTAGGGTTAGGGACAGCTCAGACTAAGTTAAATAGTTAGGTTTTGGATTAAGTTTTGAGGAGAAATTATGTGAATGAAAAGCACGAGTTTTAAAAGTCCGATGTCTCCCTTTATGTCATCCAAAAATTTAAGTAAGATTTCTCTTTACACAAAATATGTTTAATTAAAAATAAAAAAAATTGAGAATCTTTGTTTATTATTTATTTTTGAATTAATTTACGTATTTATCCATAACTAATTGATTACCTCTTTAAGCTGGAATTTGATTCATGAAGGGCTGCATTGGCTCTGCTCAGGTCAAGTAGTTTTGTTTCTCTGGCCTGAAGAAGTTCGCTCATTTCTGAAATCCTCTAATAGAAAAAAAGTATTTAATAAATTTTTAAAAATCTCAGTTCAAGGGTTAGGAGAATTTAGAATACTACCTTTAACAATTTTTCAACGTCATTGCCTTCTTCTGACCCGCCGCTCGAGGCTTCAGAAGGCTCTCGGTGATGCCCTTTTATTTTCCCGGGCGTCGGCTTCTGCGTGTTGGGAACGTCATTGAACCTGAGATTCTTCGTCGGACTGAGCCTTGTGCTTGCATTACTCCCATTGGGCGTCGTGCTAAAAATACATACAAGGTGAGAACGCGTTGACGAGGAATGGATCAACGTCTCACCTGCTAGTCAATTTGGTAAATGTCAAGTAGGGGGACTTTTTGGTGACTTTAAGTTTGGATATTTTTGAATTTTTACATTTTTCTTTTGAAACTTGCTTCATGCTGGAAATGTTAATGTAACCATGGTAACATTTACTTCTTTTTTTTTAGAATATCTGCTTTTATTAACTTGCCTGAGCAGTTTTCATTTGAAAAATGTAAGTTTTGCTACAAGTTTTTGTGCAAGTTTTTAAAAAATGTTTTGAAATAACCAAAATTGCAAAATTTGTCAGAATTAAAATTGCCACACAGTTTCTGATAAAGAAAATACACTGCTTCTCTACAATGTAAAAATATTTTTCATAAATGTGCAAATTGGAAGCTACATTTGCTACACTGTAGTACATAATTTGCCTGGGAGGTTTGACCCCTCATCCAAGACACCCAACGGTTTAGTTTAACATTAAGTCCTCCTGTACGGCAGGAATTACTTTTTTTACTTTACTTATATAAAAACAAATACCTTGAAATTATTTCAATATCGGAGGATGTTGTTGTTTCAAGTTCATCTCCAGAAGTTTGTTCGCTGGAACCGATTTTGACAAGATCAGACCTTAAAAAGAGCAGAAAAAGAAAATTAAACATCAAACTTTAAAGTAACCAGTAATTTAATTTAAAAAATTAAACCTTTCTGAACTTATCGGAGACTGTTCGCGTATGATGGCCGACGGTTCAGTCATTGCATCTGCGATAAGCGTTGTTACAACTGAACCTCGGAGATTCGACCCTTCATCACTGCTTCCCATTATCGTGCCCTCTTCGCAGCTGCTTTCAGCAGGGTCGCTCAAACATTCGGAGACGCGAGACTGGCTCAGCTTGGGTGCCTCGGTCACGACTTCGTCCTTCTTTAATATTTTGGTGTCCTTCTTGATCTTGGCGTCTCCTCCGCCCTCTTGGACGACCGCGTGTGTCAACACGAAACCGGTGATCGGGCGGTTGACAGCCTGGTTAAACAGAAAGCAAGGGATTTTCAGAGCCTCTGCTCTAAATTGTGACCTTTAGGGTAGGAAAAGGTTTTCTTTAAGGTCAAAGCCATGGATCAATCCTTTATTCAAAATAAATGCTAATTCGTTTTTCATTAAATTTAAATCCTAAAAAATGCTCAAATTTACTATTTTTTAACTTGTAGCAGTTTTTTTAAGTTTTTTTTTTTTTAATTTTAAGTATGTATAACATAGCTAAAAGGGATAAATTTTATAATTAATTACCTCTCTTGGAGACATGGCTTCTGTAAAAGATGTTTCTAACGATGATGTAGACTTTAGCATTGCGTTTGCTGAATGTTCAAGTACAGTCATTGTTAAAGTGTTTTCTGAGGCTGACGTGTTGCTGTCTTCGACGCTGATGTCATCTTCATCTTCTGGTATCACCTCTACTCCTTCGCCTTCTGCTATCGGCGAAACAGAATCGCTGCTGTTTCCCTTGTCGCCTGATTCGGTCGAATGCGAGCCCAGAACGTCAACAGAACTGGGCGAAGTCAACACCTCGACGGATTCGAACGATCCGCTCTGCCTCAACCTGGCCACAGAAGAAGAAGCCGATATCGAGTGGTCTGAGTCAGGAGTTGATCCTATGACATCACAACTATCAGTCGATCTTCTGTCGCTTTCAGACGAAATCACAGACAGCCGGCTGGCTACGTTTTTCTGCTCTTTTTTCCTCATAACGACCTCAACCTGAGGAAAGTTTTTAATTTCTTCTTTGATCTGTTCCCCATCTGGTATATCATCGTTATGCTCAGGTGATTCCCTGGCCTCCGACTGAACCGTATATAAAGATTTTGAGAGATCGAGGGAGAGGCTTCTCGGTGGGGTAGATTTCTTCGGTTGGTCTGATACCAAATCGCCAGATTTCGTCCCCTCTACAACACAAAGTTTTAAATTAATGTTAAATTTGTTTTTGCTAACAAACGAATTACCTGGTTTCGACTGGTTGTCGAAAAAAGAGCCGGTGAACGAACCCCAAAGGCTGGTGCTGTTCGGCATCTTGACACTTGGCGAAACCACCTCCTTCGTTATCGCACCAGGTGTGCTCTGGCTGCTCCCGCTCTGTAATCCCCATGCTGAGAAAAAACTGTCCGTGTTTACATCACTACTGCTCGAAATCGATTCCGCTGTTGCAAAAATGCAAGCGTTAACAAAGAGAAGGTGTCAATATGCTTTCTTTTTTGTCAACAATTATAAAATACTGATAAATTATCTATTTAGATAAATCAGATGAAAAATGTTTGGGGAGAAATTTGTGAAATTGTAAAAACAAGTTGTTCAATGTCTCAAACAATTTTTAAAAATTATAATTTGATCCTTTCTGATTTGGTCTGCCTACAGATGATGGCAAAATGCTAAAACCTGTCTGACAGACCAACCCAGCACGAATCATTACTGGATCATCAGTAAGGTTACTAACTCTGCATACCACAAGAGGTAATCTAACAAATTATTAAAACTATCAGCAAACCGGTATCATCCAAATTAATTAATTATCCAAAATCCTAAGCATTAAGAACGTAAAGCAGCAAGTTCAAGGCAAAAATAATGATTAAGAAAAAAGGTAACAACAAAAGTAACCCTTTTCATTGCTAGTCAATCAATTACCTTTAATGCCCAAGATATTTATCAAATTCCTGGCTCATTGAAGTAGTTTAAATAATTGCTGTCTGAGAGTAAAGGTGATAAACAATTTTATTCCAATACCAATTAATTAAATGTATTAATCCAAACATCAAGCTCATTGAAAAATACCCAACTAATCTGTGGATAGATAGATTTGAGGCTAAAATAATTTTTAAGCCTAATTATTTATTAAATATTATGCAAATTAAAGTAGTTTAAACCATGAGGATTCTAAGGCTAATATACAATCAATTTTAAGCCTAAAAAATTCAACATATGCACAAAATTCTAAGTTGAATTGAAATGCTACAACTGCCACGGGGTTTGACAGTAAAACAATTTTATTTTAGGCCAAAATATTTAAATATATTTATCAAATGTCAAGTTCATTAAAGTAGTTTAAATAATCAAACATCTGACGTTAATATCCAATCAATTTTAAGCCCAAAAGTATGTGCACAAAATTCAAAGTTTAATTGAACTGTCTTAACTATCAGGCTGTTTGTTGCAAAAACAATTTTATTTTGGGCCTAAATATTTAAATATATTTATAAAACATTAATTACATCAAAGTAGTTTAAACAATCAAGCATCTGAGGCTAATATCCAATTAATTTTAAGCGAAAAATTTCAATATATACACAAAATTCAAAATTGAATCATACTGCTTTAACCGTCAGGCTAATTGGCACTAAAAAATTTTATTTTTGGCCTAAATATTTAAATATGTTTATAAAATCTTAATCTCATCAAAGTAATTTAAACAGTGAAGTATCACAGGCTAACATCAAATCAATTTTTAAGGTCAAAAATTTCAATATTCACACAAGATTCAATTGATCCTGAGCCCTTTTGTGACATGGGGATTCATACAATGAGTACCTTAGACAAAAAGGCAAAATGAAAGAATAGTGGAATTCACTCGTTGGCGACATAGAAACCAAGAAACTTCTAGCAAGTTTTGGTAAAGCTGGTAAAGAAGGAACAGAAAAAAATTTGAATCTAACAGGATTCTTAACAGCATACTTTACAACATCTTGTAAAGTCTTAACTGACTATAAAGGAGAGGAAGAACACAGGATAGGATCAGATACAATGATATGGTATACAGATGGCTCCAAAACAAACGAAGGACCCAGGTTGGGGTTTTGGGGTTTTTTGTACAAGCCCAAAACATGAGCGATCAAACTCATTAGGGAAGTACACTTCAGTCTTTCAAGCAGAATACATGCCATCAATGCTTGTACCCAAGAAAATCTTAAAAGAGGTTACACTGCCAAAAAAATCCTCATAAGATCTGATAGTCAAGCAGCTATTAAAGCATTAGCACGTAAAAGAATCACATCAATATTAGTCCGTGAATGCATCCAAAACCTGGGGAAACACAACAACCTGATGATATCTTGGGTGCCAGGGCACAGAGGAATTGTGGCGAGAAAGCAGGCACACTGGCCAGAGGAGGATCTGCAAGACCATACATAGGCTCTGAACCTATACTTCGGATAACAAAAAAATAGAATCCTCCATCGCAGAATGGATCCAAACAAAACAAAAGGTGAAGTAGATAAACTCTAGCGGCGCTAGGCACAGTAAACTTATGATGAAACAAACCTCACCAAGACTGGCAAAATCACTGCTGCAATTGGAGAGGGCTAAACTCAGAGGAGTGGTAGGACTACTAACCGGTCACTGGCATCTGAGAAAACATCTACACAACATGGGCAATGATGATCTCACCTGCAGTATGTAATGAGGAGTTGGAAACAGCCACCCAATCAAGCCCCGAAGCAACAGCTCAATGGAGATTTAACCTAGCATATGAAAAAACTTAGGGAATGAAATTGTAGCAGCGACAGTCAATGACCTGATACTTCTAAGAAGGATTGAGTCTATTGCACTGAACTAAGGAACTAGGAAGGTACAATAAGCCAGAAGGCTGCAGTGCCTGGGGAGCACAAACTCCGCTTCCTAGTATCCTTATTACCTCACCATACCAACATGACACTGCAGATTAAATGGCATTTGAAGAAGAATACTATAATCCAACAAGGCACACGAAGATTCTGCACTTCTATGCGTACATTTGGGATATACAGCATAAACATAGAGGAAGTTTAATCACTGAAACCGGCCCAATAATCAAATTTCTGGAAGGGCTAGGAAACACCCGTGTGCTATAGGTACAGAACGGGGTATATAATAGTTCTCAAAGAGCGCAGTATATTACACATCTTGAATATTACATCTTACAAATTCAAGCACATCATCGTTCATAAGAGCCAATAGTCGTCATACACATGACCTACTAGACTCGGGGAAAATTGAGTTAAACTATTTACTGCGCTTAAATTGTGTGCTATCGCATAAAAACCCTCTAAAGTGTGTGAATCGTCAAGGCTCAACTCATTTAATTATCTGTTTGTCGCTAAAACAATTTGTTTTAAAGCGTGTGTAAATATCCATGGTTTATTCCAATCAGTCAAGACATGGCTTTTAAACAATTTGACTTAATTAGACACTGACAAGTAGATAATCAGTTTAAATAGATTTTTAAATAAAAAATTCTTTTTCATAGAAATTAATTAAAGTTGTTAATAAATGTAAAATTGATTAAATGTGATAAGCTGTTAATGTGGGCTCATTTCAATGACTCAATCAATTGGTCAAAAATGGCAACATTTCAATGCGATTTGATTGGTCTGTGATAAAATAAAAAAACGAGGTTCATTGGTTGAATAGGCAAATTAACATTAAAATTTTCTAAATTTTTTCTATTTCTATACCTTTGGACGATGTACGTTGAAAATTATTTTTTTATTTAGAAAATCAAGTAGAAAAGGACTTACTTGGGCTCTGTTTCGTCTTGGCCCCTTCTTCGTCTTGAATGTCCAAAGCTTTGTCGATAGTCTTTTGGGCTTCCTTCAGGGCAGACTTGGCCAGTGTAGCGAATCCCGTGGTATCGAACCAGCTCATTGTACTCGCCTGGTAAATGTCATAGAAGGGCCTGGCCAATTTGGACGCATTGTGGCCATTCGTGTAAGGTTGGAAGGTAGTCGGGGATCACCTCGGACCCACGTGGTCGCGACCCATTTTCCTTTTCCAACCAGAAGTTACAATTGTATCTGGCCAAAAATCGGCAGAACTGAAGATCCAAAACAGAAGATATCTGCTTGATAATGATATCTGGCTTATCTGCAGTTTTAACCAGGGCCGGTCGAGCGCTGTGACCGTCCAACAATCCATTGGTCATTGGTCACACAACACGTCACGTTGAGAAATGAAGCAGTTTTCATTTGACTAAAAATCTAGATTATTTTAATCAGTAATTCCAAACTAATTCCTTAGTCCTTTTATGATTTCATCCATAAAATGTTTTAAATCTAATTTTCTTTGGACATCCCTTTTCAACATAATCAACCCTCAAGTTGAATACAAAGCCTCTAACAATAATTAAGTTTTATGCAAAAAATCCTACACATCAAATTCAAACTTAACTCTAACTGCTCTACCCATCAGTCTGCCTGAAGCTAAAACAATTTTAAGCTCATATATTTAAATATATCAAGCTCATGAAAGAAGTGTAAACATTCAAGCATCTGAGCCAACGCCTGAAACTTTGAACCCAAACATTTCAGTATATACATCAAATTCAAAGTTTAAGCAACTGCTTTAACCATCAGGCTGTTTGAGGCTAAAATAATTGCATTTTCCCTTATTATTTGTCCAATTCCAAGCTCATTGCAGTAGTTAAAAAAATTTAGCATCTGAGGATAGCATCAAAACAATTTTAAGCCCAAAAGTTTTAGTATATGCCCAAAATTAAAAGTTGAATTGAGCTGCTACCTTCAGGATGTTTGACGCTAAAATCATTTTATTTTAAGCCAAAATATTTGACATATTTATCAGATATCAAACTCATTAAAGTAATTTGAATTTTAAGCCCATAACAGTCAATATAGACACAAAATTCAAAATTGAAGCAAACTGTCTTCAATAATTTTAGCCTTCAGGCTGTTTGACACTAAAACCAGTTCATTTTAGACCCAAATATTTAAGTATATTTAACAAATCTTAAGTTCAACAAAATAGTTTAAGCAATCAAGCATCTGAGCTAATAATCAATAAATTTCAAGCCAAAAATATCAATATATACACAACATGCAAAATTGAATTGAACTTCTGTAACCATCCGGCTGTTTGATGCTAAAACCATTTCATTCCCAAATATTTAAATATATTTATGAAATATCAAGCTCATTTAGGTAGTCCAAACAATTAAACAGCTGAAGATAATATCCAATCAATTTTAAGCCCAAAAATTTCAATTTATTAACAAAATTAAAAATTATGGAGAGCTGCTTAACCTTCAGGCTGATGCTAACACCTCATTTTAGTCCCAAATATTTAAGTATATTTGTCAAATATGAAGCTCATTAAAGTAATTTCAATTTTAAGCGCAAAAATTTTAATATATACACAAAGTTAAAAGTTGAACATGCTTTAACCATTAGGCTAGTTGTCACTAAAACAATTCTGTTCAAAACCCTAATGTTCAAATATATTCCAAAATTTATCTATTTTAAGCCCAGATATTTAAATATATTTATTAAATATAAAGCTTTTTAAAGAATTTTGATAGGTTGATATGGGCTTTGATGTTCCGAACCTCCATTAAAAAAAGGGTCAGTAGAGCAGTAGAGAAGTTTAGACAATTAAGCAATCTGCTAAAATCTAATTAATTTTTAATTCAAAAATTTCAATATATAAATCAAATTCAAACATTCAACTGCTTTATGGCATGGGTTTGCCTTAAAGATGCCTAACTATGACCATAATATATCCTGAGATTCACCACAGCTTTCAAACTGAATAGCCAAATAAACATCTGCACATGATAAAAAATAAATAAATAAAATAAAAAACATTTCAAGGGTGCAACTATAAAACTATGATCAGATAGCCAGACAGCTACGAAATCAACTTGCAACCAATCTGGAATTGCCTAAATACCATTAAAAAAACTGGTCCCACTTCTTAAAAAAAAGTCCTAATTAAATCACATGGATGTGATAAAAATAAAACAATATTTAAGTTAAATCATATTTACAGAAAATTTACAAATTTATACATTCTTGTAATCAAGGGGTTTTGTTTGATTCTCCTTTATTAAGCTTTGTTCCAAATTGGCCCAAAAGTTCTTGTTCTGTCAAGAGGTGCAGGGGCTTTTTAAAAGCTCTCAGCCTTCCACCAAACCTCAGCTGGCCAGATTCCTTCCTTCCGTTAAAACCTCCTCCTGAATAAAGATTCATGTTATTAAATTATTTAATATCTTATTATTTTGTTTATTATATACCTAATCTCCTCGGGACCCAGCCGGGCAAAAGACGTTCGCACTCCATGTCTACAAAGAGTTGCGAGCCATCGAGGCGCATTTTGAACCCTCTTTGGAAAGCGTTCAACGCATCCTTTTCCCTCGCGTACTCGACGAAGGCGTATCCACGCGACCGTCCTGTTACGATGTCCTGTACTAGTCGGCATCGAACTACTTCCCCGAACCTGGAAAACTCCTAAAAATATGTCGGGTTTTTTTTTTGGTTTTTTTCAAGCTTGTGTAAAACGTTTTCCTTACCTCTTTGACATCCTGTTCGGTGGTTTTACGAGAAAGGCCCGATACGAAAATCGTGTTCTCGGGTTTACCCTTGACTTTGGAGTTCGGCTTGTAGTCAGCTTTCTGCGCGCGGGTTATCGCCCTGTCATGCGGTTGGGAATCTGTACCGTCGATGCTTCCAGCTTTAAGAGGATCGTATACGATACAATAACGAGACCAGATCCTTTTCAAAAGCTCGCTCTTTCTCCTTATTTCAGGGTCTTCTGAATCAGGCTGAAACGAACAACTAAGTCATTAGAAATTTCAAGCATTTAAATTAATTTTAATAGTTTTTATAATCTATAAACAAAACTTGAAATTTAATGATAATTTGATTGAAAACGTTTATTCAATCAACCTGATCATGCCTATTGTGTTGAAATGTAGTGTTCCAAATTCACTTCATTAACATGTAAATAAAATATTTAAAAAAGCGACTTACATCGTAAATTGTAAGCAGATTTGACATTCTGTTAGACTGTGTTGAAAACAGCCTGGAATCCTGGATAACTGGAAGAAATGGATTTAATTGAAACCGTTATCAGCCGTAAACAACATTTCAACGCCTTTCACTCCCACCAATTTTTCCAGGCTTGAGAAAAGGTTTCAACGGTTTCATGCTCCACCGTTTTTCAACATAACACGTTGAAATGTTCATGTTGACAGCGCTTAAGGATGTCATCAGGACTCCACCGTCTCTGTTTAACATGAATTTAAAAGAATCCATGGGCCAATTCCTGAATGAAAAATTTGCAAATAAGGTAAACAATGAATTTCCGATTGATTTATGCTAGATTTACGTTACCGAACTATGTTGTTTTTGATTCACTACATTTCAACGCGATAGGCATGATCAGGTTGGTTGAACACACGTTTTCAATTAAATTGACATTACATTTCAATAGTTTTGTGAATCGATACATTTCAACAAAAAGTCAAATTAATAATCTTTTCTATTCCAAATCATTAACTGAAGGATAATTGATTTAATTCTATCATCTCTGATCCCTTCTGTGGCATAGGAACCCACACTATTAATGAGTATCTCAGACAGAAGGACAAAAAGGAAATGAATCAACAATGAAATTGACTCATCGGACAGGCAATCCAAGAATCTCTTAACAAATTTCGGAAGAAAATAAATTACAGAACATAACAAAGGAAGCAGGAATAAACTGCGAATCCTAATAGGATTCTTAACAGGACACTGCAAGCTAAATGGACACTTAAAGAAGGTTGGAATAACCCAAGACGGCACATGCAGATTCTGCAAAGAGGCAGAGGAGACACGAATATATCTAATAACAAACTGCGGTGCTACACTTGCCCGCAGGAGGAAGTGTTTTGGAATGTACAATGTGACCAAAGAAGAGATTCAACCACTGAAACCAGGCCTATTAATCAAGTTTCTTGCTTGCACCATGTGCTTTAGGCAGAGAACAATAGCTCTTAAAGGGCACAGTATATTATACCCCGACTACATCTACATCACCTCTGATGTCCAATGCTGAAGATGGCAAAATGTGGAATAATGCAGCAAGGATTGGCGATTGATCACGACTGATTGCATGTTTGTCGGAGACATCTCACAATGATTAAATCGTTAATCTTGCTTTTCGTCATATGTCATGGCCTGGGAGATGACAATCACCTATAGGTTGTGATATGTAGAATTATTATTATTATTTTTTTTTTTGCTTCGGCAGACCCATCACCGACTAGATCCAGAGGCTCCACAGTCATATACCATATTATTACATATTGCATTAGATGACCATCTAGAGACATCTCACAATGATTAAATCGTTAATTCTTGCTTTTGATGATTTGTCATGGCCTGGAACAAGAAATGACAATCACCTGCAGGTTGTAATATGCAGAATTATTATTATTATTTTTTTTTTGGCTTCGGCGGAGCCGTGTCATGAATTAACTGTATCTTGGAATGGAAGCCCACCCGATGATGAGCAAGCAGCCAACCGGCTGCCGACACCGACTAGATCCAGAGGCTCCACAGTCATATACCATATTATTACGTATTGCATTAGATGACCATACGTTTTTGAGGATGTGGATAAAAACCATTTACAATAAATAAGAGCGAATCTTGGGATCCCCTATTTTGATTACTCGGCGATTAAATTCTATCATCTCTGGTCCAGTGCTGAAGATGGCGAAATGCAGAATAACGCAGCAAGGATTGGCAGACCAGATGATCATGACAAAATTGCATGTTTGTCGGAGACATCTCACAATGATTAAATCGTTAATTCTTGCTTTTGATGATTTGTCATGGCCTGGGACAAGAAATGACCATCACCTGAAGGTTGTGATATGCAGAATTTTTTTTTTTTTTTTTTTACTTCGGCGGAGCCATGTCATGAGTTAACTGTCTCTTGGAATTGAGCAAGCAGCCAACCGGTTGTCAATACCGACTAGCTCCAGAGGCTCCACAGTCATATACCATATTTAATATTTATTTTGAATAATGGTTTATTAGCACGTTATATATTATAAAATACACAACTAGTTTCGATGATCGATTGGTGGCATCCTTTTCAAGTGTTTCGTTGAAGATTATAATAAAAAAAATTTAAAATACTAAATATACTTTCTATTACATTTTAAAAAAAATGGCAATACTACGCATTTTACATTTAAACATTTTTTTGTTATTTTCTATTTAAAAAAAAAAAAAAATTAACTTCAATACTTAAAAGTATTATAAAATTATTTTTATCATATATAACAGGTTGTCTAAATTTTTTATTAAATACTTTTCTTTTTTCTTTATATCTATTGCACTTACATTAAATGTTTCTGTTAACTTGTATTTTCCTTATTTTTGGCGTTCATTTCGTACCAATTCATTCCCAATATCTCAATCCGATCAAGATGCCAATCGAGCCTCAATTTCTATTTAATAGAAACCTTAGCTTATACTTCAATATATACTTATAATTATACTTATTACACTTATACCTAATTATATACTGATAATAATACTTATAATTCAACTATACCTATTTATTATGTCTTGCATTAGATGTCCGTAGGTTTTTTGAGAATGTGTATAAAAACCATATACATGGCGGCGAATCTTGGGGTCTTCTATTTCGATTATTGGGTGAAACTGGGATAATTCTGTATGGTTAGGGATCGTGTAATCGTATTGCTGTATGTATACTAAATTTGGCAAGATGTTTTAACTTTTTCATGATTTATTTATAAGCGGGAAGTGAGTAAAAGAGATAGTGGAATAGGAAATTTTTTTAACGAAGCAGAAATTTTTTTAAAATTAAATTTATTAATTAAAACTGGTCTTATTAGACCAACCATTGATTTTACAATAATATTATTTAATAAATAAATGTTTACATTCTTATAAACCCATTGGTACAATAAGATTTACATTTCACTATTGATTTTTAACTACACAAATTCATATGACTTTGCTCTTTTTAATCTTCTGACTGTTTTGGTTATATAAGAGTTTGGTTGCTTCCATGTTGTAGTGATGGCTGATGCGAGCATGGTGTTTGGCGGCAAATCTTTGTATTTCCACCGTGACCTCAGGGATCTTAAGATCCCTATCTAAGTCCTTATTCCTTACGTACCAAGGTGCATTGACCATGTTATGTAAGATTTTATTTTGGAGTGTTTGTATGATTTTGATATTGCTGTGTTTGGTACAACCCCATAGATGAATGCCATATGTCCACATAGGAGGACCACATCTCAACCCCACCTTTTGAATTTTCCCTCCTTAAACATATTTCTGTTCTTTTTTTCTTCATGTGTACTTTCCATCTCAGCTTGGCGTCTAAGGTCATTCTCAGATATTTAGCTGTATCACTGTATGGTATGGTAGTTCCATCGATTATGAGTGACTGAACATGGTCCACTTTTTTTTGTTTGTAAAGATTACATGAACTGATTTATGCTGATGTAGCTTGATTTTCTATTGTTTTGCCCATTCATTTATGCTTATTACAAGCATTTTGAAGGATTTTGGTTGAATAGTCGGTCCTAGTGATATCACTGCTGGGTGATCTGCAAACTTTGCAATTTTTACTCCATCTATTTTCGGAAAATGACTGGTGTATAACAAGTAAAGTGGGGGGCGTCGGTGGCCTCAAGGTTTAATCTTTGACACGGCGCTCATCACTGTAAGGTAAAGGTCCGGGTTCAAATCCAGCGGCCCTGCATTTGAACCCGACATACTTACAAATGGGCTTTTTTTCAAAAACACCGGCACCCTGAGGGTTAATATGACCTCTGCTGTTGCGAACCCTCGTAAAAAAAAAAAAAAGTAAAGTAGAGGACCTAATATGCTACCTTGTGGCACTCCTGCATTTATTGTTTTTAATTTTGAATATTGATCTTCTTGTTTGACTCTAAACAGTCTGTCAGTTAGGTAGGAACTGATAATATCGACATACTGCTTTGGTAGCATACCTTTTAGTTTATTGATGAGTCCTTCGTGCCAGACCTTGTCAAAAGCTTGTGAGACATCAAGGAAGAGAGCAGAACAAATTTGTTTTTCTTAAAGAGATAAGAGATTTTTCTATTATGTTTGTTACTCGGTGAATTTGGTCTATTGTTGAATGTCTTGTTCGAAATCCAAATTGATGGTCAGGGATGATTTTCTTTTTTTCAACAATGAGTTTTATTCGTTTTAATAGTTACTTCAACAAAAGCTTAGGCACTGTCGGAAGTAGTGATGATGGTCCATATGATTTGACCTTGTTCACCAGTTTTCCTGTTTTTTAAAATCATGACTTCGAGGCAGAAATTAAGTAAAATAACAGGCCTTTATACTGGCCATTGACTGTTAAATTAACGTAACTTAAACAATGGAAAAACTGAGGCAGAAACTTACTGACTCTGCCATGAAACAGCAGAGAGATAGGGACATGTTTTCTTTTAAAAGTCATCTATCATCACTAGTGACCCCAGGAAAAAAATCAGTGCACAGAAGCTGTTTATTTGTTGATGGATGCGACAAGAAGTACTCGGCATTTTGTTTAATCATGAAAGAAGCGAATTTCTGATAAAATCTAATTAAAAGTCTAAACATTTGAATAAAATTTATAAGTTTTAATAATTTATTTCATTGATGTTGAAATCTGTTTAATTTTAATTTTATCAGTGGTTTTTTAGCATTTGGATTTAGATTTGTACAAGCTCATGTTTGCACATGTACGTACCAACGTACAAAATGTCGAGTTGAGCCTATTCGCTTCTCGTATTCCACTGGCAATTCCAACTTTTGTTATGTACAGTAAATTGCCGGCAGACTCGAGAATCACTCACCCTGGGTTTTTGGCAGTACGGGGGGCAGACCTCAGTCCTATCTGTCCAGCCAGCGGGGTTGGGCTGAGGGGGGTGCTGTCAACAGCTAGGTCAATTCAGCACCCACTTTTAGCATTATTATAAAACATAAACACAGAATGTGCTTATAATTTTTTTTCCAGGTCATTAAAGATTTGGGTCTGTGTGTCTCTCTGTTTGACATTGAAACAATGGACGATTCCTACATTTTCCCTGGAGATGGTGGGGCACACACAAAAGTTGAATTTCGGTTAGCCAAATCTCAAAACTTATTAATTTTCTGATTACTTAATTATTATTTTTTTAATTAAAAGGTTTGTTATATTTCGACCATTTGTGGAGGAGATTATTATTGGCAAGATTAAAAACTGCAGCAAGGAAGGCGTGCACAGTATGAAAATAATTTTTTAATTATTTTATTTCATTTTATTTGTTTAATTAACGATTATTTGGAGATCATGAGATGCGGTCTGGTGTGACGTAGGTTTTAGAAAAATATTTTCTTTATTGTGCCAACGTTTTGATCTTTATTGAGATCATCTTCAGGGCCTGGGATTTATAAACATTATTTAAATTTTATAAATACATGTAGGATGTGAAAAAAATGAATTTATACAATGCTAGAAAATTTTTTAGATTAAAAAAAATAAATTTATACAATGCTAGAATATTTTAGTAGATTAAAAAAATTAATTTATACAATGCTTGAAAATTTTGATTAAAAAAATGAATTTTTACAGTTAGAAAATTGTAGATTAAAAAAAATAATTTATACAATGCTAGAATGTTTAAGATAAAAAAATGAATTTATACAATGCTAGAAAATTTTAGATAAAAATTAAATTTATGCAATGGTAGACAATATTTTAGATTAAAAAAATGAATTTATACGTTAGAAAATTTTTTAGATAAAAAAAAAAATAAATTTATACAGCTAGAAAATTTTAGTAGATTAAAAAAATTAATTTATACAATGCTTGAAAATTTTGATTAAAAAAAGGAATTTACACAATGTTAGAAAATTTTAGATTAAAAAAAATTATACAATGCTAGAAAATTTTAGATAAAAAAAAATCTATACAATGCTAGAAAATTTTTGAGACTAAAAAAAATGAATTTATACAATGCTAGACAATTTTTTAGATTAAAAAAATGAATTTATCAATGCTAGAAAATTTTAGATAAAAAATAAATTTACACAAAGCTAGAAAATATATTTTTAAAAAAATTATACAATGCTAGAAAATTTTAGATAAAAAATAAATTTATACAATGCTAGAAAATTTTTGAGATTAAAAAAAAATGAATTTATACAATGCTAGAAAATTTTTTAGATTAAAAAAATGAATTTATCAATGCTAGAAAATTTTAGATAAAAAATAAATTTACACAAAGCTAGAAAATATATTTAAAAAAATAATTTATACAATGCTAGAAAATTTTAGATTCAAAGCATTTGTACTCATTTGTACTGTATATAAACATAAAACTTCAATATCTCACTGGCACTCTCAACACTACAGACAAGAATGACACATTTACATGGAAAACAAACACTTTGAGTAGATAACAAATACTTTGAGTCTAAAATTTTCTAGCATTGTATAAATTCTTTTTTTTTAAACCTAAAATTTTCTAGCTTTGTGTAAATTCATTCTTTTTTCATCTAAAATTTTCTAGCATTGTATAAATTCATTTTTTTAAAACCTAAAATTTTCTAGCATTGTGTAAATTAATTTTTTTCACATCTACATGTATTTGTAAAATTTAAACAATGTTTATAAATCCCAGGCCATGAAGATGATCTCAGTAAAGATCAAAACGGCATGATAAAGAAAATGTTTTTCTAAAACCTACGTCACACCAGACCACATCTCACATTCTCCAAATAATCATTGACTAACAGTCACTATACGCCACACATTTTTAAATTAACAATTGTTTTCAGTAACACTAGGTTTCTTTGATGATATATTCATCCCGTCTGCCAATCTTCAGCATCCGTCTCGTTTCGATGAAGCCGAACAAGTCTGGATTTGGGAGTACGACAACAACGGGGACAAACACGATCTTTTCATGGACCAGGGCGAGCTCATCAAGTTCCGAGTCGCTTCGGAGACTTTCATCGAGACATCGCCTGTCACGACGACAGAAGCGGACAAAACCGCAGAGCAGACCAACGCAGAAGTCCCTTACTCTATAACTGTACTATTTTCATTCTGAATTGTTTATCATTGACTTTTTCATTTTTGTTTTATTTTTGCAGGCGACAATCAACGAACCTGGTCTCGGCTTGTTATCATGGTGGGAAGGATCATAACTATGAAAATATTCTTTGTACATTCTGTAAATATTTTGTATATCTTTTTTTTTTAATATTACAATATTTTACACAAAAATCTACTGTTTTATTTTTTTTCTGCATAACTAATTTCTTATTGTATACTTTAATAAATATAGATTATTTATTTGTAAACCATCTAGGTCTGCTTAGGTGTTTTAGCTTTTCATTGTAGATTAGGCAAGAAATCTTCCTCTTTTGTGCATAGTATGCTGTAATTCCTTATGATTCTTTTGGAAAAAAAATTCTTGGAGTTCAAAAATGCTTTTTATCATACATTAGATCCTATGAAATGCTAAAGCATAGAAAATCCATACATAATCTGACAAATCCGATATAGTGGTGGGATGTTGAGGTCCTCAGCTTTAAGACTATGTTTAGAAGGTTGATGAACCAACAATGAAACATCAACCTCCTCAACAGAGTATTAATCTGTCAAAGTTGATCATAAATGGTAAAAATCATAACACAATATTTTATACGTTTATAACAAGAAGGCGTTAAATATTGATAAAAAGATCAATAATCAAATGGTACAAAAGGCAACTGTAGGCTTGGCATCCTGATAGGACCGAGGTCCGGTGATGCGACGTCAAACCTAGAAAATAAATACAATAAATCGGGGAACAATTTCCAAGGGAGAAACGATTAGGAGAAAGATATTACATTACCCATAGGGCACTGTTGTCATAATTCGCGACAGCCTACGAGGTCTGCCTCTGCCCCTTGACGGCGTCGTCCTGAGCTGGCTAGACGGTTTCCTTGACAACGGTGGCAACGATTCGTAAAATAAAGGGTCTAGGCATCCAGCCTTGGCCAGGCTTGTGACATGCGTGTGAGAGTAGGGTGGTTTTACGGGGCAGCTTATCTTGATTACATACTGAGCCAGTTCGGTCGCAAGTTCATAAAACCTTCAAAAAATAATAAAATAAAATAAAAGTATAAATTTATGTTTTTTTCTTAAACCTTTTAATCCTTCCTTCTACTACAGGTTTAGTATCGGAAATCGGCTCTTGGCCTAGAAGTTTTCCAGTTAGTAGATCACTTATAAATCTCGATGTAATAATTTCGCTAGATTCTACTGAATGTTCGCTTGGTGGTGGGTCGACCTCTCCATCAATGATCTCCTTGCAGAAGGTCGCAACATCTAAAAACCTGATAATTTTTTTATAGGCTTAAAAAAGAAATAATCTTTCACTTATAATAATAATTTTAACTTTACCTTGGTGTGTAATTAAAAAGGTCAATTAATGTGAATAGATTGATAATAGACGGTATGGCTGAATGCACGAATGCCAATGCTGCTTCAAGCTCGTCCCCTCGAACCAATTCGGGTGCAAGTAATACCCTCAACTAAAAGAAAATTTGTCTAATAAGTTTGTGACTATTAAAATAAAATGAAATACCTGTTTACAAAGATGAGAAAACAGAAGGGCGCACTCGGAATGAACAAAGTCGGCGTGGTAGTATTTCTGAATGAAATCCGTGAGTATCATGAGCTTTTCGAGATAGCTCGTGATCGGTATACCGCGGGAGCTGAGGAACCGAACCATTTTGCAGTTCCGGTCTAATATCTGGCTTGTGCATTTCCAAGACAGCCTCATGAAATCGACGAACTCCGAGATCTTGTGCTGCGAGGAGTTGTCGTCCGAGTGGTTCGCTTTCGTGTGCGGTATTAGCTTGAGACGGTCGCTGAACTCATCCAAGAGATTCTCAAGCTGCGGGATGAGTATGTCGTACGTGTTCTGCATCTGGACCAGCATCTTTGTATCACTGCATAAGCAGTTTATCTGAAATATAAAAAAAAAAAAAAAATCAAGATGGCAAAACGCCGAAACATATCTTGCGTTCAAAACCTAGTCATAGTTCATCAAAATAAGAAATCTCACAGTGCAAAACATTTCTGTCCCTTCTTCAAACAAAATTGTACAGAATAAAATCACGTTCTAGTTTAAAAATAAGAAAATTTTGTTTTTTTGAACTTACATCTTCCCTCAGCCTGGAAATGACATCGCAGCAAAGAAAGGCGGGTTGGATAGAAGCAAAATAGGCCATCCGTAGACGAGAACGTTTTACCAATAATAAAAACTATAAAATAAAACTTTAGGCCTTTTTTTAACCCGGTCGCGGGAGAAAGTGAAAAAACAAATGCTACATGGATAGCGACCAACTTCACTGCTTGGGAGATCTTAAAATAACGATCAATTCGGTTTATTATTTTATTTATGACCTGCATTTTTTACTTTTCAAGAAAGACAAAACAAAAAACCAATTAAATGAGAATAATTGACAAAACTGTGATGCATTCGGTTAAGGGAAGCATGAAAAAACTGAAAATTTGTGAAATTGGACGATCTACTGTTTGATTTTTTTTTTTTTTTTTTTTAAGCACTTTAGTGTTTTACATGAACGTTTTATGCTGAAATTATAATAATACTATAACGCGTTGAGTTTTTATTTCGTTGCAAAATCTGAAATCCTATCTGGAGAAAATGGTGGTCGATATGTATGATGGAATAAGAGAACATTTAGGCCTAAACTTCCTCGGCTGTTCTGTTCGATTAAATAATGATTTTTTTTATAAGTTATGTTTTTAAAATATTCGCTGTGGCTTCTTGTATACTTAAATATGTTTTTTTTGGTCAGGATTTCGACTAAACTCTCCTATTTACTACCCAGCCGGCAGATTTATTGGCCGGTGGGGTCCGTCCGACAAATCACCGCGGGGGTGTTGACAAACGGAAAAAAAAAATAACCGACAAATGACAATTTAAAAAGGACTCAATTTTGTGCCGAAAAGGCGACAAATCGTCGGTTGTCACTAGTTTCGAGTCACCGGAGAAGCTGGGTGGGAAATTTATAGTTAAGACTCCAATAATTCACAGGCATATGTCTCAGGCCGGAGGGGCCAAGGAATTTGTCCAAACAAAAAAATTCTGTTTTACACCCCTAATAGTGTTAATTTTTTTTCTTGTCTCTTATTAGATTTAGAGCCATGATCAAACAATAATTAGTCGAACCCTTATAGATTACAAAATTGATTGATTGATTTACATATCAGGCAGGGTTTTTAAAGGTTATTATATACAATTTGAATCATTTTTGTACCTAGAATAAGAAAAATACATGCCAAATTGAATTAAATAAGATCAGATATATAAAACGTTACAAAAACCAAAATACGCTTTTAGTAAAGTAGGTAAAAAAATTAAGTTTTTGAAAAAAAAAATCGGATTTCTTTTAAGCACCCTTTAAGGCCCTTAAATACGAATTTTCAAGTAAAACAAAAAATACAAAATTTTTGTGCTCAATCAAGCAGGGTTCTCGCCTAGGTCCGATGTCCCACTTAAAATTTTTAATATGTTTTTGTGCCTTTCATGTGCATGCATTCAAGGTTATTATATATCCCATTATTTTTCGTGGTCCGATTGATCAAATTACTTTTTTCAATTAATTACTCGTTATGTAAGGCATTGGTTGAAATGCAAATGTTAGCGTCACGAGCGGGATTCGAACCCACGACCTTCGGTGTTTACTTTTTCATTTCAACCAATACCTTACATAACGAGTAATTAATTGAAAGTTATTATGTATATAATTTGAAACATTTTTGCACCTGGAATAAGAAAATAATAAAGATAAGATTGTATTAAATGAGATTAGATATATAAAAAGTTACGAAAACCAAAAAAGGCTTTCATTAATGTAGTTAAAAAATTAATTTTTTGAAAAAAAAATCGGATTCGTTTTAAACATACTTTTAAGGCCTTAAATACTAATTTTCAAGGTAAACAAAAAATAGAAATTTTTGAGGTCAACCAAGCAGGGTACTTTTCTCGCCTATATCTGATATTCCAACTTAATCATATCCCATTTGATGCTACGTTTAAGTTCTACGTTTAACCAGTGTCAATAATTTTTATATTTGTATTATTATAAGTGAGAAAAATAAAGATGAAATCAACAAAAACACATCAGATGTTTTATTTTAACCGGTTTTAATTTTATTACACATGCGAGCTTCACGCCATTACTTATGGTTTGTAATGTTCTAAGCCTCTGTAAAGTTTTGTCTTGATTTGAGTTGTTTCAAAGCTATAAATATTTCTGTGATTTTCGAGGAAAAAATCATTCCCTAGGATCCATGGAATCTAAATGACATTTTTAAAATATTTATTCAGAAATCGTGTGATCGGTCTGGTATGCCACTGGTGTACACCAGACCGCATCTCACGATTTCTGAATAATTATCGATTAACGGTCACTAATCACCACACACTTTTTTAAATATGTTATTGTGCCTTTGATGTGCATTTATTTCAAGGCTATTATACATACAATTTGAATAATTTTTGTAGCTAGAATAAGAAATAAATATGTAGGTTTTTATTAAATGAGATTAGATATATATAAAAAGTTACAAAAACCAAAAGACGCTTCCAGTAAAGTAAGTAAAATAAAATAAGTTTTTGAAAAAATCAATTCGGATTCGTTTTAAGAAACCTTTAAAACCCTTAAATACGAATTTTCAAGGAAAACAAAAAAACAAACAAAAACTAAAAATTTTTGTGCAGTTTTTCTTACCTATGTCCGATGTTCCACTTAAAAAATTCAGAATTCCTACGGGCTTTATCCAAATTCAGCTTTATGAATTCCCATTGGAAAGTGGATTATTCTATTTTCAACCATCGTCAATAATTTTTACATTTATTTTATTATAAGTAAGAAAAAAAGAGTTTTGAAGAGCAAGAGTTATGACTTTTTTTGATCATCGGACATAGGCGAGAAAAAAACTGCACCCTCCTTCTTTGAGCACAAAAATTTCTATTTTTTGTTTTCCTTGAAAATTCATATTTACGGGTTTTAAAGGATGCTTAAAACGAATCCGAGTTGATTTTTCCAATTAAAATGTTTTTTTGGCCTATTTTACTGATAGCGTTTTATGATTTGTATAACTATTATTAATTCTGCGTACTATTTCCTTGTCCTAGGGGCAAAACCAAATTGACTGGCATATAATAACCTTGAAATGCAAGCACAACAAACGCAGAAAATCATATTTAAAAAAGTTAAATACTAGGCTTCCAGGGCATATTGAAAGATCTCTCGGACACGGGCCTAAAATTTTTCGACCTAATATCACCAAAAAATGTTTAATTAAAATTAATTAAAATCCGTTAGATCAAAGAAGAGAGATTAGGCTTTCGAACGGTAGTATTAACATCGAATTTGGGTAAAATCCAGAGGAGTTATGAATTTTTTAGTGGAACATCGAATATAGGCGAGAAAACAGCACTCTGAGCACAAGATTTTTTATTTTTTCTTTCCTTTAAAATTTCGTATTTAACGGTTTCAAGGAGTGCTTGAAATGAATCCAAATTGATTTTTTCAACAGCCAATTTTTTACCTAGTTTCTGAAAGCGTCTTTTGGTTTTTGTAACTTTTTATATATCTAGTCTCATTGAATACAATCTTGCATATTATAAAAACTTTTTTTTTTTGGGGGGGGCAGTGTATATAATTCACTTGTTCGACCAATTTCTATAACTTGTACAAATCGTTCAAAATCAATTACTTCGTATGTTATATTCAAATTAGACTTTAACAATAATAAATCCTCTCATGTTTCAATTAAGTCTTACTTCAATATTGCTGATTCTAGCTGTAGAAGAAAGTATTTTAGATTATTTTTATTAATATTTTTATGTAAAGCTTTGGTTGAAATGAAAAAGCTAGTGTCACGATCGGGATTCGAACCCACGACCTTTGGCTAAATACGCCGCTGCTCTATCATTTGAGTTATCCTGACACCAACTCCCCATCTCAACCTACATCCTTTTGCTCGGTCGTGGGTTCGAATCCCGCTCATGGCCCTGACTTTTCATTTCAACCAAAACCTTACATAAAAAGATTAATTAATTGAAAGAAGTAATTTGGTCAATACACCACTAAATATAATGGACTATTTTTATTAATTAATAATTGTACAGATTTCCGAGAAATCCTTGGTAAATTCCAATTTTATTTACCTCCTAACAGAGAAATTATAAAATATTTTTTATTTATTATAGAACGTAACAAGTTTCACTTGAAAATTCGTATTTACCGGCTTTAAAAAGTACTTAAAAGGAATCCGAATTGATTTTTAAAAAAACTTTTTTTTAACTTACTTTACTAAAAGTCTTTTGGTTTTTGTAAGTTTTTATATATTTAATCTCGTTTGATACAAACCTGCATATTATTTTCTTATTCTAAGTACAAAAATGATTCAAATTATGAATATAACAACATATGCAACAATATCGATTTATTAATACTTCAAGTTTACTCATAAAAACGTCAGTTACTTAAAGCGTAGCAAAATGAAGCATAAAAATTTACTATGTAGGTAGTTATAATACTTTATTACATATATTACACTGGGTGTCCCAGTTCCTTCTGACGAAACTCAGGGAATCGATTCTACTCTTCGTATGGAGCAAAAAATGCTCAGGAGAAAATTTTCGTAAAGTTCTCTATTTTGAAGATATTCGTCAATTAATTAAGGTTTTTAGTTGAGATGAAAAATGGCAAAAAGGAGGGAAAACTCATAAGGTGGGGCTGAGATAGGAACTTGATGTCCGAGTGGATCGAGGTCACGATAGCTCAAGTGGTAGAGCAGCGGCGTATCTAGCCGAAGATCGTGGGTTCGAATCCCGCTCGTGCCATTAGCNCTCTACCACTTGAGCTATCGTGACCTCGATCCACTCGGACATCAACTTCCTATCTCATCTCTACCTTATGAGTTTTCCCTCCTTTTTGCCATTTTTCATCTCAACTAAAAACCTTAATTAATTGACGAATATCTTCAAAATAGAGAACTTTCCGAAAATTTTCTCATGAACATTTTTTGCTCCAAACGAAGAGTAGAATCGATTCCGTGAGTTTCGTCAGAAGGAACTGGGACACCCTGTATATATATTTTTTTGCACAATTCCTAGTCGATATAAGTAGACATGTAGACAGGGTGTTTACCTAAATCTTTATGCTGTTTATTTTATTGTCTTTTCATTTATATTTTTTGGTATATAGTATAGCGTTTTATTCTTTATTAATGTTGGGATATTTATAAGCGTTGCACTGTATATATATTTTTCTTCTTCACTTTTGTACATGTTTTTTAAGAAATGGTTTTTAACCAGAAAATAAATGAATAAATCACCTACAAATAGGGTCATTATTAAACTGGTGATGGGGTGGGTAACTAGGTGTTCGCCAGTCATCAGCATTCATATCTCTCCCCTGAGCTTTATTCTGTCAGTTTTTTGGTGAAGGTTCTTTTATGAAATGTATCTGACACCTCTGGAATTCTTCCACTTTTAATTTTTTTTGTGAATCCTTTTTGATATGGATGAGTCCATGGACCTTGTTATCCCAATTAAAGGTTCTGGGTCTAGATGCAGATACATCCTCCTTTCCGTATGATTAATTTTTATTAATTAATAATGATAATTTTAATTCTTCAAACTACTTGGCAAAAACCTTTAGTTGGAGGTTTCTTTTTATTTGTTCACCTATTGGGCCTAGAGAAAATTCCTATTTAATGTCTCCAGTTAATGTTGACTGCCGAGAGGAAAACGGACCTATCCGAGATAAAAATAGTGGGAATTAATTCTTTTTACCCCCCTCGTTTCAGAATTTCCCCGTCGGATCCTGTGGGCGGGAAGAGAGGCTGGCATGGTGAATGACGGAAGTAGAAATAGCTGAGATGACCCACCTGGTTCAAAATCCTAGGGGGAGAGACGCGGCGACCGGTTTTAAAGATGTTCGGCATTAATAACGACGGCCCCGGAAGAGAAATTTCGAATTTCCTAGGGTGAATAAAAAAAATAAAAAAAGAAAAAGAAAGGAAATCATCTAAAAGAAGAAAAAAGAAATATTAGAGATCAACGTAGTTCGATCACATCAAAGCCAAAACTGGAAACACCCTTAGTATTGGCTAAATCATCTAGAATAGGCGAATTTAATGGATCAAACCACAACAGTAAATGATAAGTGACGGACACAGGATCAAAATTTGCAAATTTTTGTAAATAATTTTGAAAAAACTTGCAATTCTCTTCCTAGTCAGCTGTTTTTGTTTTATGATTAAGTACAAAATTACATATTGTATTTTATTACTGGGCTTTCTCTTTCGGCAACCCTATTAACAAGGGGGGAAAAATCGGTTAGTAAAAACAGCTCTCCGCCGGTTTGTTTTCCACGGTTTAAGTACTGACAAGTGTGCCCTGTTTGGAGAACGCCGAGGGGATTCTTAAAAGTAAATAAACAATTTGGTCCTCTTAGAAACGACCAGGGAGGGCAGAAGGACACTGGAAAATTTAAACCTACCCCAATAAAAAAAGGAAAATATACACTTATCTACTAAAACACATTAGGATAATGCCCTGTTCTCAATATGTACGCACAGTTTTTTTTTCTCAATTTTTGTATATCACGTCATCATCCTTAAAGTAAAATAGTTTTGATCAGATACAAGAAGACTATTGCTCTTTTATGTGTGCATTATAGATCACCTACAATAGCCTTGATATCTTCACTAGGCGAGGCGACGGAGATGGCATGGAAGATTTTAATGAACTTTTCCCTTCCGAACTTCTTGTATTCATGAAGACGGAAATATTTTTATCCTCCAAAATCGAAATTTCCGCTCGCATTGTGCGTTTCAGACATTTCTGAATTCGGTTCATTGTCTGTCTGTGGTCAATTCCTTGTAACCAGCAAAACTCCGAAACCACCAATTTTCAGAGGACGTGCGGTTCGGTTTCTAGTTGAACCCAATTGATTCAAGATTATTATATATCAGTCAACTTATTATTTTATCTAGTGTATGAAAATAATATGAAGGATTTTATTAAATGAGATTAGATATTTGCAAAGTTAGAAAAACCAAAAGACGCTTTCAGTAAAATAGGTAAAAAAGAGGTTTTTGAAAAAAAAATCAATTTGGATTCATTTTAAGCATTATTTAAAGCCGTTAAATACGAAATTTTAAAAGAAAGGCAAAAACTAGAAAATTTTGTGCTCAATCAAGCAGGGTTCTCGCCTAGGTCCGATGTCCCACATAAAATTTTTCAATATGTTTTTGTGCCATTCATGTGCATGTATTTCAAGGTTATTATATATCCATTATTTTTCGTGGTCCGATTGATCAAATTACTTCTTTCAATTAATTACTCGTTATGTAAGGTATTGGTTGAAATGCAAAAGTTAGCGTCACGAGCGGGATTCGAACCCACGACCTTCGGTGTTTACTTTTTCATTTCAACCAATACCTTACATAACGAGTAATTAATTGAAGTTATTATGTATATAATTTGAAACATTTTTGCACCTAGAATAAGAAAATAATAAAGAAAATATTGCATTAAATGAGATTAAATATATAAAAAGTTACGAAAACCAAAAAAGGCTTTCATTAAAGTTGTTAAAAAAATTAATTTTTTGAAAAAAAAATTTGATTCGTTTTAAGCATCCTTTAAATGCCTTAAATACCAATTTTCAAGGAAAACAAAAAACAGAAATTTTTGTGCTCAATCAAGCAGGGTGCTGTTTTTCTCGCCTATGTCCGATGTTCCACTAAAAAAATGCATAACTCCTCTGGATTTTATCCAAATTCGATGTTAATACTACCGTTCGAAAGCCTAATCTTTGGCAAGATCTCTCTTCTGTGATCTGACGGATTTTAATTAATTTTAATTAAACATTTTTTGGTGATATTAGGTCGAAAAATTTTAGGCACGTGACCGAGAGATCTTTCAATAGGCCCTGGAAGCCTAGTATTTAACTTTTTTAAATATGATTTTCTGCGTTTGTTGTGCTTGAATTTCAAGGTTATTATATGCTAGTCAATTTGGTTTTGCCCCTAGGACAAGGAAATAGTATGCAGGATTAATAATAGTTATAAAAATCAAAATAAGCTATCAATAAAATAGGCCAAAAAACATTTTAATTGGAAAAATCAATTCTTATCCGTTTTAAGCATCCTTTAAAACCCTTAAATATGAATTTTCAAGGAAAAAACAAAAAATAGAAATTTTTGTGCTCAAAGAAGGAGGATGCATTTTTTTTCTCGCCTATGTCCGATGTTCCAAAAATTCATAACTCTTGCTCTTCACAACTCTTTTTTTTTCTCACTTACGATGAAATAAATCTAAAAATTATTGACGCAGATAGAAATAGAATAATCCAGTTTCCAATGGGAATTAATAAAGCTGAATTTGGATAAAGCCCGTAGGAGTTATGAATTTTTTAAGTGGAACATCGGACATAGGCGAGAAAAATAGCACCCTGCTTGATTGAGCAGCAAATTTTTTGTTATCCTTGAAAATTTGTATTTCAACGTTTTAAAGGATGCTTAAAACGAATCCGAATTGATTTTTTCAAAAACTTAATTTTTTACTTTCTTTACTGGAAGCGTCTTTTGGTTTTTGTAACTTTTTATATATCTAAACTCGTTTAATACAAACCTGCATATTATTTTCTTATTCTAGCTACAAAAATGAATCGTCTAAACATATTTAAAAATTTTAAGTGGATCATCGCACATAAACGAGAAAAAACTGCACCCTGATTGAGCACACAGTTTTTTTCTATTTTGTTTTACTTGAAACTTCGTATTTAAGGGCTTTAAAGGGTGCTTAAAACAAATCCGATTTTTTTTTCAAAAAGTTAATTGTTTTTTTCCTACTTAAATACGAAATTTTAAAGGAAAGAAAAAATATAAATTTTCGTGCTCAAACGAGCAGGGTCGTTTTTTCCTCGCCTATGTCCGTTGTTCCGTTTAAAAAATTCACAACTCCTTTGGAATTTATCCAAATTCGATGTTAATACAACCGTTCGAAAGCTCAATCTCTCTTCTTTGAGCTTATATAAACAATCTTTAACTTTTGTGTTATTATGAGTGGGAAAAATAAGTATAAAATCAACAAAACCTCATCGAACGTTTTATATTATATCTCCGGCTGTGAATTTTTGAACTTTCTGCCATTACGTGAAGTTTATAGAGTTTCTAACCACTTGTAAAAGTTCATTTGGATTGAAGAATTCGTTTTCAATAAAATCGAAGTCGAAAACTCTGATATAAATTTTTATTTTTTTAATTTTCATGAAAATTCATATTCAGGATTTTTTTGGGCGATAATCACCCACAAAAAAAGCTGAAGGGCGAGACAGTCCAACGCTCTTTGCCAACTTTAAGTTTAGTGTTCACGACACAAATCTATAATGCCATGCACAACCTACTTCCCTCAGAAGTGGAACCACGCGATCATCATGATTGCCAAACCGGAAAAAAATGACATAAGCGGTTACAGGCCAATACGTTTCCTTAGTCTATTCTCGAAGATTTTCGAAAGATTCCTTGTACCAAAGCTGATGACTTGAAACCATTAATACTCATCCGATTCGGGTTCAAATCCCCTGGTCACGCCTAAAGGGTTGTTGATGATGTCTAGGGCTGTCCATAGACAATAAACGATATGATCCCACTCCAAAGAGTTAAAAGTTTCTTTTTTCTAGATTGCGTGAAACACGCGGGTGTCGGGCAAGGTTGTTTGCTAAGCCCGTTACTCTTTGCGGTTTTTATTAACGATATGGAAAAGTATCTGGTAGATATTTATTATTAAGTTTTAATGCAATAAAAATAAAATAAACACAGTTTAAAAAAAATAGAAGAAATGTTAAACGACAGGATTTTACATTTTTCTCCGGTAAATACGGTCGATTTTTGAATCCGCCAATTTTTGACTTTTTTTCGGAAAAGCGTCCTTTGAACGGTCTAAAAATATTTCTATCCCCCATGGATCCAATAATAGAGTAGGCCAACCCAAAAACGAACCCATTGGGTAAGAGCCGAACCCTTCGTCACGCCCACAACCCCTTCGACCAGTCTCGACTGAAAATTCCGTTCCACTCATTAGTACACATTAAGGAAGGAGGAGGTCGACTGGAACAAGACGTAAGTACCGAGGATTTCATTTAAACCCGTTCAGAGTAGGATGAAAATTGAAAAAAAAAAAAAGAAGAAGAAGAAGACAGTAACGAACAGCAGGTTCAATTTAGGCGCTATTACACTGTATTTTTCCTGTTATATATTTTTATATGGTTTTGATATAAAAAGAAAAATATTATCAAATTTTACCTTGCAGATATGAAATTGGAGCGATTTTTAACGAATAAAAGGGGTGAGAGTTGGGATTTTGAAAAGATACGTTAACCAAAAAGAATAGAAACTATATTTCTTTCAATAACTTACTTATATACTTATTTCATGTATTTTTAAAAATTTCAATGAAACAGAATCGTTTGGCATTTCAAATTGGTCTATTGGTATCAGTCGGTAATAATTGGTCAGGAGGGTCTTTAAAAATCTTATTGTAGAAAATTGTATTTTCTACCTGACCTAGACAATAAGAAAACTTGGAAAAATTGTAGGTCGTTTTAGCGTTTGTTTGACGACAATTATTTCTATAAATTCGTCGAATTTCTCGACAGAAATCGTCGAACTTGTTGGCCAAGATTTATGGGTAAAATTTGGTCAAAATCTGCACATAGGAATTTTTATAAGTGCATATCTTTGTCCGGATCCAATCCAACCGGTCCAAACAACGTTAGAATCTCGGTAACCGGTCAATAAATTTTTGCAAAACTTGACAAAATTGATTGAAATATTTGATTTTGATATAAGAAAATTTGGTGGAAAATCTGTTGAGATGATCACGTCCCCAGAGCGTAAAAGTGCATTTTTTGGTCTGAAGCTTTTATATTTACTGTCACATTGTCAACCTGCCTAAAATGTTGAGCCTTTTGGCATTGAATTGAGGACAAATTTTGGACAAAATCTGTTTGGAGGCGTAAGCTTTCTCAGCTTGAACGGGTTTCGTTTCGATTCGAGTCTTAAAAACACCGACGTTAATATTTCTTTGATATTTTACTAGCTGTGTAGCACAATTTCACGAAACTGGCGAAACTGATGCACGTTTTGACCTTGTTGTGTGGGCAAATTTTGGACAACGTGTTTTGAAATTACGCATCCGTTCAAAGCCTTTTGCAAAACCACGAACATTTTTTCGTCAAAATGTCACCAGTTGGGCTAAAATAATTTTACGAAAGTTGGTAGAAATACTGAACTTTTAGTGATTTGTGTGGACCAATTTTGGACAAAATCTGATAAGAGAAATACGCTTTCAATGCCTAAATGTGATCTATTAAGTCGACCCTTTAAAAATCACCGAGAATATTTTCCTTATTATTTGACTAACTGCTAAGACCCTTTCATGAAATTTCGCAGAAGTAATGCACGTTTTGACCTTGTTTTGTGGACAAATTTGCGTCTTAATCTGCTGGGAGAAATCGAATCGAAAAATCGCAGCCTAAATAGGATACGTTTTGTTTAAACCTTTAAAAAAACACAGACAATATTTTCCTTAATATTTCACTAGTTGGTCAAGATATTTTCACAAAACTTCGCAGAAATAATGCACGTTTTGACCTTGTTTTGTGAACAAATTTTGATCAAAATCTGTCTACAGGGATTTGCATTAAATGCTTGAACGTGGTCAGCTTCCTTCCAAAAACCCCCAACGTATTTTCCTTAATAATTCACTAACTGGCCAAGATATTTTCATGAAATTTCGCAGAAGTAATGCACGTTTTGAACTTGCTTTGGGGACAAATTTGCGTCAAAATCTGCTAGGAGAAATAGCGACGCGCAGCCTAAACGTGTCTCATTTTGTTAACGACTTTTGAAAAAACACCGACAACCTTTTCCTTATTATTTTACTAGCTGATCAAGATATTCACGAGTCCAGAAAATCTAATTTCCCTCAATATTTCACCAAATGGCCAAGCTAATTTTTCGAAACGGCAGAATAAACGCACCTTTTGGTATTGTTAGGTGGACAAATTTGGAACCAAAAAAGATGAATTGAATACACGTTCGCAGCTCAAACGTTTTACGGTTTGTCAGATTCCTTTAAAATATTTTTTTATTTATTTACAGTTATTCAGATATCGTGAGATGAGGTCGGGTGTTTCAGAAAAACATTTTCTTTGACGTGCCAACGTTTCGATCTTTATTGAGATCATCTTCAGGGCCTGGGATTTACAAACATTGTTTACATATAACAATTACATTTTGGATGTGGAAAAGTGAATTTATACAATGCAAAATATATTTTATATTCAAACAAAGTATTTCTACTCACTCAAAGTGTTTTTCTTCTGTGTAATTGTGCCAACTTTGCGTGTCGTGTTGAGAGGAATACCCACTCCAAGCGTATGCGTTTCCCACTTTGTCGGAACTCTCGAAAAACCAAAGTCAATTCACCAAGTCACTTGCAACTAATAAAAATAATCACGTTCTGACCCCGATCTGTGGACAAAATTTGGACAAAATCTGTTGGGTGAAATTCTTACTCAAAGCCTAAACCTGTTCATATCTAGAAGTGTTTCTTTGCCTTGATCCTTTCTGAACAGTTCAAACTATATTTCCTTTCTCAGTCACTGGCCAATATATTTTCACGACAGTGGACAAAATCCTAAGATATTTTGACAAACCAAATTTCAAATCGTTAGTATTCAATAATTCCAGCTGGTTCGTTATAAAATCGAACCAATTTGCCAAGATTTAAGGACAAAATTTGTTCAAAAACTGGAGGGATCCCCCCAAGCCTCGACCTGTCGAAGTGGCAAAAGTTCTGCTTTGAATTTGTATTCAACCGAACGAATTTGATCCAAATTTAGTCCACACAACCAAACCAAAACTGCATTAATTCTGCCAAGTTTCGTGAAATTATCTTGAGCGAATATGAAGAGAAATAACGTTGGAGATTTTTTTAGAAGGGTCCTGTTATATTTAAGCTTTGTATTTTGGACAGATTTGGACTTAATTTGGTCCCCATATCAAAGGCATTATGGTTCAATAATTCAGTCGTTTTCATGAAAATAATAATCGGAAAAATGTGATTTTTGTTCAATTTTCAGGCAAAGATATTTACGATATAGGAGCGAATTACTCTGAACGGATTTTTCCCAGAATTTGACCAAATTTTGTCCACAGGTTAAAGCCAAAACGGTTTAATATTTTGTACAATTTCCAGGCAAAGATTTTTACGATGTAGGAGCGAATTACTCTAAACGGATTTTTCCCAGAATTTGACCGAATTTTGTCCACAGATCAAAGTCGAAATGTGCAGGCAACTAGGGAAATACTATAGGGAATAACAGGATTTTTTTAATGGTAACTTTAGGATTTGAGTGCGTTCTCCGTCCAACCGATTTAGTCAAACATTTGTCCACAAATCGAGGTAAAACTTGCAATAAAATACATGCACCTGAGGAAGAAGGATTGATCCTTTGCAGACCAAGTTTGGCCCAGAGACCAAAACTAGAATGTCAAACGATTCTACCAAGTTTCATCGAAACACTTTTGGTTTATAAGCGTGTCATTGAAGGAAAAATAATTCTTTCTCCTCCTGTTGAAGGTATCATCAAAATCTCATCATCCCCTCAAGAGGCACGAGTATCAAATTGAATGTACTTTTATTGTTGTCAATTTTTAATATCCAACTGATATATGAACGAGACTTGTTGATTTTCTGAGAACTTTTGTGTTTGAACAACTTTATTGGTTATTTTTGTTTTTTTATATTTTTAATAGATGCCCCGAAGAAGGAGCTCCGAGGAGGAGGAAGAAGAGGAAGAAGAAAGGCCTCAGAGAAACGCCGCCAACGCTCGCGAAAGGGCGAGGATGCGCGTCCTGAGCCGGGCCTTCTGCAGGCTGAAGACAACCCTCCCCTGGGTCCCTGCGGACACTAAGCTCTCCAAGCTGGACACCCTCAGGCTGGCCACTTCTTACATCGCCCACCTCCGGAGGGTTCTGAACGGTCCTGCCAACCAGGCCCAGCCTCCCAGTCCGCTCAGCATGGTGAGCCGATTTTGACCTCTCGATACCAAAAATTCACTATCCATGTTCAACATTTAAGAAAGCAGTTTACTTTTTGAAGTCTGCTTATAATTCAATTAATTAAGGTTTTTAGTTGAGATAAAAACGTCAGCGTCACGAACGGGATTCGAACCCACGACCTTCGAAGTCAAGGTAGCTCAAGTGGTAGAGTAGTGGCGTATCTAGCCGAAGGTCGTGGGTTCGAATCCCGCTCGTGACGCAGACTTTTTTTATCTCAACTAAAAACCTTAGTTAATTGAAAGATATTAATTGGTCAAGCGGACCACGAAAACTAGTGAATCTGCTTATTATACTGTACTCTTTCTGGCTCTATCTTTCTCTATCTTTCTCTCTGTTTCACTTTTTTCTCTCTCTCGATACCTCTTTCTCCTCATATATAATACACTCTCCCTTTCTCACTATTTATTTCTCTCTCTCTTTCTCTCTCTCTCTCTCTCTCTCTCTCTCTCTCTCTNCATCTCCTTCTTATACTCTATTTTTCTTTCTCTTCCCGTCGCTCTCTTTAAATCTGTATCTATTAGTTTCGATGAAATCTCTCTCTCCTTGGTCAAATTTTATGTTCTTATTATATTTTATGTTCTTATACACATAGTTGATATAGTTAGATCGACTGGAAAAGCGCTACTGTCTTTTAATCAAACAAATATTGATATAATTGAAGAAAGTTGACCAATTGTGAGGAAAACAAACTTCAGTTTTGTTGTAGTTGACTGATGTTAATTTTAAGTTCCTGAGTTCTGACTCAACCATATTTGACTTTATTGGTTATGAAAGACTTTTTCTTCCTTGCACTGTTCAAGTGTTTACAGTAATTTTCAATTTTTTCTTTAACGGAGTTTAAACATATATTTTTGATTGTTTTACACTTTTGGCTTCTTTTATTGCTTAAGACAAACGGCTTAGAAGTTCCCCAGGATGGTTATCCCCTCGATTTAAGGACGGGGGCGTTTTAAGAGGCTTGTAAACACTTCTTTTGAAGATAATTGATTACTAATCGTTCGATTTTAACCCGGGACAACTGTGGGGTCGAACGGAATAAAAAAACATGTACAACGTTTAAACCCCTTGCTGTACAAGCTGTAAATCTTGGACTTTTGTAAACACGGCCGGCTGTAAACAGCGCCGGATCCAAACAAATCCCATTTCCTAACAATCTTTTATTTATTTTTGAAATTTAATTCAAAGGAATTTTTGTTCGCAGAGCTGGCCCTTTACGTTTCAACCGCAACACCACGAAGCCCAGCAGGCGCAGGAAACGCAAAACTACATCAACTATTATGAAAATCCTATACAAATCGGATAGTTTTACAGCAGATCCACTTATAAAAATGCTTTCCTACAAAAATCATGTAATATATGTACAAATAAATCTTATTTATATTTAAAACTGTGTTCGTTTTATAATAGAAAACCCTAGAGCAGAAACATGGAAATTTTTCTCCTTAATAGAGAGAATATCTCGGGATGTTGGGTCGTTACGAAAAGGCTAAATTTTGAAAATGAAAAGTGCATCTAAATTTTCACCCGGGGTTGTTAGGTCATTACATTGACAAGTATGATTGGCGCTGGCCCACATATTTGTTTGGACAGGACGGGCCCAGGCCAAAACACGTGTTAACTCTAAATAGTAACATGAGCGTTTAGCCGGTGGATGGATGGGAAGGAAGGGTGGAACACTCAGTGGAAAAATAGAGTTTGTTTTTATATCCGAACACCGGAAATAATCACTTTACGCGTGAGAATAATAAGAAAGGGCCATGTTATGGTGTGATTTTTGTCAAAACCCCCTTATTAAATCATGCCAATCTATCTGTAAAAAAAATCATCTTAAGAAAAAATGGTGGATTGTGAACCGTTCAAAATTTTGTGTGCGATAAAAGGATGCGAGAAAAAAAAAAAAAAAATAGCCGGAGAAATTGCCTTCATCCACCCAGTTTTCACGCTCTAGAAAAAGTTCTGATAAGTGACATGATTAAAAAGTAAACTTACCAACAGTTAAGCTCCGGTTGGTGGACAAGTTCGGATACTTTTCATCCATATTGCTAACTGTGAAACTTTATAAAACGATTTCCATCTATGGTCACTCTCTCTCTCTCTCTCTCCCCTCCCTCTCTTTTTTCTTTCTCTCCCTATCATTCTCTTTAAATCTTTATCTAGAAGCTGTTTTTGAAATATCTCTCTCTACTTGGTCAGATTTTATGTTCTTATATTTTTTCATCCCTTTCTACTGCATGCTCTCTCTCTCTCTCTCTCTCTCCCTCTCTCTCTCTTCTTTTTCTCTCCCTGACCCTCTCTTTTTATACTCTCTTTTTTCTTTCTCTCCCTATCATTCTCTCTAAATTTTTATCTAGTAGCTTTTTTGAAATATGTATCTCTATAATTGGCTAGATTTTATGTTCTTATATTTTTTCATCCCTTTATACTGTATGCTCTCTCTCTCTCGCTCTCTCTCTCTCTCTCTCTCTCTCCCTCCCTTTTTTTCTTTCTCTCCCTATCATTCTCTTTAAATCTTTATCTACTAGCTTCTTTGAAATCTCTCTCTCTTCTTGGTCAGATTTTATGCCCTTATATTTATCTTCCCTTTCCATTGCATTCTCTCTCTCTCTCTCTCTCTCTCTCTCTCTCTCTCTCTCTCTCCCTCCCTTTTTTCTTTCTCTCCCTATCATTCTCTTTAAATCTTTATCTACTAGCTTCTTCGAAATCTCTCTCTCTTCTTGGTTTGATTTTATGCCCTTATATTTATCTTCCCTTTCCATTGCATTCTCTCTCTCTCTCTCTCTCTCTCTCTCTCTCTCTCTTTTTTCTTTTTCATTCTTTATAGTTTTCTCTGCTTCTTTCCTTTTTTCACCTTTTTCTAGCTTCTTTTCAATTTTTTTTTCCAGTTCACACCATCAGAGTTGAAGAATATGAGATGCTGAAGCACATTGAATAATGAATTTGCCATTTTATAGAAATAACATGTTTGTTATTAATTTGGGATGGCTTAACTTGCAGAGTCCGATCTGTTTGAATTTTTGTTCTGCTCATTTCAACAATTTAGTTTAAAAGTAGCTTTAAATGCAGCAAGACAGGCCAAACTGCTTGAACATACAGTCTAAAATGAACAGGCTGCAATTGCATTAAGAAGGAATACTGAAATAGTAAAAAAAAATCTTATTGTTAATAAACAATCAATAAATACAATCAAGCATGGAACAAAATCAGATTTATTTATTCTTTGCCAAATATGATGATGCCAAGTTAAATTTTTCGTAGGTTATTAAAATTAAATGTTATTAATATTTATACGGCAAAAAATTACGTGGATATTGATAAATTAATTACAATAGTAAAAAATAATAATTGAAATATAATAGCCAAGCGAAGAAAGAATAAGAAAATAATGAAAATTGATAATTTGTGTTCAAAATTGCAGACATTAGGTCTTCGAGTGTAGAATGACAAATCACTGCATCAAAAAGTGCATTTCAATGCCGTGCAACTGCCAATTTAAATGATTTGTTATTTGAGTTATGGTATGTTTGTAAAATCATTAATCTATTTGAAGCCTCTGAAAATATTCTAAATCTAGTGAATTTAAAATTTAAGAAAATTATGCCACAACAATGACATTAAAGAGCTACAAGTGATTTTTTATTAAATCAAATTTAGATGTAAGATTGGAAAGTTGTCCCTACCATGCACAAGAGCGGATAGACTTGGTTTGAGGAAATGAGAAGAAAGATCAACTTTGGCAAACCCTTCCAAGTGGTCGTATATTACAGAAATTTGAAAGGAAAGAACCATAAATATCAAAAAGTAGGGTAAAAGGGTAAAATGGGTAGGGGCATAGTCTGAAAGTTGCTTAAATTGTCTAATGTCAATTAACCAAAATGCCAAAAGTCAGAAGACCTGTTGACAGTCATAAAAGGTCAGAGATTAAGCAGCAAAAACGGTGAAAAAAAAACCCAGGATGGCTTATTGGTTATCTACCCCTGGTCTTTAAATAATTAAATCAAATTTTCAAATGTACCAACAACAAAAGCGTTTTGAACAGTTAAGAGAAGTTGATCTGTTATTCATGAACAGTGAAAACAACAAAGGTCCAGGATGGAGCCCTGAGAAACATCTATTAACAAAGGGGCGTGAAGAGGACCATAGGAAGCAACATACCGTACAGCCTGGGTTTGATTATTTAGTTAAATTAAAAAAAACTAAATTTAAATTGAGAGACGCTTTAAAATGGGATAATAGTATATTTAGGCAAAGAAGTTAGGTTTTTTTACTGTGTGCTTTTATGGTGACTCTCATAGGAACTCTGGTATTTTGATTACCTAAAAACAATATATCTTATGAAATGATATATTATACATATATGTAAATATTGTTTTGTTTTATATTAAATTTTCTACAAAAGATTGATGGTAACCTTCAAATTCAAAACTAGTTCAGAATTGCCAGATAAAAAATCAATTATATTTATATTTTTTTATCCTTTATTTCCATGTGAACAAAAATTATACCTATTTAAAAAAAGTGCATTTACAAGCTGTTTGATAATTGTTTTTTAAAATTGATGTCTTAAAAAAGATTGACTCAGTGGTCAAAAGTTATGATTTAAATTTGTCCCTCAACTCCAAATTTTCTGTGTAAGTTATGGTTTGACACAAAAATTGCAGAATTTTTCATTTTTGTTGAAACATTGGGTTGAAGGAGAAGAAGACAATTTTATACATAAAAATACAGGTGAATCTATGATTATTTATTATTTTTAAACAAATTAAAAGCATGAAACTTAACTTATATGTGCTTGAAGATGCCATCTTGGGATTTCATAAATTGAGTTTCGTTTAAAATATAAATTATTTTTAAAACATATATTATAAAAAAAAAGTATTTAAATAAATGTGATATTTTTGAAATTTGGTTGCTAGGAAATTTATTGTAAATGGAATGAAATGAATGAAACCGGTTGCTATGATTTCTCCATAAATACATCTTTTGTGTAGAACTTAAATTTTTCTTCTTACTTTTTTCTTGATGTTTATTCTTTTAGTTTAGGCAATCGACACATAAAATATATGCTAAAACGACATTAAGTCAATCGAAGTTGGTTAAAATTATTGAAAAGTTGAACACGAGGGATGAAAGTCCTGCGGGAGCACTGGAGGAGGCCCAGGCCGAGAGTTGCCCGAAGAAACCCAAAGGGAGGGAGTTGCTGTTGCCATAAGTCTTATGGGCTACGCTCCTTCCCAAAAATATGGACCGACCTGAGAAAGACGGATCGCTTTTGTGACGGTGTTATAGAAAGCAGTGATGGGAAAATTTACAGGTATGTGTCAAAAATTAAATAACCTTTTTCTCATCAAGGAACCATTTCCAAACTCCACCAAATTCTTCTTTTTGTAGACATCATCACATCAAAAGCAGTTGTTCAAATCTTTCTAGGCTTCTCAATCACATCACCATATACTGCTAAAACTTAAATACTTCCTTTCTAGTATATTTCATCATAAAATCCTACCTGATCCTTTTTTTCATGTTCCATTCCTAGCCTCAACCTCTTTGAACCATTCTAACCTCTCTCGTGTTCCTCAAGGGAGCATCCTAGGTCTGTTATATTTCAACATATGCGTGACAGACTTCCTTAAAAACTTTAAACACTCACCTCAATCCAGTACTAGCCTTTTGATCCTTACAAGACCACTTTGTTACTACTCCCTCCTGTTTATCTGAATCAAATACCACTTCCTGTGGCAGAACGCCACAAAATTGTACTACAAATTGGAACAACTTTACTCAGCACTTCTAGCAAAAAAGGATCCTCTGGTTAGACCTAAAAATCTTTAAATTATTGATCTTGCCAGACCACAATACCTTAAATTCCACTCCAGATTATCTTCATATTCCAACTTAAATAACTTTGTAATGTTAAATTTTATGTTTGACAGAGGAGAACAAGGCGAGTTAATTTTTAAGCATGTTTCCAGTACATCCCATCATTTTTTAACACGCAATCTTGTTTTCAGAGTTCACAGAGTCATTATGGTAGCTGCAAGTGAATATTTCCGGGCGGTATTCACAAGCCCTCTCGCCCCATTGGGGTCGAACGCTCGTCTACCATTCCCCTCCGATATTGTCGACTGCATCGTCGATTTTTGCTACACCGGACATTGCCACATCAATTGCGACAATATAGAACGTCTGTTGCCTGCTGCGGACCAAATCGGCGTCATGGGAATCATCAGCGACTGCGCCAAGTAATGCCGTATTTTTAAAACAAAAATATAAAATGTACTTTGGGTTTAAAAAAAAAATTTGTAGGTTCTTAAGCCAACAGATTGCCGTGTCAAACTGCTGGGGCATTCACAGCTTCTCGAGGACTTACTTCATGCACCAGGTCGCCCACGAAGCCAGGGAATTCATGATATTCAATTTTGTCGAATTCTATAATTATTCTCCAGAGTTTCCAAAAATGCCTGTTGATGATGTTGTCCTCCTCCTCAGCGACGACTGTCTCAACGTTAGAAATGAAGAGTGTGTCTTTTACGGTAGCTACTCTTATTGCTTGTTTAAAATATCTCTAAAAAATTATAAAATTGCGAAGATTCAATACTCAAATAAATGGTTCAATGCAAGATGTATTTGCATGATGAATAAATTACCCTGTTAAATTTTTTAAAACACCTTCATGGCTACATCTGAAGTAGAATAAGAAGGTGGCTAAGTCCGGGACATCCTCATCACCACGATTGAGCCCTCAGATGCTAAAAATACAATAAAAATGATGATCGAAAGGAAATGGCAATGCAATGGGTTGGTTCAATAAAAAAAAAACAACTCATATATCAAGGACAGGGTTGACGGCCCTCGGAGGATCAAAATCGTAAAAGGCATCATCTTCTCTCGATTAAGAATGAGCCGTGCAAGATTGACACACAAACTCTTTCTTTTGGGGCAAATTGTTGTCCAGCATGTAGAAAAAGATTGCTTGATTTCTCCCTCCTAAATTGAAGAATTTTTTATTCTTTACATTTCTCGGCTCCATATAGAGAGAGTGTAAGTGTGCCACCAGATATGAGAATTCTCCATGAACCTGGCATTATTTTGGTTTTTGGAAGAAATGACTGTATTGTGTATAGTATTTGATAGATATGTTTTGTGTATATTGAGAGTGAATATATTTATTAGCGTGAATCAGTAGAGAAGGTATATCAAATAAATGCAATATGTATATTTTAAAATTTATTAATTTTCAATAGGGTTTTTACATATTATATAGTTTAAATCATAATCCAAACTCTTATTGTTTTAAAAGCCTAAAAGATAATATAATCGAAAAATATGTGATGATTGCCTGTTTTTGACATATGTGTTCAAATCTTGTTGTATTAATACTTTTTTATAATATTTTTATAGGTTTGATGTTTTCATTCTGTGTAAAGTAGTTGTTCTCTGTTTAGCTATACATAGATGGATTATGATTGATAAGAATGAAAGGGAGCAACACACGACGAAACTCTTCCAAAGCGCTCGTCTAGGTCTTGTCTCACCCAGCTTCTTTTCAGAGATCATACTCAGTGCACCTTACATCGATAAGGTAAGCAGATGGGAAAGTTTCGAGACGGCGTTTTCATCTTTTTTCTTCTTTTTTTTTCTACTTAGGTGGACCATTTGTTCCTCAAACAGTTAAGCCTTGAAATAGCAGAAAGAGAGAAATCAATGGGGTCTTCTGAGCTGAGCATTACACCTCTGACCAAACCCCGCATACCGTACGAGGTACTGTTCGCCATCGGCGGCTGGAGTGCCGGTGCACCTACAAACTGCATTGAAACGTATGACATCCGGTAAGCACTACAGTGAACTATTTTCTCTACAAAAAAATTTTAGAAACAAGAAAAAAATATAAACAAATTCTAACCATATGTTTTATTTGACTTGGGTAAATAGGCCATGAGTATACATTCTTTGCTGAATATTTTATATTTTACTTCCACAGACAACATTTTAAGTGAATTAGATGTTTTGATAAACTTTATACATTTCAAAATATAATTAACCTAGCAGGACACTACAGTTACTAAATCAATAAAAATATTAATATAATATACTTTTGTTAATACATGATGTATTTCTTTGATTATACGATTGCCTTATTAGGTATTTTCGTATTTGAAAAGACCCTTAAGTTTATGGTGAACGTTTCAATACTGAAATATTCAGTAATTAACCTTAAAATTCTGTTTAAAAAATTAATTATTCGCCTTGGCTTTTCCAACCAGCTGTACAGTACAAAAAGGTACTGAATCGTATTTGTAACTGAAGAATATATTTAACAGACACACTAAGAAATCTTCAAGGCTTTGACAACTGCTGAGAATATGAGTATTAAACATATTTTCATATCAGGCAGCTAAAACGTCGACTAAATGTTTGCTTTTAGCTCCAAAGTAGCCTGGAAAAGCATAAATTGCCTAATGGCCCTAGGAAACAGAACAATGTTGGGGTGGGGTTTGGGGACATGAAGGTATAGAAGGAAATAAACAGGCTGACCGATGAGAAGGCCGAAGAAGGCCAACCCATGGCATCACAACTAGGCACATGAGAAAGTGTGCTAACGATGAAATTTGAAACTGGACAGAAACATGAGGCTAGGCAATCTAAGAGATGTATAAATCTCTCAATGAGGAAGGCAAAGGAAATTCGCTTTCTCATGAAGAAGAAAATTATAGGTCTTTATATCGGCCACTGCCTTCTTAATTACAACTTAAAGAAACAGAAACTCTGCTAAGATAAACCACAGAAATTGGCATATATCCTTTATGAAATGAGGTACTAGATGGTATACGGTATATCCAATTCGGCACATGCCAAGAGAACTGCATGAAGAGGAAATGACAGTGAAATTTATAGTCATTTTGGTTCATACAGATTAATTTGGTCTGCCTATTAAGATGGCATAATGCCAAAATACATCCTAGATAATAGGCCAAAATGATCTTTATCCACCTGAAAATTTCCAATAATTTCATAATTTATTACCAGAAAGAATGAAATATTTATGAGTCTGAATGTTTAATTATTATATTTTAGGGCAGACAGATGGTTTTTAGCAAAACAGTTTGACAACACACCAAGGTCTTACCACGGACTTGTATCCGTGGACAACCTTCTGTACGTGATAGGTGGATTTGACGGGTCGAACCACTTCAACACAGTGCGGTGTCATAACCCCGTGACGAAAGAGTGGTCCGAAAAAGCTTGCATGTACCATGCCAGGTGTTACGTCTGCTGTGTCACCCACGGTACACCTTCTACTCTAAACTCTCCTATAAAATCTCATATCATGTTTTAACACAGGAAAAGACATATACGCAATCGGTGGATTTGACGGTAGGATTCGTATGAACTCTGCGGAAAAATTTTCAATAGCAGCGAACCAATGGACGATGATCAACCCGATGAACAGGCAGAGATCCGATGGTGGTGCAGCAGTGGTCGGAAACAGGGTAAGCTGTATAATTCACGCCACCATGTTGATAGTCATTTTGAATATTTTTTAGATTTTTGTCGTCGGTGGGTTTAACGGACAAGAAGTCCTGCAATCCGCTGAAGTCTACGATATCGACACAGGTGTCTGGACCATGCTCCCGCCAATGCATACTCCAAGGAGCGGCGTATCCTTAGTCTATTACAAAGGGTTTCTTTATGCAATTGGCGGTTTCAGCGGCTACGTCAGACTAAGCACTGGTAAAGACCCAAGGTTCATATAAGTTTATGAAATAATGATTAAATCCTGTTAAAATTATGAGCTGATACGTTTCAGTCGAGCGGCTAAATCCGAACAACCCGAGTGACTGGTCATTAGACGTGCCAGACATGCTTACTCAAAGAAGTAACTTTGCTTGCGCAATTATGGATGACATGATCTACGTCGTCGGTGGCTTCAATGGTACGATGAATATTATTAATCTATAATCTGTGATCAATCTCAATTTTTTTTTCTTCAGGAAGCACAACGACAGCATATACAGAACGATTTGATGGAAACCAGTGGCACGAAGTCAGCAGCATGAACCTGAATCGATCAGCTCTTGCTGTTTGTCTTTGCAGAGGACTGCCAAACACAGCCGACTATACGCTTCACTCAAAACTCAAATCTAACGACGGAAATAACATGACTGGAGATGGAAATGCAACAGGAGACTACCTATGCTGCAGTGAAAACTATACCGATCCCGTTTTAGACTTTTGTACATACAATTTTTTTTTTCTTCTTATGATTTAAATCATAACATGTTTCAATCTTGTTTCAGATGATGAAGACTGACTTCTTCAGCTGACTACGTAATAAATTCCCGTTTCTGATTACCCCCATGAATAACAATTTTTAATATAATAGAAAAAATGTAATATTTTCATAGATGAAAACTTAGTTGAAATGAAAATATTAATTTTTGAACAGTTGAAGCAATATTAAAAACCAAAAACATTAAAATGGGCATAAATAAAAAATTTTATTTTAAACTTTTTTTTTAAAGTATATTTATATATTAGGATCTTTATTTATAAATTTAGCTTTTAGTCTGGAATGCGACCCTTGAAAGTTCGATTCATGGAAAAGATAACGGTAGTGCCTATTAAGCTCTATTCTCGCAGAAGTTTACATCTGAAATTCCTTTTTTATCAAATAATCAGTAAATTTCTTTCTATTTTCTTATTTGAGCATGAATCACCTGAAATGAGTCAGGCAATTTTGAAAAAATAATTTATCCCCACTATTTAAAAAAAAAAGAAAGAAAAAAAACAGTCTTAAGACCAAATGGCAGATATGTCCGGAGTGAGCAAAACCATCATAATTCCCGATGGCGATGATGATTATTATTACGAAGAGTTGAACGATGAGGTAATTTGAGAGCATAATTGTGAACATTTAACTTACAAATTTTTTAACCCTTAGCCTAAAAATTAACAAATTGGTTAATAAATCTTTATAATGCTTTAACAACTCGTTTTATTTAATAATATTTAAGAAATAGAAAGAAAAAAACCTTGGTGGACTAATACATAAATTATCAGCAGTATAGAGTTAACATTTAATATTTGTTGATATAAGATTGTCTATGAAAATTGGCGTTCATTTCAATACAAGGCTTATCGATGAAGGGTTGGTCTAGTCGCCCTCAACACTTCCAAGCTCATTGGAGATATGTAGATCTGAGAGAACCCAGATAGCCCAAGACTGAACTGCGGGCAAAAATTGATGGGTTGAATTACATCAAGTTCGATGTCTGCCAGAGTTTCTTCTTTTCGAAAGGTCTAAAGGACAATTCCCATTTTTTAAATTATATTTATTTATTTTTATTTTTATTGCAAGGATTGTTTCCTGGGCATATTATTTACACCTTCAGGCTTTCCAGACAAGATTTGTAAGTTGATAGCCATTCTGTCTGCCTTTTCAATTTCAATTATGCCAGCTTACACAAGAATCTGGTTTGACATTTTAGTCCTCACGTTGTGTTAGTTTTGTAAAAATATCCAGGAAGCCTGAATTTGGGGAGATTTTGAATGGATTATTAAATTGGCATACACGACAACTTTAAATATAGCCGTTCATTATGAAAACCAGTACAAAGATGCAGACTGAAACAATATTCTGACTTGTATTTATCACACTGTCAGTACTGGGTTCAAATCTCAAGCCCACGGCTTTTTAATTAGTAATAAGTTAAGGTTAAGTTTAAGGTTAAAAGGAGTCGGCCTCTTTATGACCTTTCACAATATCAGACAATGTGCAATCTTCATTATTATTTAGAGCTTTTCATTGTACTTTTTATCAGATCCCTAAACTTTAAGGTTCTAGTAATCTTTCATGCCTTGGCTTTTCCTCTCTCAGGAATAGGAAGCCAGTTTTTACTCCTTTCTGACAATATGTGCATTTTTATACTGCTCTGACTGTATGCATATTCCTCTGAAGTCTGCAATGTCCAGAGAATAATAGGAAAATAGTATTGCAAACTGGTTTGACTGCTCGTAAATGACGAGTTGGACATTAAGCCTTCCTGTATGTCAATATTTTACTTTTCTTGTGATCTACAAACAACAGAAGACCTGCACCTGTTTTTTCATAGAAAATGTATTATTTGTTTATAAATAATTTTAAAAAAATTTAACTAATCGTACAGCGTACTGGATGGATTTAATACCTTATAAAATCAATATCAGTTTCACTGATCCATTTATCTTAAGGGAAAAGTTTCCTTTATCGACTTGTTGATTTCAATATCTGATAGCTAATCAGTTAATTGATTTTTTTCTCTAGCAGTTTGGCAATCAGCAAAGTCTGATAGAAGAAATTTCAGCGGTGCAACGTCGAGAAGTACTTCGCGGTAAAGTTTCCCACAAAGGCCAGCAAAAGCGAGAGGTCAACTTTAAAATGAGACAACCGCACAACTTTCACATTCAAAATGAGGATAAAGGCACAAAGGCAAGTACATTGTTAATTTATTATTCGATTTTAAATCAAATCATTTTTTTCAGAGACGTACAAACGAAGAAAAAAGAAAATCATGGAATCTACCATCTACATCAAAACAGCCGATCGTCAGTTCCGACCTTAAAAGGTTCAATCATAAGGTAAAAATCAAACAGTAAAACAATTTCTTTTTTTTCATCCGATAAAGTTTTAGAATGAAATCGTCACACCATGTTCATACCAAATGGTACAAACTTCAAGCAAAACGAGTCCAGAGGTCAGCAATTCAAATTCACTATTGGCTGTTTTTTTTTATACAGTAATAATTTTTTTTAGATCGATACAATCTCAAAGACGAACAAAAGGACGAAAAATAGGACACAGTTGAAAAATACACAAGAAGTTTGTCTAAACATTATTTAAAAATAAAGTTATACCATGTATTTTTATTTATTTATTTTTTTTTAAATTAGAACAAGAAAAAGGAAGTTCCATGGAGTGCAATTGTCCACTCGATTTCTATGGTAAGAAAATGTAACTGGTTTAATAAAATATTTTATTTTTATTATTTTGAATAAAGAATCCAAGAAATGCGGTGAAGAATGCTAGCAATGTTGATACGGGAAATGACGATCTGCCTGAGGATCTTTCTAAAGAACGAGATTCAAATCCGATGAAAAGCTTTGTAAGTCTATGTCGTAACAATTTAACAGACAAAAATAATACGTATTAAAAGACAGATATATAAACAACGTAACTGCTTTTCACAGGACGCTGATCAACAGTATAATTTAGAAGGTACATCAGCTGAACAAGAAAGGAAAGAAAACCAGGTATGATCTGAGTTTATATTTTAAAAATTTACATTTTTAAAATTATTTTAATTTAGACAAAAGTCCTGGCTCATGGAAGTAACGTTATTCCGGTGGTCGAGTATGCGCAGGCTGAATGCATGTCGATGTCGAGTCAAAGTTCAGAGGAAAATTCTGCACTGGAGACACAGGTATTAAATTTTTTAAAAATCTTTTACTAAAGTTTTTTAAATTTAAATTTTTTTTTTAAATTAGGATTTATCGGTTAATAAAAGAAATATAATTTACTATGAGCCAGTAGCAAAAGCAGATTCTGCACAAATTGATGCAAATACACAGGTAATTCAATGACTGGAGTTTACTTTTACTGAACATTGTTGCATTGCAATTTTATAAAATGTTAATTTAATAAAATATCCAGGATTAGTTTTCCCTTGGAAAATTTGGACAAAATATGCCAAGAGTAGTTTAAATTTAAATTGTTTAATTCTTAATAAGGGCAAAAAACATATTGGCACATATCCTTAGTGAATGTGACATGGGGTCCCCCCCCAAAAAAAGTATANAAAATTTATCATAAGAAATTCATGCAATATATTCTCATAATTTCAGATTTCAGTAATAAACTCTAATCCTATGCATCAAGTTTCAAGTCCACCTTCCCAAACTGAACCTGCCCCCTCAGAACAACAGGTATTTTTCATCCTACACCTTATTTGTACAAATTATAATACAAATTTTTCAATTGAAGCAAAACGAGGTGCAACGCCGATACCTGGGAATGTTGCAACAGCCTTTAAACGTGAACATCGAAGACCAAATAGTAAGGTTTGATATTTTTGAGAAAATGTAGTTTGATTTTTTTTTCTCGTTTCAGGAAGCATCCGCCGGACAGGTATGGAATGTCACAGGTACACCGGCGACTCAAATACCACAGGAAACAGTTCAACTGTCGATCAGCATCGGAGTGAGTTTTTAAAAAGCTCATCTTACAAAAACGAAAATTTGTTTAATGGATTTTACTTCCAGGACAATGCTTGCACTGTAACACCTTGTGCTTTAGTCCAGCCAGTAGAGGTTCGGGGGATTTTACAAGCCCCTATGTCAGAGGTATCTCTGTAATATCATTTCTTTAAAAATTTAATTGAATTTGTGTGTTGTGTTTCGAGTGGATCCGTTACAATTGATCTGATTGCCAAGTTTTTAACATTTTTGCAATCAGGGCCTATTGATCCACTATAATCATTACATTAGTTATTAAAAGATTCCAATTTCTCAATAAAAAAAATTGTTTAACTAATATTATTTCAAAATTTTGTATATGCAGGCTTCAACAACTATAGTGAGTCATCAGATTACTGGAACTCCTCTTCAGGTAATAACTAAATTCTAAAGTTTTTTTAAATTATACTTATGCTACATGTGCATATATTTTTTTCAGTTAAACATTGCGAATGTTAATATAAACATCATCCTGCCCCAGAGTGTAAACTCGATAATCCATGACTTGATCCCGGTGCAAGTAAGTCTTTGGCAAATTAGAACAAAAACAAAAACTCGACAATTTTATCATATAAATAAAGTATTTAGCCTTCAAGAAATACAGTGCCCGGACAAGGGCTTCTCGCTTTGGCCCAGCCCCAGCAACCCAGTGCGAACAATATGCAAAATTACGAAATGGTAATTAATAATGATTAAAAAAACACTTAAAACTCGTTTTGCACTTATTTAATTTCTCTGCTTCAGGGAAAAAATTGAATCGTGGATATACCATCCCTAATCCTACCTAACCTCACCTAAAACTGGTCCTAACTAACCTAATCGAACCCCTCATAACTCTAACATTACCTAACTTAACCCAACCCTAATCCTACCTAACCTCACCTAAAACTGATCCTAACTAGCCTAATCTAACCCCTCATAACTCTAACATTACCTAACTCAACCCATCCCTAATCCTACCTAGCCTAACTTAAAAGCTAATCCTAACTCTAACCTAATCTAACCCTACCTAACTCCAACATCAACCTAACAACCCGATCCTTTTTAACTCTACCTAACCTAACATACATAACTAAAAACAGTCCTAAATCTAGTCCTAATTTTCCCCCCTAATCCTACCTAGGCTAACCTAAAACTGATCCTAACTTTAGCCCTACCTACACAAAACCTAATCAAACCGTACCTAGCTCTAAAATTACCTTACTTAACCCGCCCCTAACTTTAACCCTACATAAATTTAATACTATCTAACCTAACACAGTGCTAAATCTAACCCTAACTTTTTTGGCCTAGATTTCCCCGACGACGACAGCACAGCATGAAACCCAGCAGACGCGTACTATGCACGTTGCGCCCGCTCAGATCCACTCGGCTTACGGTACGTATAGTGTACAGTCGAATTCGATGCCGAGAATGGCTACTGGAGCTAGAAGGATTTGCCATTTAAATAACCAAGTGAGTTGAACATCAATTATTGCTGCTAAAATGTGTGGTGATTAGTGACCGTTAATCGATAATTATTCAGAAATTGTGAGATGCAGTCTGGTGTGATGTAGGTTTCAGAAAAACATTTTCTTTATTGTGCCAACGTTTCAATCTTTATTGAGATCATCTTCAGGGCCTGGGATTTACAAACATTGTTTACACATATAACAATTACATTTTGGATGTGGAAAAGTGAATTTATACAATGCAAAATATATTTTATATTCAATCAAAATATTTCTACTCACTCAAAGTGTTTGTCTTCTGTGTAATTGTGCCATTCTTGCGTGTTGTGTTGAGACTGCCAGTGAGGTATTGCTGTTTTATGTTTAATATGTTGAATTTTGAAGGGTGGGGAAGGAAGTTGGTATAGAAAGGACATTTTTGTATAAGGAGTTGGCCCTTTTCAGCTCAAAGAAGATAGCAAAAATAATCTTACTTATGAACAACAATTTTAAGTTCTTTAAGTAATCAGATTATTTTAAAGCACAGTAGCATCTTGGTCTGGCTATACTCGCTGGGCTGGTCTGTCAATAGTACGATCAAATAATAATGATTTAAAATATATCATTTTTCCCAATTTTATGCCGATTTTGTCTTTCAATCTAAATTTCACCTGTCTGAGCGTTTTTACATGTTGACACCGTTATTGGTAGTTCTAATGCTTAAGATATGATAAAGCAGGTTCATCTCAAGTTTATTTCACAATATTAATTAAATTTTAATTGTTTTAAAGGGTTTATTAAGGAGGGATCAATATTTGCCAAACTACTCTGGAGTTCCTTATCAGAACATTACAGTAAGTGATCAAAATTATTTAAAAAAAAAAAAATTCTGCATGATTGCATGTTTTCAGAGGAATGCAAACCCTTGGGGACACAATCACCCGAACAGTTCCTACTACCACCCGGTTAATCCTTACAACCACCACATTCCGAGGCATATGGCACGTCCTCCTCCGCCGCCATACCACATCAACAGGTAATTTCCCAACAGGTGGTTTTATTCATAAGTAATTCTTTTCGTTTTGAAGGTGCGATTGCAACCATTGCCCGCAGACGCACAACCCTTACAGGACTTACAATGCGAGCAACATGACGCTCAACCGCCAGCTTATGCACGATCAAAACTATCCGCTGAACCTCCAGGCAAGAAGACACCCTAAAAGTTAAATAAATTGGCATTAGATAAACAAAAAAACATTACATCATGTACAAATAATCAATTTCTTTTATATTTTATATATAAATATTACGTTATTTATTTCTTTATTTTCTTTTATATTTTTTTCTTTAGGATTGAGAGGAATTATTATTTATACTGTTTTTATTTGGTTTAAAAAAATGCTTACTACAATACAGTACAGTTTCATTTAGTTGTCTTGATTCCGTCCAGGAACTTTTACACTCCTCGGGGCTAAAGAAAAAATTCGTTCCTACAGAAATAATCTTTATTTATTTTTTATAATTTTTTAAAAAATTAACGTTTATCATAACATAAACATCATAAAAGATCTGGCAACACCGTATTTATAACAAGTCTATAACAGAAAAAAAAAAAAAATCCGTAACAATCATGAAAAGCCTGAAGCTTTGATTAAAATAACCTCTATTTATAAAGGGTGAGATGTGATGCATCCAAATTACACACACTCACACACACAATAAAAAATATAAACTTTCTCCCAATATATTACAATATTATCAATTATAAAAAACTATTATACCTTGACCTTGCAGCACCTAATTGCCATTTGATTTGTACTAGATTGTACGTTTTTATAAGTTTTACTACTTTATCACAGTGCCGTTTTATTTTTCAATGGCTACAGAGCGAAACAAAAGATAAAAAGAAAAAGAATAATAATAATAAATCATTAAAGGACAAATCGAATCTGAAAAAAAAATGGCACACTTTATTTTAAAAACTTTAAACAAGATGGCACTGAGTGTCCTGAAACGTAGTTTTAAAAGTTAAAAACAAACAATAATAAATCAATTTTCTATTCTAGGCTGCATAAGCATACAATTTTTTTTTCACCGGGTTTATTTATTTACAACTTTTATACAATAATCTATGAAGTTTTAAATTTCAAAGGAAATGGAAAAGTTTTGATTCAATCAGTGAAAAACAAAAAAGAAAATCCTTTAAATAACAAGGAACTAAGTTCATTTGTTTAAAAAATAAAAAGAGATTCTTAAAAATAAACAGTAAAAATGTCATGTTTTTCCTTATTATTTTCATATATAATAAAAAAGCTTAGGCTTAAAAGAAAGCGAAAGGGAAAGTTAAAAAAAATAAACAAAATCACAGTTCAAGAAAGTGCTTCACGGAGTCGATAAAACATAAGTTTTGAACCGGTTGAGAAGATTGTTTTGATTTTCCAATAATCGTAAAAGAGCTTCGGCCCTTTCTGCCCCTTCAGTCAGTAGTTGAACGGTATCCAAACGCCAGATCGTTCGTCCCTTCGGAAATAGAGGGGCCTCGAGTCCCTGAATACGGTCACTGCTGGGAATGGATGTTCGTGTATGTACTTCAGAACCGCACGTATCTGAAAACAAAAAATTGTAATGAAAAAAATAAATTTTTATTTCATCCTGTCGTACCTGCATGACGAAATTGGGAGGCTCGATGTCGGGCGATGTCGACAAGTGCTGGAGGATGAATTCATCAGGCTGAGCTAGCCAAAGCTCAGCGCCCCTCAGCGGGTGGTAATTGAATGGACCTATCCTAAGAAGACCAAGGCTGCAGTCATATACGTCTAATATCTAAAAGAGAAAAACAAAAGTAAAAAAAAAGTTAATACATTTAGAAATCAAACTTAAATTCAGGGATATAAGTCCAATTTGAAAAAAAAGCACTCAATTCGTTTGTTGTTCCTTTAAAGCTATGATTTTTTTGTTCAAATTGGCCTTATTTTTTATTTTTAATATAAAATTATATCATTGAAGGCTGATATTATTATTTAATGGAAAACATACAAAAGTGTGAATAAAACATAGCCACCACCTCACTAAATTGAATGAAAAACTAAATATACAACAAAAAGAAGAAATAAAATAAATAATAATAAAATAAAAAAATTAAAAAAACGTTTCATTACTTGTTGTACCTGTTGACCCCCTGTAATATGCCTAGCGCCTCTTAACGCACATTCAGGGCCTTTGTCCGGGAAAGTCGCTGGGAAGACTTCGCCAGTTTTGACGTTGACAGCGATCCCGTATATTATCGGCCAGTGTATCCCGCTCCGGACCGTCGTGTTGAGCTCGCCAACGCAGACGTTTGTGAGTTCGACTTCGACGGGCTGTTTGTGAAAAGCGTCTAAAAGAAAAAGAAAAAAAAGAAAAATAGAAAAAATCAATATTCATAAAGAAAAACAAAAAGACATACGGATTAAAGTGTAGAAGAGCTCCTCAGAAAAGTGGTGTGGGTCTGAGTAGCCGCCAACAAACTGGAGCTGGAGCCGGCCTTCCGGGTATCCCATCGCGAGCTCTTGTACCCTCGATACCAACGAGAGTACGCCTTCTTCGATTCCAGCTCCATCACAATGGGCCAGCCCTACTGCTCCACTTCCTGAAACAATAAATAAATAAAAGTCGATAATTTCTCCATTTTACAAAAAACAAAAACAATTGAGTTATAAATATGTAACCTAACCCTAACTGAACCTAACCTAACCCTTTCTAACCTAACCTAAACAACACTACCTAACCCATGGTAATCTAGGAAATATAAATTATTAATTTGATCTAATGATCCCATTGTATGAAAAACATTATATTTATATTGTATTTTAAATGCATACATAAGCTAACTCTATTTATATGGGAGTTTCCCCTGTACGGAAAATAAATAAAATAAATATTAATATTGAAAAGAAGTAGGTAATAATGATATACTTGTAAGAACTAAAAGAATGACTACGAAATAAAACCATCAACCCTTTCAAAGTTTAAATTGTAAATAAATAAATAAAAAAAAATTAAAAAAATAGTGGAAGAAAATGTGATTTCACCAAGAAAAACCAAGACTATGTGCCTGGGTATAAAATAACTAGACAAATTTGCTAAAAATCAAACATTTGAAACATATGCAGACCAAGAAAATTAAAATTTAGCCAAATATACGTTACAGTTATGTCAAAAAGAAGATAATGGGGGTAGAAAATAACTGGACAAATCTGTTAAAAAAGAAGCACTGCAAGACATTCAGGCCCAGAAGATAAGAAATATGCGAATCCTCTTTAAAACAAATTATCTTATAATAAACTGGACAAGAAGACATGAAAAAATACAGATCGATATGCCCAAAACAGCAACGATGGCCAGTAAGAATCAATCTTAAAATGGCTGACAGAAGGAAAGAAGAATTTAATTTTATCCAAGCTATCCTAGCAAATTAATAGAAATTATAAACTTCTATCTCTGAATAAGAACTATCTTTGTAAAATTTTTTATTTTTTATCTAGATGTGTTTCGAGGCTCTTTACACCTCCTCGTCAGTAGATTTTTCTAAAATTTGTATAGATCAACAACAATAACATATATTTTTGAACTTTAATAAAATTGTATAAACAACTCGATCCTTACATTTTGAGTGTCAACGACAAGAGAAAAAAAGCCAGTCGTCTAATGACACTCAATATGGATCGAGTTGGTTTAAAACAGTAAAATATTATTTAAAGTCCAAAAATCTATTTTATTATTGTTGATGTATAAATTTTTTAGAAAAATGTACTGATGAGGAGGCAGAAAGAGTGTTGAAATGTATCTACATTAAAAAAAATGTTGGAAAAGCTTACGAAGTTTTTATAATCCAGATTCTCATCCATATCCAACAAAAAGAAAAGCAAGCAATTGCATAATATTTGGCATGGATGAATATTGTTATTTAAGAGAGGAAAAAAAATTGTTTTTGTTATTCTTCACATTATTATTGGCAAGATATGCAAAGCCTAATTTAATAAATATATAAATATAGGAGTTTAATTTTTTCTTATTTTTTGTTTTTTTCTAGATCAGCTTAGAGACATGGGCTAATCGCATGTATACTCGTAGATAAAACTAATCGCAACGCTTTACGGAAAAAATAGAGTTTTTGGCTTGAAAAGTCAGTTTTTATTCCATGTTGTAACAAACAAGGTAGAGAAAAAAAGTGATTACTGTAGTTTTTATAAGATTTTTAATCATCCTTATATCCTGGGTTATTTTCCTTTTGAAAATAATCTATGATACTGTTTTTTTTTGGCATTGGGCACAGTGTGCACAAGCAAATTTTCTTTGCCTCCAATAATCCTGTGAAGGATGAAAATTAAAGATTTTGTCACACAGTGCCTCGGACCTTGTATTTCATTCGAAAATCCGACCGAGATAAGGCAAAATAGGGGAAAAAAAAAAGTTTCTAAATACGATCCAGATGAATTATGGTTCTAGGAATAACACTGATTTCGAACCCAACCCGGGCTGATAAAGATATCTGGACAAATCTATCTTTTTAGGGAGTCCATCGAGTCCAAAAAAAAAGAAAAAGAAAAAACCTTTGATAATGATTTAAACCCGCTCCAGATATTGGCGGATCTTGAGTTATATGGGAGAGAGGAGCAGGTGGCGTTTTAAACACGTGGACATTATGGGCTGGGAGGACCATTTGGCGAGCCAGCCAGGATTAACTATTAAAATGCCCAGGATTAAGGAGCGATTTATTAAAGGCTCAGGGTTAACAAAAAAATTACCAAATCAATCAGTAAGCCAAGACCAATTGAATATTTTCTTGATTAAATTCCACCTAGTATTTTTTCGGCGTGAGAATCCATAGAGGAACTACGAATTAACGAACGAAAACTATTAAGATTAGCTCTGACTGATCACTTGTTTTTTCCTCTCTATCCTTTTCTACTTATCTTAACATTTTCGTCCCCTCCTATTAATTCTCTTTTCGACAGAGGTTTTTTTTTCTCGAGATAAAACCGTATCTGTGGGGTGTTGGATTCCTGACACACTGTCCTAAACAATTCGACAATGCTGAAAGTTTCTAGGTCTTTTTAAAAAAATAAGAATAATTAACTGATTTTCTACGCTAGGTTCGCTATCTGGCAAGTTTGGACACAAAATTTGTTAAGTTACGTGTCACGATTCGTATAACACGATGGACAACAAATTTTGAAGTATAGGGTGCTTTAAACTCAGCCAGCTGGCCTTTGGTAAAAAATTAGAAATCTTCGTGCTTATTGATGGTCAATACTTAATTGAATTTCAAACTCATCACTGAAATTTGCAAAAAAAATTTTAAACAAGGATATTTTCTCTTTTTTCCATCCTAGGTTCATATATAAATGAAGCATATTTTCAATGGTTCATAGGCTAAATCAATCAACTCTAAATCTCCAACAAATTATTAAAGAAAAAGTTACTTGAAACTTTCTTGGTAAACGAAGAAAATGCGTCTATTTCCAATTTATCAAACTATTTGTAATGAACTAAAAGCTAAAATTACTTAATTGTGGCTGAATATTTAGATTATCTGCTTTTTTTCTCCCAACAATATTGATCCAACTACTTTATAATGAACAAAAGTGGTTATGGTTAAAATATTATCGGGCGAGATGTAAAACAGAAATAAGTTATGTTTGAACTTTTTACACGCTTAAACTACTTAAGTATAGCTGAAATTCTACATTATTTGGCAATTTTTTAAAGAATGTTTTTCTGAAACTATTTAAAATTGAAAAAAATGGTTTGAATTCGTGAGTTTTTGTAGTTTTGACTTTGGAATCTTACCGTACGAGAGGTAAAAACATAAATAAGTTACAAGTTTGGACTTTTTACATGCTTAAACTACTTAAGTATAGCCGAAATTCTACATTAATGGGGAATTTTTTTCACGAAATTTATAATTAACAAAAAGTGCGATGATCGGGCAATTTTGTAGTGTTTTGATTTTGAATCATGTGCGAGAGGGAAATATAGACATAAGTTAAGAAGTTTGTACTTTTTACAATCTGAAACTACATAAGTATGGTTGAAAATTTACGTTATATGACAATTTTCTTACGAATGTTTGTCGAATATTTAAAATGAAATAAAAGTCAACAAAAATGGTCGAATTCCTGTATTTTTACAGCATTTTGACTTAGAAATCTTATCGTGCCAGAGGTAAAAACATATACATATAAGTTACCAGTTTGCACTTTTTACGAGCTTAAAATATTTAAGTATAGCTGAAAATTCACATTATCTGACAATTTTTTGTTTCACGACTGTTTAAAATGAACAAAAGTGGTTTAGATTCGAGAATTGTTGTTGTTTTGATTTTGGAATCTTATCGTGCAAGAGGTAAAAACATAAATAAGCTACACGTTTGCACTTTTTACATGGTTAAACTATTTAAGTATAATCCATTTATGTTTAGTGGTCCAATTGACGATGTCAATTATTTCAATTAATTGTTCTTTTTATGTAATGTCTTGGTTGAGATGAAAAAGTAAATTGTCGAATCCCGCTCGTGACACTTAACTTTTTCATCTCAACCAAGACCTTACATAAAAAGAACTATTAATTGAAATAGTTAAGAACAGCAGAAAATTTAATTTATCTGGCAATTTTTTACGAATATTTACGGGACTATGTACAATGAATTAAAAGGATGAACAGAAGTGTGGTTAAATGCGTGTATTTTTTAAGGATTTTGACTTTGAATCATATTGTAGCTTAAACTACTTAAGTATAACTGAACATTATCTGACAATTTTTTTTTCACGAATATTTATCGAATTACTTAAAATGAACTAAAAGAATGAACAAAATTCGTGATTTTTTCTTGTTTTGGCTTTGAGGTCTTATCGTGCGAAAGGGAGAAGATATTACATGTTTGCACTTTTTACATGCTTAGACTGCTTCACTGCTGAAAATGTACATTATCTGACAATTTTTTGTTTCACGACTATTAATAAACTATTTAAAATGAACAAAAGTGGTTTAGATTCGTGAATTTTTGTAGTTTTGATTTTGAAATCTTATCGGGCAAACGGAGGTAAAACAGAAATAAGTAACAAGTTTGCACTTTTTACATGCTTAAACTACTTAAGTATAGCTGAAAATCAACATTAATCAGGAATTTTTTTACGAATATTTATAAACTATTTAAAATGAACAAGAAGAGTAATGATTCGGGCAATTTTGTAGTGTTTTTGTAGTTTGGTTTTGAATCTTATCGTGTGGTGGGGAAAGAGAGGGAAAAACAGTAATAATTACACCGTTTGTATTTTTTTAGTTCATTACAAGCTTACAATATTTAGGTATAACCGAACGTTTATATTATCAGGCAATTTTTTGAGTATATTAATCGAACTAATTATAATGAAGCAAAAGAAGGTGGTTTAAACTTGTGTTTTAGTTTTGAATGTATCCTGTTGTGGAGGGAAAAAGAGAGAATTATTATATTGAACGTTAATGCCGATTTATAATGATTCAATTTTTTAAAAATTTTGTTTTATTTAAATTTTACAATTTTTGGGTTTAAACCGTGTGATTTTTTGCCCCACTGGTTTCTAAATCGACGTTTTATTTATTTAGCCGGCGTGAATTTAAGTAAGTCAGCTGTTACGTTAAGTTGAAGCCGGTTCGGAATTAAACGTATAGTTTTTAACTTTGCGTAAATAAAAGTTTTAAATTTTTTACACAAAGGAAATGAATTCGCTGAGGCAGTTCGTGACGACTGTGAGGATATTCGCTCTGACCGGAATCACGAGGAAGAAAGCTACGAAGAAGAAATGGCCGAGGATCGTGGGTGGAGGGCTTTTGGGCTGCGGTGCGATTTTGCTCTACACCATGGACAGGAGCGTGAAAGCCTACGAATTGGTGCTCCACCCGCCGAAGCTGCCCTGGTCGCATAGTAAATACACGGCGGCTTTGGACCACGCGAGTATCAAACGAGGTTACGAAGTGTACAAGAACGTGTGTTCGGCCTGCCACAGCTTGCGGTACGTCTGCTACAGGGAGCTGATCGGGGTGAGTCACACGGAAGAAGAGGCGAAGAGGGAGGCGGAGGAGCAGATTATCGAGGACGGCCCCAACGAGGAGGGCTTGATGTTCAAAAGGCCTGGGAAGCTATCGGACTCTTTACCCAAGCCTTACCCGAACGAAGAGGCAGCCAGGTTCGCCAACAACGGCGCTTATCCACCGGACCTGACGTACATCGTACCTGCCAGGCACGGAAAGGAGGACTACATCTTTCACTATCTCACCGGCTACAGGGATCCTCCCGAAGGTATCGTCTTGAGAGAAGGGCAGTACTACAACCCTTACTTCGCCGGGGGTGCCACCTCCATGGCGGATCCTCTCTACAACAACGTCCTAGAATTTTCGGACGGCACCAAACCGACAAAGTCCCAGGTGGCCAAGGACGTGGTCACTTTTCTCAAATGGGCCTCGGAGCCGGAACACGATCTGCGCAAAACCATGACCATCAAGGCTTTGATCTTCTTCTCCATCACGGTACCGCTGTCCATCTACTGGAAACGAATGAAATGGTCCACGATGAAATCCAGGCAAGTGCATTTTGTACCCCCAAAGAAGAAATAGAACCTATTTCGAAAATTTCACTCACGATTTTTCACATTTATGATGGATTATCATGTATCGTTTATATAAAATAAATAATCTTAATAACTGAAAAGTGGTTCTTTTTTATTTAAATTTCTATAAAAAAATTGATTAATTAAAAAAAACAATATAAACGATATCCATGAAATAATGTATTCCTCTTTGCAGATATGGAACCTAGGAATTTGACTTAAAAGACTTCAGACTAAAATACATGAAATGACGAATTTTCTACGTGTCCAACCTTACACACCGATCTCAAATTTCATTTTGACAAAAATCATCCTTTCTCGGAAATTTTTTAAGGCTAAAACCACCTGGTTTGTTTTATCCAGCCTTCAGTCTAACCCAATTTTGACAAACAACAAATAGTTCCAGCCTTCCCGCCATTTTATGTTCATAGAAATGATACACGCTCGAAAGTTAAAATTGATTAAAAAAATACCATAGACAAGTACGGTACATTTAGAATACTCATAAAAACAATACAACTCGAATTAAATTTTACCCAAGGGTTATAAACTTAACAAACATGGCCCTAAATAAAGATGAAAACAATTTAACTTCTGCGAGTACGAGTGTCGATTTCAAAACGTGAAAAGTGTTTATTTTCACTGTTTTATATAATTTTTTAAAACACATTTTGCTAAGTTGGCTCTGTATATGCAGGAACAAATAATAAAAAAGAAATAAATAAAAACGAGACAGGGAAACGTTTGTACTGGGGTGACGGGAGTTTATAGGAATTCTCACAAATATTTAAGCACTTGTAAGTAAGTTTCGCGCGTTTGTTTTTAACGATTGAGTTAATTGAGAGAAAAAGGATGTGCGTGAGGGTGGAGAGGAAAGAGCGAGGGGGAGGAAAGGGATGGAAAGAAAAGGCACTGAAAATGTGGATGAGTAAGAGTCTGTGAGAGAATGAAGAGAGATTCTGAAATTTTGTGTGTGCGTGCGTGCGTGTGTGTGTGTGTGTGTGTGTGTGTGAGAGAGAGAGAGAGAGAGAGAGAGAGAGAGAGAGAAAGAGAGAGAGAAGAGATACTAAAAAAGCGAGTAGTGAGAAAGAAAAATGTACTTAAAAAGTGAGTGACTGAGAACAAAAAGAAAGAAAGAGAGAGAGAGAGAAGAGATACTAAAAAAGCAAGTAATGAGAAAGAAAAATAAACTTAAAAAGTGAATGATTGAGAAAGAAAGAGAGTGAGAGAGAGAGAGATAATAGATACTAAAAAAGCGAGTAGTGAGAAAAAAAAGTAGACTTAAAAAGTGAGTGACTGAGAAAGAGAGTGAGAGAGAGAAGAGATACTAAAAAAGAGTAATGAGAAAGAAAAAGAGATTTAAAAAAGTGAGTGAAAGAGTGAGAAAGAAAGAGAGAGAGAGAGAGAGAGAGAGAGAGAGAGCGAGAGAGAGAAAGAAAGAAACCAAACAGAGAGAGCCTGAAAAAATGTGTCAATGAGAAAGAAAGAGAGACTGAAAAAATGAGTGAATGAGAAAGAAAAATAAACTTAAAAAGTGAATGATTGAGAAAGAGAGAGAGAGTGAGAGAGAGATATAATAGATACTAAAAAAGCGAGTAGTGAGAAAGAAAAGTAGACTTAAAAAGTGAGTGACTGAGAAAGAGAGTGAGAGAGAGAGAAGAGATACTAAAAAAGAGTAATGAGAAAGAAAAAGAGATTTAAAAAAGTGAGTGGGTGAGAAAAAAAATAGAAAAGTAAGACACATTTGGAAACTGTTGGGTTGAAATGATCTACCTGACAAGTTATAATTTCGTTATTTTCAGTGGTTGGTCTATACCTTTCCCCATTTGTACGTCCTTTGATATCATCCTTAATAATATAATTGCATATAAAGTAAAGGGAGAAAAACACTGAGCCCCTTTCATCAGCACTTTAAAACTATTTACGATTTACACAAATTATCAAATATAAACATTTACCTTCAATATTAGCTAAAAATCATAGTTTTAACACAAATGAATTTATGAGTTTAGATGAGTAGAATGGTCGAGATCTTGTCCTTTTTGTAGGATGCTTTCTTTCATGCAGACCATGTGAATACCAACTATCGTTTTTAGTTAACTTTTCTGCGTATTATTATAAACGAATTTTAATTAACGAAGAGTGAAGATTTTAATTAAATAAAAATTGAGCTATAAAAGATATTCTCCCTGTAGTTTAAATGTATAATTTAAAGCATCTCAAAACAAAGCCAAACAATCAGCGATGATCATCACAATGATCGGTAACGACTAAATAACATGAAATAATATAGAAAGGTTATCGGAGTAAGTTAAGTTGGACGTACTTACCAGTATGCCTGAGGACGACTACTATGCACGTAGTGAAGTCATCAGATCCGATGATATTCACATTTTCTGTAACAGAATAAAATATAAAAGTGAATTTTTCATACACACACAAAAAAAAAAAAAAAACGAACTGTTTAAATTGAAATGTACTGACTGTCGTGAGGTACGGTGACAGCCATCTCCCTCTGCATGACGTACAGGAGTCCGATGGGGCCGACCACTTTGGACGGGATGCTGATGAGCTGGTTGGCCGTCTCCCTGAACATCGGATGGAGGTGATGGAGGGTCCTGGCGTCGGGGAGGGGCTCCTCCAGGGGCGTGCCCCCAACTAGAACCACCATCCTCCCGATCTCTGGAAAAAAGACAAGACGACATCCATTAACCGAGCACTGTCTTGATGCAAGTAAAATAAAATTACGTTTGGAAAGTTTTGTCGGCTTTAAAAGACCCACGGTTGTCTGTTTGTGCCAAGGCAATAGTTTCTTAACGAAGCCTAACATTATTTGACAATATCGTCTGGAAAGGATTGTTTTATTATGAAAGTATGTTATGTTTAAAACTAATAACATGACATTGGAGGATCAGAAACTGTCGCTAAAACTAGTCTGACCCTAAGATGAATCGTTAAGATGAATGAAGGTCATCAGTAATCAGAAGTAGAGTTCGGTCACAATAGACAAAAGTTTAAGAGCTAAAGAGCTTAATCCGTTTGACTCCTAATAATAAATAAATGGAAATTCATCAACGTGCCGAAATCTTTACAACCTCCTTATCTTTTGCAAACCTTCAGGTCTTTTCTCTTTTCCCACAAACCACCAAGTCGACCTTTTATCAGTAATATTGCTCTTGATCGGATCTGGCACTAGGGTTTGCTGGATAGAGGACCGCAGTGGTCGAGTGGTTTGAGCGTCGGACTCGTATTGGCCTTGCTCTGGTTCGTATCCCGGCAGAGCCCATGGGTTTTTGATTGCAGTATGAAAAGTATTGTTAAGTGGTGTCTGACCCCTCGTTCAAGACACCCAACGGTTAGTTTGACGTTAAGCCCTCCTGTTTGACAACAATTGCTGGAGAAAACTCATGTACACATTCTCAATTCATAACCCTCAAATACAATCTTACAAAACTTCCACGTCGTTTATCCGTTCCATATTACCTGGCGTACCCCAGGGAAGTGTACTTGCTCCCTTACTATACTCAGTTTTCACAGTTCATCTACCATTGTTTCAACAACATAAGCAACCGTTGAAACCTATCCACAAGCCCAACAGTCCTGGCTCCTCCTCCCAAAGAACGAAACCGACGAAATTTCCAAAATTCAGTTTTCACTTAATCAGGAAGCTCCAGCCTACTTTACAAGAAAAGTGCTCGCTATCTTACATCTCTTTTTGACAAAAGCCTCACATAGAACCAATACACCCGAAAATGAGCTGATTGCAATGAAATGAAAATACTATCAGAAAAATCAAACTGACATACACATTTAAAAAAAGGAAGAGATAGATTGATAGATGAAAAGAGAGAGAGAGAGAGAGAGAGAGAGAGAGAGAGAGAGAGAGAGAGAGAGAGAGANGAGAGAGAAAGAGGGAGAGTGTGAGTGAGAGAAAGGGAGAGGTGTAAGTGGGATATAAGAGAAAAAAGGAGAGTGTGTGAGTGAGAGAGAGAGAGAGGGATAGTGTGTGAGTGAAAGAGAGTGAGGAAGAGTGTGAGTGAGAGAAAGGGAGAGGTGTAAGTGAGATATAAGAGAAAAAAGGAGAGTGTGTGAGGGAGAGTGTGAGTGAGAGAGAAAGAGGGAGAGTGTGAATGAGAGAGAAAGAGGGAGAGTGAGTGAGAGAAAGAGAGAGGCGTGAGATATAAGAGAAAAACGGAGAGTGCGTGAGAGAGAGAAGAAAAAGAGGGAGAGTGTATGTAAGAGAGAAAGAGTGAGGAGTAAATGAGAGAAAAAGGAAGAGTGTGTGAGAGAGAGAAGAAAAAGAGGGAGTGTGAGTGAGAGAGAAAGAGAGAGGTGTAAATGAGAGATAAGAGAAAAAGGGAGAGTGAGTGAGTGAGAGAGAGGGGAGAAAGAGAGAGAATGTGAGTGGTTGAGAGAGAAGTGAGATTGATCGCTTGGGGGGTTTGGGTCATTACATTTACATTTAATGACAGCCATCTTCCCCCCCCCCAAAAAAAAAAGACGCTATAATCGACACAAGGAAATGGGAATCAGTATATTTTTTTTAAATCTTGATTTTGCATTTTGGCGACTTTTCGGCTTCCTTCGTGAAACCGTATATTAATAATTAATTAGTTTGGAATCGAGGGCTTGTTGCGTGATGTGCAAGGGATATAAATCCAACTGAATCAATGGAAGACTTACGGTAAAAATAAGGTCGAATTCGTCAGGACACGGCACTGCTACGGATCCTCTCCTCCTCGGAGGGCGGTTTACTCGAAACTGGACGAACCCACGACGGGCCCCCACTCGGCCTTTTTCCTATCATACGGCGTAAACCGGACCACGCGACGCCCTTCCCCAGGCCGTTTCCAAACCACGGCTGTTTTGTTATTTTATTTTGTATTTATAAAAAAAAGGTTTGCGATTTTGTCACGGCGGAATCTAAAACTGGAAATTTTGAAAACAGGTGATTCGGACGGATTGATGATAAGCGTTTTCACAATTATACTCGATAATTATGGCTGATGGCTTTTCACCAACAATCTCCCAGATTTTAGACCGATGTGTTATTTTATTACATTTAAATCAAAGATCAAAGAGAAAAACATTGAGTACTGGTAAAAAAGTCATTCCATAAAAAGGAAAACACTCATCCAAGGATATCTTATCTCTGAAACCAGCTAGACCTTTTTGCCAATAGAGTCAATTTTTATTGACGGTTTATTATACAGACTGTAAGAAGGACGAGGACTGAATTTGGCGATAAAAACTGACCCGATGATCAAATGAAGGTTGTTCGAGGAGAGTGTAAAATTAATTATTTGTTATTATTTTTCTTAAAATTATTTGAGCAGCTCGGTTTCAACTCAATTTTTGACTATTTTAATTACGTCTGCATTCTAATTTTCTCTTCAGATTCTTCGAGATCGTACGGTCTGAGTTGTTATTAAGTTGGTAAATAAGCAATGAGATTATTGTGTTATTCTGTGAGATGCGAATTTGTCTGATGTTCCCGACAAAGGATCGGGGCATTAAGTTATATGGAAGAATAAAGCGAGAACAAGCGGACCAGGAACAGAGGAAGGAGCCAATTTCAATTGTTTAACATTCAAACTACAAAAAAACTTATAAATACAACGGACATGGTATAATATATCCAAATAGCCTATATTTCTACTATTTAATTTAAATAATATAAATGAATGCCAAGATAAGTTGTTATTCTAGTATAATAGGTCAACCGGAGTCTCTAAAAATGCAGTCGAGCATGGCGAATTTGCCCAATTTCCCCATGCGGCTTAATTGTACAGGATAAAGGGAAAGGAAACAAACATTTCTCAAAGATAAAGCGGGAGCAAGCGGACCCAGGTCAAATGCGACCGAACCTGTTCTCTATTATTCAAATCTCTCACCGTTAATACATCGTCTTTAGGCTTTTTTTTAAACACATTTGACCGATTTTTATAATAAATTTTGAATAAATTGGCTGAATGGCCCTCGGGAGGGGTAACTGGAATAATTCCTAAACACTAATGATTGGAAAAGCGAGAACCGGCGGACCAGGTTATTCATGGGCGATCAAAACAATCTCAATTGTTCAACTCTCAAAACCACAAATAAATTATGCTCATAAAGCCGAGTCAAAATACACATTTGTATAATTTAATTTGGATAATTTATTCTTCTTCTTCTATTTTTTAGTTTTTATTTAAAACATAAAACTTATCGCGTCGATTTTAGTTCTTTTGCTACCCATTAAACCTTGTTTCTTTCTTTTTTAAACAACTTAAATAGATTTTTTTTTTAAATGAAAATTGGACAACCTGAAAAATGAGAAAGTGCTGAATTTATCAAAAAGAAGTAAAGTGGAATAATTTCTAAACACTTCTGACTAGAAGATAAAGCGAGAACCGGCGGACCATGTTATTCATGAGCGAACAAACAACCTCATAGTCTTTATATAAAAACTAGACAAATGTCGCATGGAAAAACAATAAATAAAGTACAACTACAGTCTTTTAAAGCGATGTCTGAGTTGAATTTGCTCCATGGCCCACATAAATTCTCATGAAACTAGCTATTTAAAAGATACTGCGAGACTGAGCGGACCAATTGTGTCAGGAGAAAACTGTTCTCCATCGATCAACCCTGACACAGTCGCATCATCTTTACACGTAAAATGTAGATGTGCAAATTAGCCAAATCTTATCGATACTTTTAAATTAATATTGATGATGATAATCAATGGAGAGATTGGATGTTAGAAATCATCCTGGTATAATAAATGGATAAAATAAACACTTATCGCTGTAGGTTACAGCGAGAACGGGCGGACCAGGTTTGGCAGGGGCGACCAAACTGGTCGCAATAATTAAACTCTCAGAAGCCAAAAACTCATCTTTCTAGGATGTCCTTTCAAAAAAGGACTTGAGAGAAATTAATTTTTTATGAGAATAGCTATTAGGAGATCTTTAGATGTTTTTGTTATGAAAAAGAAAAAATACAGCGATGCTAAACGGACCAGGTTTCAGGAGCGACCAAAATGTTCTTAATCTTTTACCATTAACACAAAAATTAGCCAAATAATCCACCTTAATTAATAAATATCGATTAAATGGTGAGATTGGAGGTTATTCTAATATAATATTATGAATTTGTTTAAAGATGAATTCAATGCCTAAACCATTCTGACTGAACACCAGCGAGATCAGGCGGATCAGGTTAGACAGGCCGATCAAACCGATCTCAAATTTTCAACTCACACCACAAACACAGTCTTTACACAAAAATGTTTTTAATTATAACAGTTGGTGCCAAGTCGGCATAACAAAGCAAAAGAAAACAAGACTAAACAATTTTTATAAAGCGAGACTAAGCGGATCAGGTTGGTCAGAAGCGATCAAACCGCTCTCACGTAGAAACTAGTCAAATAGCATGATTTTATGATTTATGTTAGGTGATTTCGCTTTCTTCTTAATGAAAAACTTTCTCCTAAAATGCGATTTTATAATTATTTTGCTACCATTTAAACAGTATTTTTTTAAGATTATTATTTATTTTAAGTTAATAGATAATAAATATAAATAAGTGCAAGCTCTAACTTCATTTTTCTCAAAAGCAAGGTGGATCGATTTTCATGGTTTATCAATAGTTTTGGTTATTTTAAAGAAATTGTCAAATGCATTTTATACCTGTATCAAACATTAAAATCGAACTATTATTTCCATTAAAAAAAACCAGGTTAATTTCTGACAAATTATTTTGGTATTTTGTTTATTTTCTTATAGAAATATATTATATATTTTAATGGTACATATGTCGTTAAAAATTTACGTCCTTCTTTCAAATGTCTGTTTAACGTTGAAATCATTTTAGACGTTTTTGAATTATGGCAGTTTTAATCAGATATTTCGATAATGACCTCTCAAAAATCGGCAAAATTTTAGGGGTCCGAAAAATTCGATAAATTTAAATTCAAACAAAAATTTATATTTAAGGGGTCTCTAGAGATAAAATGAAATTTCATATTTGTTTGACGAAAAACAAATTTATGACCCATTTAACTTGAAAAATATTTAGTTTTTAGAAATTTTTTGGTTATTGATAAACTTTGATAGATTTTACTATATCTTTATTGCAAACTAAAAAAAAGATGTAAAAATGATATATTCACAAGTAGAACGGCGGAATAAGAATATCAAAAAACGGAAAATTTCAACGTTCAAAAAAAAAATTTTTTTTTGCAAAACCAGGCCAATTAAGTAGCGTATACTTCCGTATTCTTTGGGTCAGATATTTTGAAATTTAGAATCACCTAAAAACATTTGGTCAAAATCTGACTCAAGCCTAACCTGGTCGCCCCTTGTAAACTCAATTTTGTGTTTTAAACACAATTGTGTTTAAAGCATTAAGCGAGACTAAACGGGCCCAGGTTGGTGGGAAGAACGAAACCAGTTTCATTCATTCAACTCTCACAATTTTTAAATATAATATGTACAATTGACTCTATGGCCCATATAACTTAATATTTCCGGACTTACTTAAAAGAAAATGGTTAAACAATTGTATGGAAAAGATTAAGCGAGACTAAACGGACCCAGGTTGGTGGGAAGGAATGAAACCGGTCTTATGTTCAACTCTCACATCACTTTTATATACAATATACATAACTGGCAACATTATTTTTAAATTGTTTGCCGGTCAAATTATACAGTTTTTTTAAATAATTTAGAAGTTTGTGTTTGAAATGATATTGTTATTTGATGAGCTACGAGCGTGTAAAGGAGCGGTGAAAGTCGTAAAGAAAAAAATCGAGTTATATTAATAATAAAGAAAGTTTTGATCGGGGCGAGTTCGGGTGTGAAAAATGTAAAGGGCGTGGCTCGTTTTTATGCACGCTTACCTATGTTTTACGTTGGATTGTTTTTTAATTGTGTATAAGATAATGTAGAAATCTGATATCCGTTTACACCCCGGGCATGTTACATCGTGCGAAGACGGCCCAATATCTTGTTTTACCAATCATAATTCAAGCCCCTGATTAAGTCCGATGTCCGCCCTCGCTATCGCGTAATACGTAAATCGGCCGGACGTGTTTTGTTTCCTGAATAATGCCTTTAAATGGGCTTGGGGCGGCGTCTACCGACTCAGCCGAGCGGACCCAAGGGGAGATACCGGACTTTAATGGACTTAATTCGGGGTCGACGAGGAACGGATATCGGACTTTAAGATCTCACAACCGGTTAAACATACAGAAACGCGATTCAGAAAAGGTTCATAATTAATTAAGCCAATTAAAAAGCAAAATAACTTTTATGCGCGATTTATATTTTATGTGTTGGTGGTATGAGAGTTGAAGAATTCGGTGCCTACCTGGCACCAAGTTTTATAAACAAAAACAAAGTTTTATATATAAAGACTTTGTAGTATGAAGGTGAAAAAACTGTGATAGATTTGATCACTTCTAACATGGTCCGGCTGTTCTCGCTGTATCTTTCAGTCACAAGTGTTTAGGCGCTTATCTATTTATTCCCTGTCGGACAAATTCAGCCTATTCTTATAAAATAACATCTAATCTCTCAATTTATTCAATTAGTTATTTTTCTTATGTAAAGTCTTGGTTGAGTTCAAAAATCAGTGTCACGAGCGGGATTCGAACCCACGACCTTCAGCTAAATACGCGCTGCTCTACCACTTGAGCTATCGTGATTTCGATCCAGTCAGACACCAACTCTCCATCTCAACCTACAACCGTTCGAATTTTCCCTCTTTTTACATAAAAAGAATAATTAATTGAATTAGTCAATAGTCAGTTAGTCAATTGACCACTAAAACATAAATGGATTATTATTCAATTAGATTATTCGAATACATGTTGATGGTATGAGTGATGGACGATTGAGTTTGATGGCTTCGTATCAATTCGGTCCGCTTAGTCTCGCTGTAACTGTCAATAAAAATTGTTTAGGAG